AGCTTCCATGGGATATGGGAGGAGAAGACCACCACAGTGCCTCTGTTAACAGCGCCTCTCTTGTGAGATTGGTAACTGGACCCTACAGGACTGGCAACATGTGGCGTGGTCTGATGAGTCATGGTACCAATTGTTTCAGGCTGATGGTAGGGTTTGTGTGTGGCACAGACTCCATGAAGCCATGGATCCCAGTTGTCTGGCTACATTTCACTGCTTGGTGACCATTTGCACCCCCTCATGGACTTCATGTACCCCCACAATGATGGGATATTCCAGCAGGACAATGCGCCATGCCATCGGGCCCAAGTTGTCCAGAATTGATTCAAGCATTGTGGAGAGTTTAGATGAATGATGTGGCCTGCATGTTTGCCTGACATGAGCCCAATCGAGCATTTATGGGATGTGGTGGAGAGGTCCATTCGCACCAGAGCTGTGGGTGGCTATCCAGACGGCATGGCTCAACATCCCTCCAGACATATTGCGTCCACTTGTGGAATCAATGCCACGTCGAGTTGCTGCACTTCACCGGGCTAGAAGGGGGTCCTACACCATACTAGTTCTTTTGGCATGTCTTTGTGTACATATATATATATATATATATACACCGATCAGGCATAACATTCTGACCACCTCCTTGTTTCTACGCTCATTGTCCATTTTATCAGCTCCACTTACTATATAGGTGCACTTTGTAGTTCTACAGTTACAGACTGTAGTCCATCTGTTTCTCTGCATACTTTGTTACCCTGTTCTTTAATGGTCAGGACCCCCATGGACCCTCACAGAGCAGGTACTATTTGGGTGGTGGATCATTCTCAGCACTGCAGTAACACTGACGTGGTGGTGGTGTGTTAGTGTGTGTTGCGCTGGTCTGAGTGGATCAGATACAGCAGTGCTGCTGGAGTTTTTAAACACCTCAGTGTCACTGCTGGACTGAGAATAGTCCACCAACCAAAAATATCCAGCCAACAGCGTCCTGTGGGCAGCGTCCTGTGACCACTGATGAAGGACTAGAGGATGACCAACACAAACTGTGCAGCAGTAGATGAGCTATCGTCTCTGACTTTACATCTACAAGGTGGACTGACAAGGTCGGAGTGTCTCATAGAGTGGACAGTGAGTGGACACAGTGTTTAAAATCTCCAGCAGCACTGCTGTGTCTGATCCACTCAGAAAAGCACAACACACACTAACACACCACCACCACGTCAGTGTCACTGCAGTGCCGAGAATGATCCATCCCCCAAACAGTACCTGCTCTGTGAGGGTCCATGGGGGTCCTGACCACTGAAGAACAGGGTAAAAGGGGGCTAACAAAGTATCAGAGAAACAGATGGACTACAGTCTGTAACTGTAGAACTACAAAGTGCACCTATATAGTAAGTGGAGCTGATAAAATGGACAATGAGTGTAGAAACAAGGAGGTGGTCAGAATGTTATGCCTGATCGGTGTATATATATAGATAGATAGATAGACAGACAGACAGACAGACAGACGACAAATATGGCCATTAAGTACAAGTTACTCATTTTGTTGGAGATATTAGATATTATATTTAATTTGCCTCACTCCACATCTCAGGTGGACTGTGTTTTTCTCAGTGTCTCCTTTTCTCAGTGAGGTTCTTCTTGATCAGCTACACATCCTTTCAGACCCACAGCGCTGAGTCGTCTTCTCACAGTGGAAGGATGGACAGAAACACCTGTGGATGTTTTCAGATCTGAAGCAGCTTGATTTTCTCCTCTCTCTCAAAGATAAAAGCTTTAAGTGCTGTTTATCCGATGAGGACAGTTTTGGTGTCTACCAGGTCTTCCAGGTGGTTGTTAGGGGTCCCATTTTCTCTGTAGCTTTTAATAGAGCCTAGAAAACGACTCTTTGTAGCACTAAAAAGGGTAACAAATCGTAACAATACCAGAACTCTTTTTGGTCCTATATAAAACCAGATACAACACATTCTCAATCAATCTGAAGAACCATTTCACCACGCAAAGAATCATTTAAACATACGAATGGTTCTTTGAGTGCTCATGGTTCTACATAGAACCATTTTCCTTACTAAAAAAACCCTTAAAGAACCATCTTTTTCTAAGAGTGTAGATACTAATTCTAAAACTAAAGTAAATAAAAATAATCAACAGGTGGGGACGTTTGCTGTTTGTTTGCATATCGTCACAGAACAACCTGAATCTATAGAAGGTTGCATAACAAGTGTTTTGAGTACAGACCGTAGTACTTAGGAGGTGTTTACTATAAGATTAGCTGGAGGTGAACAAGTTTTCTGAATGCTGGAAGTGGGTAGATCATACATTGTCCCACTGACCCCTCTGTGTCTGCATATTCATAAACACAGAGAAATTAATCTTTAATGTGCCTGGAAAGTGCTAACTGTATGTTTCCAGAGCTACAGGGTTCAGGTTCTTATAGGGGTGTTAAAGGAGCTACAGCTTTGAACACAGTGTGCAGAAATACGGCCTGTATTGACCTGCGTATCAACTCAGAGGTATCGTATCCTTACGTCGTCCAGTGCACATGTGAATGTGCGTTCATCTCCATGTCCTTGTGTTTATGTCTACTCCAGCCAATCCCCTCTTGTGAAAGCAGTCACTCCTCTTTGAAGCCTGTAAACAAGCAGAGATGGACAGCATGGGTAATCAATAGAGTGCGTCATGCGCTGTACCTGCACATATCAGACCAAACTCAGCTCCACTTCTCTGGGCCTTTTACATCAAAGTCATGTCAAATATTTCATTTCATTTCTCAACAGATCCAAACACCCAATATTTGGGCAAATTATTACAAGTTGGTATCAGTGCAGCCACTTCATAAGGCCATTGGCTGGTAGTCACAAAGCAGATGTGAGTTGGAGGGCTGATCTCAGGTCAGATGCCTCTGTATTTATGACAGTCATTGTCCCAAAAACTGATTCTAGATTTTAGACTTTGTGGTTTGTGAATATGTGGCATAAACTCTCTGAGGTTCATCACCGCGCAGGCTGATTCTGTAAACCTCCCATCGTCTATTTTTGGTAAATTTAGGTTTGAAGGTTTCCCCAGCTACACTTGTAGGCAAAAGTTTGAAGACCCCAGATCAAATTCCATGTTTTCTGTTGATTTTCTAAGTGTAAATAAGATAACATATCCTCAGCAGAGAACACACTGCTGCACATTTAAATACACACCTACTGTTTATTTGCTCAATTTAGCACACTGAAATACAACCCCATTTCCAAAAAGGTTGGGACGCTGTGCAAAATGTAAATAAAAACAAAATGCAAATAATTTAAACCCTATATTTAATTGAAAATAGTTCGAAGACAACATATCAATTGTTGAAAGTGAGAAATTGTATTGTTTTTTGAAAAATATTTGTCCATTTTGAATTTGATGGCAGCAACACATTCCAAAAAAGTTGGGACGGGGGCAACAAAAGGCTGGTAAAGACACATAGTGGTTGATTGGCAACAGGTCAGTAACATGATTGGGTATAAAGAGCATCGCAGAGAAGCTGAGTCTTTCAGAAGATGAGGAGGGGCTCACCACTCTGTGAAAGACTGCACAATCAAATAGTGCAACAATTCAATAATAACATTACTTAACGTAAAATAGCAAAGAACGTTTTGCTTTTCATCATCTACAGTACATAATAACATTAAAGGATTCAGAGAATCTGGAGAAATCTCTGTATGTCAAGGGACAAGGCTGAAAAACCAGTATTTGCTGGCCGTGATCTTTGGGCCCTCAGACAGCACTGCATTAAAAAACAGACATGATTCTGTAGTGGAAATCACTGCATGGGCTCAGAAACACTTCTGAAAACCACTGTCTGTGAAAACAGTTTGTCGCTGCGTCCACAAATGCTAATTAAACCTCTAAAATGCAAAGAAGAGACTGTACATAAACAGGATCCAGAAACGCTGCCACCTTCTCTGGGCTGGAGCTCATTTAAAATGAACTGAGGGGAAGTGGAAAAGTGTCCTGTGGTCCAACGAATCAACATTTGAAATTCTTTTTGTAAATCATGGACACTGTGTCCTCCGGGACTAAAGACCACTCAGCTTATTATCAGTGCACAGTTCTAAAGCCAGTATTCATGATGTTATAGAGGTGCATTAGTGCACATGGCATGGGTGACGTGCACATCTGTGAAGGCACAATTAATGCTGAACGATATATACATGTTTTCACTTTCAACACTACAGCAGTGTCTCCTCAGTTCCCAAACACTTACTGAGTGTTGTTAGAAGAAGAGGTGATGAAACAAAATGGGCAAATACTTTTCAAAAAAACAATAAAATTTCTCGGTTTCAACATTTGATATGTTGTCTTTGTAGTATTTTCCTTTAAAAATATGGTTTTCATGATTTGCACATCATTGCATCCTATTTTTATTTACAGTCTGAGTCCCCCCAATATGCATAACGTAGTAAATAAATAAGTTGTGCACTGAAATGTACAGAAAAATGTCATATTTAAGTCTAGAGGATATATTTTCATGTGGAAAGTCAACAAAACGTCATCTGACTGGCAAAGTTCAAACTTTTGTGTATGACTGTACATATTTTTGTGCACAAACTGAAAAAAAACTTTAATTATTAAAAATAATGTATGATTGTGTCATCTCTTGTCCTAAATAAGATTTCAGCTATTTTAAACCAATGTTCTTATAGGTCTGAGATTTTCTGATGCAGTGAATCGTCTCCTAAAGACTCATAATACAAAAGAATCAGGTGAAATCTGAGATCCATGATGAGCTGAGCCACTTCCTAGACAATACAATTAGCTGAATCCAACTAGTTTTAAGGTCAGAGATTTACACCCCATAAAACCTTCACAGACCTTTATTCTCTGTCCTCATTTTTAAAGATATAGAAGCCGGAGAGGGTGGGTGGGGGAAGGGGGGGCGGGGGGGGGGTCAGCTGTCTGTTAGAAGCTCAGTGACGCACGGCCGCCGCTCCAGAGGTCAAAGACCCGTTTGTTTTAAATGTTCACCAAAGATCCACACTGAGCTCAGATTGCTACAGCATGTTGCCCAAGACTCTTCTCTCCAGGGGTGCCGCCCTGGCTGCTCTGGACCTCTCTCTGCCTGGCTGGACGGCCCAGCGGTCAGTTTCCTCTGTCACCATCCCGCCTCCGGCCTGCATGCTGCGGCCGCTGGAGGTGCCCAACCGCTACCTGTTTGGCCCTGGACCCTCAAACGTGCCCCCTCGAGTGCTGGCTGCTGGAGGGAGGCCCATCATTGGACATCTCCACCCTGAAATGTATGAGGTAAGGAGCTCAGGAGTCGATCCCTCAACCTGCAGGCTTATAACACAGTTATTAACCACCTAAACTGCATGTTTGTTAATTAATTATTATTTTTAATACTTATTATTCGGTAAGTACTTAAAAATAATGGTTCTTCAAGGGTTCTTTAGTAAAATAAATGGACACTCAACACTTTGCATGATTAAATGGTTCTTTGCATCGTGAAAGTGTTCTTCAGACTGATGGAGTACGTGCTGTAGATCACTCTATATAGAACGTTTTTGAAAATGGTTCTATATAGCACCAATATGGGTTTCTCTATTATTGTAACAATAGAAGAATATATAGAACCACTGAAATTGGTTGAAATCAGTTGAAGAAACTTTTCACGTTGCAAAGAATCTTTTAATCACAAAAAAACGTTTCTTTGCGTGTTCATGGTTCTATATAGAACAATTTTCTTTACTAAAAAAACCCTTAACGAACCATTTTTTGAGTATACGAAGGTATTCGAGTATACGAAGGTATTTTGTAAAAACTACTACAAAACTAATATGTGTGAACTCACAAACAGCCCCTTAGACTTACAGTGCAGCCACTACTATGAACTGACCAGGTCCTCAGGGTTTCAGGGGTTAAACTTCTCTTTTGTAGATTATGAACGACATCAAGAAGGGAATCCAGTATGCGTTTCAGACGAACAACCACATGACTCTGGCCATGAGCGGCTCAGGCCACGCAGCGATGGAGTGCGCGGTGTTTAACACGGTGGAGCCGGGGGAGAGCGTGCTGGTGTCCGTTAACGGCGTGTGGGGGGAGCGTGTGGCTGAAATCGCTGAGAGAATGGGTAGGATGTCCACCCTCTGGCTGTTCTCACTGCGCTGGTGTTGAACTCTCTGTACTCACACACCCTGCTTCTGTTTCAATTTCAACAGGGGCCAAAGTTCACACTCTGGTAAAGGCGCCTGGTGGGTATTTCACTAATGAAGAAATTGAAAAGGTAAAAATCTACTATTATTATTATTATTATTATTATTATTATTAATAGTAGTAGCAGTAGTACTTGTACTAGCAGTAGTTGTAGTACTCATAGTAGTAGTAGTAGTAGAAGTAGTAAGAGTAGTGGTAATAGTAGTAGTTGTAGTAATAGTGGTGGTAGTAGTAGTGGTAGTAATAATAGTAGTAGTAAGAGTAGTAGTTGTAGTGGTAGTAGTAGTAGTTGTGTATATGAGTAGTAGTGGTGGTAGTAGCAGTGGTAGTAGTTCTGTGTATGAGTAGTAGTAGTGGTAGTAGTAGTAGTAGTAGTAGTGGTAGTAGTAGTGATAGTTGTGTATATGAGTAGTAGTAGTGGTAGTAGTAGGGGCAGTAGTTGTGTATATGAGTAGTAGTAGTAGTAGTAGTAGTAGTGGTAGTAGTAGTAGTAGTAGTAGTAGTAGTGGTAGTAGTAGTAGTAGTAGTAGTGGTAGTAGTAGGGGCAGTAGTTGTGTATATGAGTAGTAGTGGTAGCAGTAGTAGTTGTCAGGTATATGAGTAGTAGTGGTAGTAGTAGTAGTGATAGTTGTGTATATGAGTAGTAGTAGTGGTAGTAGTAGGGGCAGTAGTTGTGTATATGAGTAGTAGTAGTGGTAGTAGTAGGGGCAGTAGTTGTGTATATGAGTAGTAGTAGTAGTAGTAGTGGTAGTAGTAGTAGTAGTGGTAGTAGTAGTAGTAGTGGTAGTAGTAGGGGCAGTAGTTGTGTATATGAGTAGTAGTGGTAGCAGTAGTGATAGTTGTGTATATGAGTAGTAGTAGTGGTAGTAGTAGGGGCAGTAGTTGTGTATATGAGTAGTAGTAGTGGTAGTAGTAGGGGCAGTAGTTGTGTATATGAGTAGTAGTGGTAGTAGTCGTGGCAGTAGTTGTGTATATGAGTAGTAGGGGCAGTAGTTGTGTATATGAGTAGTAGTAGTGGTAGTAGTAGTGATAGTAGTTGTGTATATGAGTAGTAGTGGCAGTAGTTGTGTATATGAGTAGTAGTGGCAGTAGTTGTGTATATGAGTAGTAGCAGTGGTATTCTCAATGCACTACGCATTGCACGAGGTTCACAACACTACAGTGATATGGTGGTTGTTTGCTGTTTTCAGGCTTTAGCCAAACACAAGCCAGTTCTGTTTTTCCTCACACATGGAGAGTCCTCGGCTGGCCTGGCCCACCCCATCGACGGTATTGGAGACTTGTGTCGCAAGTGAGAGAAACACCCCCCCACACCTCATTTCAGATAAAAAATAAACGTTGGGTCTCAGTACTATCTGTATTGATATGGTTGCAGATACAACTGCTTGTTCTTAGTGGATTCAGTGGCGTCACTGGGAGCTGCACCTCTACTGATGGACCAACAAAGTACGTAAAGAGATGATTATAGAGGATCAGTGCTCTCAGTGTGCTGCTATGAGTGGCTGAATACTGCTGCACTTGGTGTAGAAGCTCCACCTCTAACGTCGTTATTCTCACCCAACAGAAATCGACATCCTGTACACCGGCTCCCAGAAGGCCTTAAATGCTCCTCCAGGCACAGCACCCATTTCATTCAACGACAGAGCATGGTGAGCACTGAGCATACGCGTACATGATAAACGTTCCCTGTTAAACTGGAAACTAACAGTATGTTGGAAATAAGGGTGAAAGTCTCTGATTCAATCTGATCACAATTCTTAAGGAAACGAATCAATAAACTATGAAATCTCAGATTTCACCACAATTAATTTGATTTATTTTGGAAGTCAAAACTACTTTAAAAAATATAGAATATGCAAAAGCTGCTGATGGAACTAACACACACTAGTGGGATACTGATGCTAACAATACACAAAACTGTTTGTGTTTTTATTTTTAAAAAACAGCCTAAAAGTGATTATAGCAAAAAAAATTAAGCTTACTTTATGGAATATTATTATAATCAATTCTAACATGGATGCACTCTCAGAATCTTTTTTTTTGCTCCAAACAAGCAATAAACAATCAATTAATTCAATTAATTCAGTCGACCTTTATACTGATAATGGCTAATCTGTGCAGTTCTGTGATGTGAATAACATGAGCAGGTATGAGCCCTCACACTGTATTTGAACACTGTTAAAACTGCACCAAAATGCCATATACTGCAAAAAAATTATATCTTAACAAGTGAAAACTTCTTAAATGTAGTCAATAAATCTAATATCTCTCATTATGAGGCTGTTGTAAGGATATTATAAGATTATTCCACCTGTTTCTGAACATTTTTACTTGTTTTAAGCAGTTTTATCTTATAAAAGTGTCTTATTTCATTGTCAGATCATGTTACTTGTTTTAATCATTATTTCTTGAAATGAGCAAAATTATCTTCATTATTTCTCGAAACAAGTAAACTAATCTGCCAATGGAATAAGACACTTTCACCAGATAAAATCACTTAAAACAAGTAAAAATGTACAGAAACAGGTGGAATAATCTTATAATATTCTTACAACAGTCTCATAATGAGAGATATTAGATTTATTGACTACATTTAAGACGTTTTCACTTAAGATTTTTTTTGCAGTGCACCTTTAGATTCTAGCATTCCAAAATTGACACAAATGAATTGCCACCTCAATGCATTTTTATATCCCTTGTTGGAAATTTCTCAAACATATTGGTAACATTGAGGAATGTGTGAAGGGGTTCTGCAGTGTGTTTTCATTCTATCTCGCGCAGCCACAAGATGTTCAACAGAAAAACGAAACCCGTGTCCTACCTCTTTGACATGACCCATCTGTCCAACTACTGGGGCAACAACGGCAAACCTGCAAGAGAGTAAGTAAGAGTCAGAGCTGCAATCAGCCTGACATAATCAGAAAGATCAGATACCGAACTAGAGATTTCGAAAAGTACAGTCTGTTCCTCTGTGCTGCAGTTACCATCACACCGGCCCCGTCTCTGGCTTCTTCACCCTCAGAGAGAGTCTGGCCATCCTGGCTGAGAAGGCAAGTTTCATTTTCGTTATTACAACACAGAGTAAACAGTCGGGGTAGGGATGGTTATGAGAAAGCCAGCTATCTTTTTATCGCTGTTGTCAGAAGAAAACCTTGTACTCTCCAAAATGGTAACTTTGCAGAAGAAGGAAAAAACATACTCTACTTTTAATGTAAGTCAATGGAACCAGAATTTTTTCCAAGTAATTTTGGGCCGTTTCTTTTGGTCCATTCTTCATGAAATTTACACACAATGTAAAGGACAAAAGGTATTTTCAAACTATGCCATAAACTGAAAAACGGCAAAAATGGAGATACGAGGTTTTCTTTCAATAACAGTGTTATGTTTTAGGAACACAGAATGCAGTTCAGCCCATGCTCTACAATGCATTTGTGTAATGCAAAGTCTGGGCCTTGTCTATCGAGTTATGGCCAAAAAAATAAAAGAGGGGTGGTGCTTGGGAAAAAGCAATGCACAATATAAATCAAACATAAAATACTCCTAAATTAAAAATGTTATCCATTAAAAATAATGTGTGTTGAAAAATAAATTGCTGCTTTTTTATGTATTATTGTTATGCCCAGGAAACTAAAATGGCATAGGAGTAGGGCTGGGCAGTATCACAATATTTATCACAATATTTATCATTGTCGTGATAAATTACATCACAATAAGCTTTTCTGAATATATTGTGTATATCGTCAGTACTCGTGGAACACGGACCAACTGCATGCTTCATTATAAAGAGACCAATTAATTTAATTAGATTTAATGCAACACAGTATGGGACAGTATCTACTAAAAATGGCTGTATTCATAGTTTTTGATAGTATTTTTAAGTCTTTTTTTTATTTTTTTAGTCTGTTTTCACTGTTCCTATTGATCAGATGTCTGAAAAAACAGGCAGCATAACATATCATACATCATGACAATTTCCTGAAGTGACCCCATAATTATATTTTAGCCATATCACACAGGAACCTGCTTAAACTTTAACAGTCATCAAGAATGCGAAAATCTATGAATATTCATGATTATGCAAACTAAAGGCACCCCCTTTGCCTCCTACTTTCCAACCCCTAGCAAAGTAGAGCCGATTATGCAAGCGCAAGCTTAGCAGGCTAATAACAAGTTAGGTTCTGTGTTTTCTGTTGTGTTAGTGTGTGTTGTACTGGTACGAGTGGATCAGACACAGCAGTGCTGCTGGAGTTTTTAAACACTGTGTCCACTCACTGTCCACTCTATTAGACACTCCTCTCAGTCCACCCTGTAGATGTAAAGTCAGAGACGATAGCTCATCTGCTGCTGCACAGTTTGTGTTGGCCATCCTCTAGTCCTTCATCAGTGGTCACAGGACGCTGCCCACAGGACGCTGTTGGCTGGATATTTTTGGTTGGTGGACTATTCTCAGTCCAGCAGTGACACTGAGGTGTTCAAAACTCCAGCAGCACTGCTGTGTCTGATCCACTCAGACCAGCACAACACACACTAACACACCACCACCACCACGTCAGTGTTACTGCAGTGCTGAGAATGATCCACCACCCAAATAGTACCTGCTCTGTGAGGGTCCATGGGGGTCCTGACCACTGAAGAACAGGGTAAAAGGGGGCTAACAAAGTATCAGAGAAACAGATGGACTACAGTCTGTAACTGTAGAACTACAAAGTGCACCTATATAGTAAGTGGAGCTGATAAAATGGACAATGAGCGTAGAAACAAGGAGGTGGTCATAATGTTATGCCTGGTCAGTGTATTTGCAGTATTGCCCACCTCTACATAACCTATATAAACTTTAACAGTCATTAAAATCTATAAAAATCGACCATTATGCAAACTCCAGACACCCCCTTTCAACCCCCAGCAAAGTAGAGCCGATTATGCAAGCGCTAGCTTAGCACGCTAACAACATAGAGAACGAGTTAGGTTCTGTCTTTTTGTCCCTGCAGTCACTCGACTTCACTCAGTCTGAGTCTTGATCCACTAAACCCCGAACTGAAACCTATGTTGTGATGTATAAAGCTCTTTTAATCTACTTGCTAAGCTAACGCTAGCCTCTGATGCTACCAAGGACCAAGGACCGTATAATGGAACAAGATTAGCATAGAGTTAAAACACACACTCGAAAGATTCACTGCCTCAGATTTAAGTCATTATGCTCAAAAGCTGCACCAGTGCTCACTAGCCCAACGTTAGCCTCTGGTGCTAACAAGGACAGAATGTAAATCTGGGGCCATATAACAGAAAATTCTTAAGTCTGAGATCATATCTGCTTTGTTGTCATGGTAACTTCAGTTAAGACTGAAATGAGGACAGAAGCCATTACAGAACAACAGTTATGAAGTCTATAATCTTATTTCCAGATAAGAAAACATTACAGAAACATCCAAAGTTGTCAAAATATCCTAAATACTTTCTTAACTTTAAGATGAACCCGAGAGCATCTTAACTTCTGTTTAAACCGTCTGTTTCTATTGTTTTATGCAGTGACAGGCAGCACAGTTCTCTATAAGCTAAGTAGCATAATGATGCTACATTTATCTACAAAACGGTGCTTTGACTTGTTTTTTTCAAACAGCGTTTTAAAAGCCCAGGCGCTGCAGACTCGACCTCCACCGTCCCTCTAATTACCTTGGGGTAATTTGGTCATTGTTGATGAAAACTCATTAGATTAAATATTACAGTGATAGTGGTGAATAATGAGGAGACGGAGCTGAACGTGTGTCTGTTTATTAGGAGGAGTAACGTTAGCGCGCTCGGCTAAAGTGTTTGGGGAAATGGAGACTGAAACTGTGGAGCAGCGACGCTCTGATAAACAGCACAAAGCGCTGAAACAATATTATTAACTTTCAGTTTATTTAGTTTGGGATAAGAAAAGATGCTGTAAGATAAGATTCTTAAATTAAGATCAGATTTGCTTCTGTAATATGAATTTGTGAAAAATCTTATCTTGACCTGTCAGATGTCAGAAGACAAAAAGATAAGAATTTTCTGTAACACGGCCCCAGATCTTAATTTAAGAATCTAATCTTACAGCATCTTTTCTTATCTCAAGTTAGGAAATCTTAACTTACTCGATTGAAGTTGACAATCAACTGTCGTGTCTGTTACCTAGCAACCGACCATACAGCACAGCTGAAACGTAAACACGTAATCAAGTTAGTTAGCCAGACAGCTAACGTTAGCTGCCGTTACTGAGGTAAAAAAAAAGGTCCAATAAAACTAAAGAATGATAAACTGAGAGTTTATAATGTTGAGTCAGCGCTTCGTGCTGTTTATCAGAGCGTCGCTGCTCCACAGTTTGTCTCCATTTCCCAGACGCTTTAGCCGAGCGCGCTAACGTTACTCCTCCTAATAAACAGACACACGTTCAGCTCCGTCTCCTCATTATTCACCACCATCACTGTAATATTTCATCATCAACATTAACACACGAAGGTAATCAGAGGGGCGGTGGAGATCGAGTCTGCAGCGCTCTGAGGCTTTTAAACGCTGTTGGAAAAAACCCTCACAAGTCAAAGCACCGTTTTCTACGGAGCTCCTAAGGGGCCGTGGTTAAAAAAAAAAGTTAATGACATTGTGTTCCCTCGCAAAACATATGCTCTTCAGACAGCAAGCAAATGTAGGACCAGCGGTGCCCGACGACATTGCCTACATTAGAGCTTTGTTTTCAGCATAGCTACCGTTAAAAGCTGTTTTCCCAGTTTGGCCAGTCTGCGCTGAGTTTATTCAGCTGTTGTTCTCTACAGTCTCTGTAAATGTAGCTTTTGCTGTACGAGGACCCTCGACCTCAGTTTCAGTTTGGGTCACTAACAGCAGAATCATGTTTGATTTTGAGAAGCGACACGTCTTTATATTTCAATCCAAGATCAAAGCAAAACTCAATGAGCTGCTTCATGTCTGAGCTTAAGCACAGCACAGCTTTTGCAAGCGATTGCAAACCGTTTGCATCGTAATGCAAAACACTTGCAAGGGAACGCAACGTCATTAACTTTTTTTTTAACCACGACCCCTTAGGGGCTCCGTAGTTTTCAGTGTAGCTAAATGTATCGTCATTATGCTGGTTATAGTGAACTGTGTTATCTATCACTGCATAAAACAATAGAAACAGACAGTTAAAACAGAAGTTAAAACAGCTCTGGGGTTCAAATATTTAGGATATTTTAGCAACTTAGGATGTTTCTGTAATACCGTTTTCATATCTGGAAATAAGATTATAGACTTAATAACTGTTCTGTAATGACTTCTGTCCTGGTGCATTTTTTCATTTATTTTCAAGCCATTATAAAAATCAAACTAAGTCTTAGCTGTGTATTTGGAGGTGTTTATATCAGGTTATTTGTTATGTCTTTATTCCAGGGTCTGGAGAACTCCTGGAGGCACCATAAAGAGGTAGCAGAGTATCTATGGAAGGGTTTAGAGGACCTGGGCCTGAAACTCTTCATCAAGGACAAGGTGAGTCATTCCGGACCAAGATTCAGTTCACCATTCTGCTGATTTTAGCTGGTGTCGTGGCTGAATGGTGCTGTTGTTTCCTTAAAGGATTTAAGACTGCCCTCGGTCACCACCATCGCGATCCCTGATGGATACGAGTGGAAGGAACTTCTAGCTTACATGTTAAAGCAACACCAGATGGAGATGACGGGCGGTTTGGGGCCCTCCATAGGCATGGTGAGGAAACACGTTAGACTGCTTCACCTACAGTCAGGGCACTGCACAGTTTAGTGTTTCCTTAATTCAACTCAAGAGCTCACGAGCTGATCTTCAGGGTCATGTGCTGGAGCTACTCTGAAATTTACAATTCCCCCCACCTTCAAGAAGTGAAAACTTCTTAAATGTAGTCAATAAGTCTAATATCTCTCATTATGAGTCTGTTGTAAGAATATTATGAGATTTTTCCACCTGTTTCTGTACATGTTTACCTGTTTTAAGTGATTTTATCTGGTGAAAGTGTCTTATTCCATTGGCAGATTAGTTTACTTGTTTTGAGAAATAATGAAGATAATTTTGCTTATTTCAAGAAATAATGATTAAAACAAGGAACATGATCTGACAATGAAATAAGACACTTTTATAAGATAAAACTGCTTAAAACAAGTAAAAATGTCTAGAAATAAGTTAAATAATCTGATATTCTTATGACAGTCTCAGAATGAGAAATTGTTTAGTTTTGCACTGGAGCTACGAGGCTAATATAGCTAACAAGGAGGGATGCACCGATCCCACTGCTTCCCTTTCAATACCGATACTGATACCTGATCCTTAAGTATCTGCTGATACCGAGTACCAATACCGATCCTAAGTCCTCGATATGTGCCTTAAAATCCTGATACTTCTACAATTTCACTTTTTAAATTTTTTGGTAAAAGCAGTGTTCTGTGTTCAGTCCAGTTGCGAACCTTAGGTAAGTTTTTCCAGGTGAAAAGTTCATATTTGTACCTTTTCATAACCCTGAATGTTTTAAAACAGAACAGTAAAATAAAAGCCTGGAGACGAGACGGGGTGTGTGGAGTCAGTACAGCTTAGAACATATCATTTCAGTGGATTATGGTTCAGTTATGTTCCCTGACTGAAGGTACTGAGATGGACCCTCGAGGGTTCCACCACAGTAACGAGAGGAGCACTGCCCCAGTGACAGTTTACTACCTTTATTTCTGAGAATGTGCAAGTCCTCCTGTAAAGTCTGATATAGTCATTTAAAAGTCAGAGGCGTCAGGTTCAAAAAGAAGGTCCGGCTCGATGTTTAGTCCTCAAACGATCTCAAAATCAACACTACACTGATGACGGTATGATGACAGTAGTAGATAATTCACTCACATCCTCAGAGACGCGTCTTTCGCCAAGTTTTGACTGAGTTCTCTTTGAATTATCTTTCAATCATCAGACTCATCCACTCGGGAAGGAGACTGAAACACATCCCACAGTATAAAATGTGCTTCCGCACATTGTGTATTTACACATTTCCACCAGAGAGGTCTCCAAAACGTAGATAGCGTAGCTTTAACAACTTGACATGGTTTGAGGCGAGTGTGTGATGACTACTAAAACCAGAAAACGCAAATTTTACACCAAGCACATCTGAGCTGACTACATTTGAGGCACGAAGAAAATGGTTTTTGCCAAACTGTCACTGTAAAATTGTGTATAAATAACCATGTGTGTAATCCATTTCTGTCCTAGGTGATGCGGGTGGGACTGATGGGCTACAACTGCAGCAAATACAACGCTGATAAGGCCCTGGCAGCCTTGGCCGACGCTCTGAAACACTGCCCAAAGCGCAAAGCCTAGACTACACACTGCCCTGCAGCACCGTCAGACACCTCAGTCAAAGCACAGGCGGCATGGACAGAAACATTGTACAGATGGCAAATATCACAGAGGACTTTAAACAGGAGAAATATCCGTCTGTCTGTAATGAATACAGACATGACAACTCCCACTGCAAAGGGCTCTGTGCATATTAATAGTGATGACTTGTAAACCTTCACAGCAAAAAATAATATCTTAACAAGTGAAAACGTCTTAAATGTAGTCAATAAATCTAATATCTCTCATTATGAGACTGTTGTAAGACTATTATAAGATTATTAAACCTGTTTCTGTACATGTTTTACTTGTTTTAAGTGATTTTATCTGGTGAAAGTGTCTTATTCCATTGGCAGATTAGTTTACTTGTTTTGGAGATATAATGAAGATTATTTCTTGATATGAGAGAAATAATGATTAAAACAAGTAACATGATCTGACAATGAAATAAGACACTTTTATAAGATAAAACTGCTTAAAAACAAGTAAAAATGTCTAGAAATAAGTTAAATAATCTCACAATATTCTTACAACAGTCTCATAATGAGAAATAGTAGATTTGTTGACTACATTTAAGATGTTTACACTCACTAAGACATCATTTTTTGCAGTGTTGTTAGCAGAGTGATGGATCTGTTGAAATTAATGTGTAAATTGTACAGTAAACTGGAAAAGATGTTCCTTTCAACTTCAGCTTGTTTCCTTTTTGGACAATGTCACTGTGGATTAGCATAAATGTTAAAAAGGTAAAAGCAGCTCTGATGCATTTAATTTCCTATCAGTCAAGCAACAGTCAGCAGTCACCATCAAGAACAGCTCTGTTTCCATCAGAAGGATTTTTTTAAATCAAAAATGGTTGAAAGCCTTAAAACGTTTGATGTAAATTTAGTGTCATGTGACAGATTTCACTCACGTGCCTCTTATGACAAACACAAACCCAGACAGCGCGGTGGAGAGTCAGAGCTGCACTGAGGAGACGACAGCACTTTTAAAGGAACGCTGTCACTTTCAGCTCTTACAGAGAGAGACGAGCAGATCAGACTGCAGCCTTTCTGAATGGAGAGCTCAGAGCAAAAAAACAATATCTTAGCAAGTAAAACGTCTTAAATGTAGTCAATAAATCTAATATTTCTCATTATGAGACTGTTGTAGAGAATAAGATTATTCCACCTGTTTCTATACATATATACATACACACACACACACACACACACAGATCAGGCATAACATTATGACCACCTCCTTGTTTCTACGCTCATTGTCCATTTTATCAGCTCCACTTACTATATAGGTGCACTTTGTAGTTCTACAGTTACAGACTGTAGTCCATCTGTTTCTCTGATACTTTGTTAGCCCCATTTTACCCTGTTCTTCAGTGGTCAGGACCCCCATGGACCCTCACAGAGCAGGTACTATTTGGGTGGTGGATCATTCTCAGCACTGCAGTAACACTGACGTGGTGGTGGTGTGTTAGTGTGTGTTGCGCTGGTCTGAGTGGATCAGAGACAGCAGTGCTGCTGGAGTTTTTAAACACCTCAGTGTCACTGCTGGACTGAGAATAGTCCACCAACCAAAAATATCCAGCCAACGGTGTCCTGTGGGCAGCGTCCTGTGACCACTGATGAAGGACTAGAGGATGACCAACACAAACTGTGCAGCAGCAGATGAGCTATCGTCTCTGACGAGGTAGGAGTGTCTAATAGAGTGGACAGTGAGTGGACACAGTGTTTAAAAACTCCAGCAGCACTGCTGTGTCTGATCCACTCAGACCAGCACAACACACACTAACACACCACCACTACGTCAGTGTTACTGCAGTGCTGAGAATGATCCACCACCCAAACAGTACCTGCTCTGTGAGGGTCCATGGGGGTCCTGAGCACTGAAGAACAGGGTAAAAGGGGGCTAACAAAGTATCAGAGAAACAGATGGACTACAGTCTGTAACTGTAGAACTACAAAGTGCTCCTATATAGTAAGTGGAGCTGATAAAATGGACAATGAGCGTAGAAACAAGGAGGTTCATTTGTACAACCAACGCATTCATTATTTTTTTCCCCATAATGTAACATACGTACTATCAGTCACGTGCAAATCATGTGCAATTTATTCACTTCTTAACACAGAGAAGTTTTCCAAAACTCCAACACTGAAAAGGCACTAACCATATGCACACCACCAAACTCAGTTCTGAACCAGAACTACATCAGAATCACTGTGTGTTCTGACAAACAGTGCTCTGAAAACTTCATAGAACGTACAACCATCTCTAGAATAAAACATTAAAGTTCTGGACATGCCTCAGGACCAGAAACTCAAAACCTAAAACTGCAAAAATAAAATACAGAAATAAAAATACGACTTTACTCATAAATCTAAATCTCTAACAAATAAAATTCTGTAAATCCTAAAATAAGCGGCAAAAATGACAAAAATCTTTGTTTTCAAGTATTTAAAAATGAACAACCTGTAAGTAAAGTCAGAATCGGTTCTAAACCGTGGGTTCTAACTAAGCTAACGTCCCTCAGAGCCGCAGGACTCTCACTTGAAGCGCTTGTTTAGTTTGGTTATGGAGATGCGGACGTGCAGGCCGATCAGAAAGTACTGCTGCATGTCCTGCATCCACGCGAAGCTCATCCTGACCCTGCCCTTCGCGTCATCGTGCAGCAGCAGCACAAACTCCTCATTGTTGTAGGTGGACAGCAGGAGGGACCCGGCCGAGCTGAGGCACCAAAGCGGCCTCTGACTCTCATCCAGTACGGTCACCGTCATCATGCAGCAGTTCTGTGGAGGAATCACAGAGAGGCTGATGCTCACTAACGAGGACACAAGTGAGTGTTACTCACTATTCGATCCCAGTGTGCTCAGCCAGACTCCAAGCTAGCCGGTATATTTCAAAACAGATAATATACGCTTTAAAGTGCTAATCTGGGGAAAAAATGACACATTAGTGAGTGTAAACATCTTAAATGGAGTATATCTACTATTTCTCACTATGAGACTGTTGTAAGAATTTTGTGAGATTATTAAACTCATTTCTAGACATTTTTACTTGTTTTTAAGCAGTTTTATCTTATAAAAGTGTCTTATTTCATTGGCAGATCATGTTACTTGTTTTAATCATTATTTCTTGAAATGAGCAAAATTATCTTCATTATTTCTCAAAACAAGTAAACTAATCTGCCAATGGAATAAGACACTTTCACCAGATAAAATCACTTAAAACAAGTAAAAATGTACAGAAACAGGTGGAATAATCTTAGAATATTCTTACAACAGTCTCATAATGAGAGATATTAGATTTTTTTAATACATTTTCACTGGTTAAGATATTTTTTGCAGTGTAAAAAAGAACAAGTTCTTAAATGTATATTTTTTTTTTACAACAAAATGTTATTATTTTCTTAACTATTTTCTTAAGAATAATTCTAAGAACCAAGTTGATCTAAGTGGTTTTCCTGAAAATATGTTCTTAAATGTTTTCCTAACCTTACGATAAACTCACACCTAGACCGTAATTGAGTCGACAAGGTGAGCGTCTAAAATTTATCAGCTTAAATTTGATCAGTATATCTGCGCCTGTCTGTCCATCCTCATCTCCTGCTTTCCACCATCACCCCACAATTATTGTATTTTCCAAAGAGGATTTTTTCCTGTTGGCTGTTTACTTCTTTAGTTCTTGTTTGCTACATTTTTTGGAAAACGCTTGATTTCATGTTTTTCCCCCATTTCGCTCCTCTGAGCGGATTAAACTAATGACGGAAATAACAGTTCATACAAATTCAAACTGTACCTCGCGTCGTTTATGGTATGTGGTAATATGTTACGTGGCCAACATAAGAAAACAATGAAGACTTCCTTCAGCACATCTTAAAGAAATAATTAAGATTATCTTAAGAGAATATTTGAGAACTTAAGCTTTCTTTGCATTTTAGAACAGTCTTATAAACTTCTTGTCTTAAGGACCTTCGCAGGTTTCTTCTTAACAAAGTTTGGTACCACTTTACTGTAGGGTGCTGTTCATAAGGCTACATGACACCTACATAAGCTTGTCTTGACAACTGACAGAATTCTACATAAATGTTTATTAATGCTTATTCCGATAGGCAGCATCTGTCATAAAGGCTACGTTAGTTAACTTTGATCAAAATTGGCAAATATAACCTTTATAAAGAATGACGCATATTGGAATAAGCATTTATAAACATTTACGTAGGGTAATGTCAGTTTTCATGACAAGCTTATGTAGGTGTCATGTAGCCTTATGAACAGCACCCTACAGTGAAGTGTTACCCAAAGTTTTTGTGAATCCGGCCCGCTGGCTAAGAACCGTACTGTTCACATCAAGCTCTGTGAGCACTCTTTGGTTGAACTATCACTTTCTTTGCAATACCTTGATGTCCCCCTGAAGCCCCCCTCTCGGCCATCCAGGGGAAACTGATCCTTCCCAGGACAGGAGTGTGCTCGGACGTCAGCCGGAACTGAGCAAAGCCGTCATGAACGCTGTCTGCACAGGACAAGGATAAAACCATGGAACGCCAGCAGATCTTGCAGGACGCATACAGTGCTGTGAAAAAGTATTTGCGCCTCACCCGACGACTTCTATTTTTGCTAATTTGCAATTGTTGCAAATTAAATGTTTCAGATCATTCATTTTATATCCATCCATCCATCCATCCATCCAACTAGCATCTATCCACCCATTTATCTGACCTGCTGGGACAGTTTATTACAGTAGCTGGTTTCTGTCTGACTACAGGAAGCTTAAACTAAAGGTTCCTAAAACTCAGCCCTGGACAAAATATTACCTTTATATTTAATCTGCAATGCTTTTTTGAATAAGAAAAAGATGATTTGTCCTAAAACAGGAAATAAATGTGATAAAGGATATATAAATAATAAAAGTAAATGTCAGAGATTTCATAGAAAGCATTAAATTTAACATTCTGATCATGTAGACACTCTGATACACTACTTATGTTTTAAAATAAATTTGAGTATAAACTTTTTGTGGTCCTTGAAAATCGTTGCTTCTTTTCATGTTTTGTCAGATAGAACCTTATAACTCCAAACAGAAAGTGAGTTCTTAGAATCAAAGGTTCTGTCTGCATTTGATCTGTTCCAAAAAACACTCATTTATAAATCTGAAAGGGTTTTGATATTTTACATTTAGGACACGTTTAGGGTGTCTGTCATTTTCATGCATGGAGGACTCGTGTTCCACATATCAGTTCTGCTATTTGGAATGCAAAATCTTTGAAGCTCAATATCTCGAAACTGCTCAGAACACAGACAGAACCGCATAATGACGATATAACATACTAAAACAGACCAGACAAGCACTTTTAAAAGTATTTATCTAAAATAAAAAACATTAAACAGAAGAGAGACTAATGAAGAGCCATGGAGAGGAGCTGTGAACATCCGTATGTATGCAGGTCTGCAGTTACCTCTGCTACACAGCAGTGGGGAATAGCGCCGATGCATGATGCGTCTGACTGAATTGTGAAGCACAATGAGCACCGTGTATCCCTGAGGATCGTAGTCTGGGTCCACATCATCATACAGGGTGACCTCTGGTGGCCTGTAGGGACTGACAGGTGGGCAAGAGGGAATCAGAAGAGAGGAAGGAAGGTGAGGTTGTGAGAAAAACAACCCACACACAGAAGCCAACAGCACCATACCAGGACAGTGACCCCAGAAGACTTCTTTCCACCAGCTTGTGGAAGTGCAAGTTGGCCATGATGAAGGCGATCGTCCACGTGCCCTACAGACGCATTAATAAAGCACAAAGCAAATACATTAATGCATCGGTCTGGGCTGGGTATCGATCAAAATACTGGCACCAATATCAATACCTGAACAACACCAGTGGTGGACAGTAATGAAGTAAATGTAATTCATTACTGTACTTAAGTAGTTTTTCCTGTATCTATACTTTACTGAAGTTTTTCCATTTTGGGCGACTTTTTACTTTCACTCCACTACATTTCAAAGTCAGATATCTCACTTTTTACTCCACTACATTATGAGAAATCTGTCGTTCCTTTTGGTTTATGTGTGTATAAAAACGTAACATGTCAAAACGAAAGAAGCGCGAAGCAAAAACACCAATCAGGGCACAGCGGTCACTTTGTTTTGAGCTTGTTTTGACCTGTTGGTCATACCGACCCAGTGCAGCACACGGTTCAACATCAGTGCAGCAGCGTAAAATTTTGGGAGTCTATTCAACATAAATGATGAACTAACCTAACTTTGTGTAAATAGACCACAATATAGAAATATGTACACATATGCAGTTGTGACTGACGTGTCTTTATTCTGAATTTATACAAACACATTTCATTTTACAGTAAATTAGTTTAGGCTAGTTTATGTTTATGAACAGAGACCTACAGATGCAGTTTAGTAAAGGAAACTCATTTGTGAATCTGAGTTTAAAGTTTTTATTAAACTTAAACTTGAAACTAAGTTCAAATAAATCTTAAACTGAAACTTTGCTTGTTTGTAAAAAGTGATTTCAGAGCCACTCAGTTCTACCTGATGGAAACTGTTTGCCTTCAGTGTTTTGTGCTTATGATAATTTTAATAGACATCAGCGTCACTAATTAATGACATTCTATTAAAAGACTGGTTTACCAAGAGAGACACTGGAGTATTTTCACCTAAAATGAGTTAATGAAGCGAGTCTTGTTATAAAAATGATAATAGATCATTAGAGTCATAATTAATCTTTTAGTACTTTTATTTTGATACTTAAGTACATTTGAAGGCAAATACTTTTGTACTTTTACTCAAGTGGAGGTCTAAAGGGAGGAACTTCTCCTTTTACTGGAGTAATATTTTACCTTGGGTTTCTCTACTTTAACTCAAGTACATGGTTTGTGTACTTCGTCCACCACTGAACAATACTTCCTTTTCAATAATATTGTCTCTATCGTGTGATATAATACCATAACAACACCATAAAGTATCAAATTTCAATAAGGCCTATAAAATTCCATAGTATTGACTCATCACAGTTTGAGTGCACCTTTTCCATAAGGCTCATCTTAATGCCAACGGCACTGAGCAGGGCCAGTCATGGGGCTGGAGGTTAAGGAACCAGCCCTGTGACTGGAAGGTCACTGGTTCGATTCCCTGAACCCCCCAACTGCTTCCCAGGCACTGTGGATAGGGCTGCCCTCTGCTTCGGGCAATTGTGCTCACTGCCCCCTAGTGTGTATGCAGTGTTTCACTGCACGGATGGGTTAAATATGGAGGTGAAATTTCCCTGTTGTGGGACTAATAAGGGTCACTTAATGTCAACGTGAAATAAGAACACACCTTTTTATCTTGTTAGTTCATGTTCCTGGTCATATACATATCGTCCCCATGGAATTATAAGGTTCTGTCTGTGTTCTGACCAGTTTTGAGATATTGAGCTTTTATTGAGATTTTGCATTCCAAACAGCAGAACTGATACGTGGAACACAACTCCTTCATACATGAAAATGACAGACGCCCTAAACGTGTCCTAAATGTAAAATATCAAAACCCTATCAAATCTGGACATTAGTTTTTCGGACAGAACCTTCTAATCCTAAGAACTCACTTTCTGTTTGGAGTTATAAGGTTCTATCTGGCAGAACATTAACTTTAATGCTTTCTGTGACGTTTTTAGAACATCTAGTTTTATTATTTACTTATTTTTTAATAACATTTATTTCTCGTTTTAGGACAATTCATCTTTTTCTTATAAAGAAAAAAAACATTAATTGATAGATTAAGTATAAAGGTCAGTGCTAAATAATCTGTCCAGTGCAGAGGTCAGTTTTAGGAACCATTAGTTTAAGTGTCCTTTAGTTTAGATAGAAACCAGCTACTGTAATAAACTGTCCCAGCAGGTCAGTGTAGCAGGTCAGTCTAAAGCCCATGTTTCTACAATATTGTCCATTTTATCAGCTCCACTTACTATATAGGTGCACTTTGTAGTTCTACAGTTACAGACTGTAGTCCATCTGTTTCTCTGCATACTTTGTTAGCCCCCTTTTACCCTGTTCTTCAGTGGTCAGGACCCCCATGGACCCTCACAGAGCAGGTACTATTTGGGTGGTGGGTCATTCTCAGCATTGCAGTAACACTGACGTGGTGGTGGTGTGTTAGTGTGTGTTGTGCTGGTCTGAGTGGATCAGACACAGCAGTGCTGCTGGAGTTTTTAAACACTGTGTCCACTCACTGTCCACTCTATTAGACACTCCTACCTTGTCAGTCCACCTTGGAGATGTAAAGTCAGAGACGATAGCTCATCTGCTGCTGCACAGTTTGTGTTGGTCATCCTCTAGTCCTTCATCAGTGGTCACAGGACGCTGCCCACAGGACGCTGTTGGCTGGATATTTTTGGTTGGTGGGCTATTCTCAGTCCAGCAGCGACACTGAGGTGTTTAAAAACTCCAGCAGCACTGCTGTGTCTGATCCACTCAGACCAGCGCAACACACACTAACACACCACCACCACATCAGTGTTACTGCAGTGCTGAGAATGATCCACCACCCAAACAGTACCTGCTCTGTGAGGGTCCATAGGGGTCCTGACCACTGAAGAACAGGGTAAAAGGAGGCTAACAAAGTATCAGAGAAACAGATGGACTACAGTCTGTAACTGTAGAACTACAAAGTGCACCTATATAGTAAGTGGAGCTGATAAAATGGACAATGAGCGTAGAAACAAGGAGGTGGTCATAATGTTATGCCTGATCGGTGTATATTGTCATATTGGCCAGGACTTCAAAATACCTTCTCTGAAACTATTTATTTGTGCTAACAGGTAGCTCGCTTCTTTGCCCTTGTGGAAGATCTTCAGGCTGCCAAAGGTGAGTGATTTACAGTCCGGGTTCATGAGGTTCTTGGTGTCTAAAAATGAAGAATGTAATTGGAAACTTGTCTACGTTGACAGAGTGTCTGAACACAGCGTACCCGCCAGATCCCCACAGTGATCCCTTCATCAAACTGCAGCAGTTTCACCAGCTTGTCTGTCCCAATGAACTTCCACCTCTCCATCCTGCACACGTCTGTTTTGCTGATGAGAGAGCGCCACTGCGGCCTGATCAAGAAAGAAACAGAAAAAACAAACATCAGAGCAGCAGAACACACTGCACTGACTTATAACACAAACCAGGAGCACTTCAGCTACACTCACATTACGAACTGTATTCGACCAGTTCTGATTTTTTGCTTAGATATGTTGCACTGACGTATACAAGCAAGTGAGCCATATCTGTCATTAGTAGCCCTGAAAGGACGTCGTCACTGTCCAAAGAAAAACTCTCCAAAATGGTAACTTTACAGGAGACAAACATGTTACTAGCTTTTAATGTACGTTAATGTACAGAGATTTTGGGCCATTTCTATTGGTCCAATTATTATGGAATTTTCAGACAATCTAAAGGATTAAAATACGTACATACATACATCCATCCATCATCTAAACCGCTTATCCTTCTAGGGTCGCGGTGGGGTGCTGGAGCCTATCCCAGCTGTCATTGGGCAGAAGGCAGGATACACCCTGGACAGGTCGCCAGTCCATCACAGGGCAGACAGACAGACATACACATTCACACCTAGGGGCAATTCAGCATGTCCAATCAGCCTGACTGCATGTCTTTGGACTGTGGGAGGAAACCGGAGTACCCGGAGGAAACCCACGCAGACACGGGGAGAACAGGCAAACTCCACACAGAAATGACCCTGGTCACCCGGCCAGGGAATCGAACCCAGGCCCTTCTTGCTGTGAGGCGACAGCGCTACCCACTGCGCCACCGTGCCGCCAGGATTAAAATAATGTAGAAAAAACAAAAAATGACAAAAATGGAGATACATCTTTTTCTTTGGACAGTGATGATATTCATAATCTTATTTGCAAGACAGTTCCTGACTGCAGCAGCGAAAAAATGAATGAAGTATCTAAGTAAAAGCCTTTACTATGCAGATTTGCTCTGGAGGTGTGGTCAGCTCTTTGCTTTTGCTGTTATATTATAGATTATATTATAGATGTCCACTTCTGTCCACGAAATATGTGAGGTGATCAAAAGTGATATGCACACATGGAGTGAAGTTCAGAGCAGATGTGACAGCCTCGCACACTGATTAAACGTGGGTGTCCAACTACCTGTTACCGGTTTGTTCCTCCTCGGACCACTGTGGGTAGGTATTCACCACTGCTGACCAGGAGACCCCACAAGCCTTACGACCCGGTCACCTGGCCATAATCATCTGGCCCTTGTCAGAGTCACCTGCTCATTTCCCCCACATCCAACACATTGTGTACAACATCTGCTGCTGCGTTTGTGTTGGTCAGCCTACAGGCCTTCATCAGTGGTCACAGGACGCTGCCCACAGGATGCGGTTGGCTGGATGTTTTTGGTTCTCAGTCCAGCAGCGACACTGACATGTTTAAAAACTCCAGCAGCACTGCTGTGTCTGATCCACTCAGACCAGCACAACACACACTAACACACCACCACCACGTCAGTGTTACTGCAGTGCTGAGAATGACCCACCACCCAAATAGTACCTGCTCTGTGAGGGTCCATGGGGGTCCTGACCACTGAAGAACAGGGTAAAAGGGGGCTAACAAAGTATCAGAGAAACAGATGGACTACAGTCTGTAACTGTAGAACTACAAAGTGCTCCTATATAGTAAGTGGAGCTGATAAAATGGACAATGAGCGTAGAAACAAGGAGGTGGTCATAATGTTATGCCTGACCGGTGTACATATACATACATACATACATACATATATGTATATGTTTCAACTGTATGTGTTGCTAAACACGGTAAACAAAGCTTGGAAAAAGAAATCTTCCATTTGTAACTTAATTAACTGTGGACAGTGACATTACGAAAGTGGCTCAAACCTGATTTCCCAAAATCACATCCTTGTCGCAAAAACATGCCGTACTCCCTTTTCTCCTCTATGTTGCCTTACTTGTCTGTGGTAGTGGAGGTGAAGGGACGAATCACTCCGTGGAGCTGCAGAGTGGAGACCTGTCGGATTCGAGGCCACACACCGTTGCTCCAGCACACAGTGACAGACGAGTCTGAGAAGAAGTTGTGGTTCTGCTTATAGACACTCTCCTGACCTCCTTTCTGGGTCAGAGTGATCTCCCAGCTCACACGCAGACTCCTACCACACACAAGACACTGGAAATTTGTGGAGCTGACTGGGCTGCGCAAGGTACCTGCTCAATCTTCACTTTTTATACTCTACTGAATACATATTAATACAATATTACAGCACTCAACCCTCTATTGCACGATGTTGCCTCAGGGCAACAAACTCATTTTCCTCACTTTACAATAACGTTATACAAATTTAAAGACAAAGAAAGGGTTAACAACAAAGGAAAGTTTGAGTAAATCAATAAAAAGCATGTGCTTAGTTATACTATCTCTTAGTCGGCACATTTAAACCTCTTTTTTTAACATTCAGTATCAATTTTTTCGTGAGAATTTGCAGAAATATATTTGTTGCCTAGAAGCAACGCTGTGTGACAGTGGAGTGGATTTAGCCAGTCACAAGCCAGATCTCACCACTTCAGGCAACACGGCTCTATATCATTTCTTCTTATTGTTGCACAAAGTTGCCTCAAGGCAACAAACTCCAAAAGGACCCCTGAACACATTTTATTTTAATTTTTTTTTTGTTTTTGAATTTAATAATCAGGCCCGAAAAAAATAAATCAATTATTTTATTCAAGAAAAGTGAATTGAATATATATATATATATATATATATATATATATATATATATATATATATATATATATAAATTGCTTTCATAATGTGCACAGTAGAAGGTTAATGCCAGTCTCACCATGTCCTGAACAACACTTTCCTGTTTCTGATGGTCATTTTGAGTTGAGTTCAGTAAACAATGGCAGCATATTTTGAAATCAATTGTACTATACTGTAATTTTCAGTAAGGATTCATCTAAACTATGGGTCAATAATAATAATAATAATAATAATAATAACCTTAATTTTTGGCGTTTTAAGATAAGATCACACAATAATCTGTACATGAAGTTCAGTAAGTGTAGGATTAAAGACACGAACTGCTAATGTTGATTTCCTCATATGATTTGGGCGACACAGATTACTGCAGTGAGGAGTTTTCAAATGTCTAATTGGATTTATGGTACTGAAAGTCTTTAATGTGTCTCGCTCTACATTAAGCAGAACATTTGTCTGAAAACTGAAGTTCTGCTGTTCTCCACACAGCACAATCACAGCTACATCAAATTATCACTCATAATTACCAACCATAATTCCAATATCAGACTGATAATAATAATAATTACATTTTCCTGCTTAGACACTAATTATATGGGCACTAATAAATCAGATATCAAATCAATTAAAGACAGTCTGAACCCATTACAACATGCATAAAACTTAAATAATATATATATATATTAAAAGCACCTTTTTTTGAGTTGAAACACCATTTTTACAGTGTGCAGCCTGTCTTTGCAGACTGGATCCACAAGAGTATGAAAAAAAAATCAGTATAATATTTAACTTAAACTAAACTGAACTGAGAACATAGAACAACACAGAACACAGAGGAGATGTACAGATAGAGGTCTGCACTCCCGCGGGACCTGACACAATATCTTGCGGCGCGGGACAAATTTTCAGTGTTGCTTGCGGGAGCGGGTGGAAATCAGACCCCTTAAGGCGGGAATGGGTGGAAATCAGACCCCTTCAGGCAAGAGTGGGTGGAAATCAGACCCCTTCAGACAGGAGCGGGCGGAAATCAGACCCCTTCAGGCAAGAGTGGGTGGAAATCAGACCCCTTCAGGCAAGAGTGGGTGGAAATCAGACCCCTTCAGGCAAGAGTGGGTGGAAATCAGACCCCTTCAGGCAGGAGCGGGCGGAAATCAGACCCCTTCAGGCAAGAGTGGGCGGAAATCAGACCCCTTCGGGCAGGAGCGGGCGGAAATCAGACCCCTTCAGGCAGGAGCAGGTGGCAGCACACATATAGAGAAATTCCGCAAATGAATGAACAGCCTTAAAAAGTAGAACGATCACTAAAACACATATAAACAACAGAACAGTTAAGATGAATAAAGTTATTCTCGAGCATGAACAACACGCAGATTCTCATAGGTCTGATTCACACATACTGTGTCTGCGGCTGTGAGCGATGCAGCAAGTCTTGCTTTTCATTTCGGTGCCGATGTTAAGTGGTCAGCACTTTCAAACAGGCTGAGCATGCTTCACGCAGCAAAATACACAGAAATAAGCCATGAAAATCCATGAAAATTAAACACAAGACCATATAAAAACTCAAAGAGGTGGTTTTTGCGTAATTCATGATGAAATACTATTTAAACATTCCAGGCTGCAGACAGATTCCCAGCTGGTCTACCAGGCTTGCTGTCCAGGACAAACAAATATACAGTGTACATTTATAAATGATATTTCTATTGATAAGAGTGACTGAAGTGACCATTTATCCGCCTGGAAACAGGAATGTCTGTATAACTTTGTCGCTGCTCCGCAGCTCAAAGGCTGTATATATGAAAGGCCAGCGTGTCCGAGCTGTAGCGCTCGCGCTGACGCATCACTCTCACCATACCGAGGCAGCATGTGTGAATCAGGCGTTAGAGAGAGGGAGGAGCCTTTAGTCCGACGGCCACAGCTGCCCAGAACACCAAAAATAACCGCTCTGTGGTTCGATTCCTGCTTTTTATTTACTGGTAATAAATGGTGTTTGGTGAAGTTACTCACAGTGAGCCTGGTGACCATGACTGCTGTGTAATTTAAGCAGAGGATAATGTATTTGAGATTAGACTGTGTCAGATATTGGATGTGCGCAGGACTGCGCGGGCAGGGAGGACAAAAAAAAAAATAGAAAAAAAAACAGTATAAACACTATAAACTCTCAGCAGCTCAGAAACTGATCTGAAGAGTGAATGAACTTGCAGAAAGAAAAGATGCCAGGTGTTGAGTAGCACACAGGCAGATTACGGTACAGTTATGTTCCCTGACTAAAGGAACTGAGATGTACCCTTGAGGGTTCCACCCCAGTGACAGTTTAGTACCTTTATTTCCGAGTGTATAGCTACGTTCACATTACAAGCCTCACTGCTCAAATCTGATTTTTTGCTCAAATCCGATCTCTCTGACACGATGGTTCACACTCGTTTAGGCAAGTGACTCAAATCTGTCATTAATGTGACGAACCGGCGTCCTGAAATGACCCTCATGAGCTCATCCTACTCAGTAACGTCACGTGAATGAATCACGTTCATCATCAGCACAAACTAACGAGCAGAACGAGCTTCGCTGAGAAGATCATTAACTCTGATCAGCTCTCAGCTTCATTATTAGAGCGAGAGGAAGGAGAAAAAGGTGAGATGAGCTGCTTTTCCACCGTTTACAGGCTTTAACTTCTGTTCAGCGCTGCTGCCATGGTAACGCTGAATGATGGCGCAGTGAAAAAAAGCACATGAATTCCGATCTGAGCATCACATTAAGGTCGCCTGGCCACGAATCGGATACGTATCCGATCTAGGACCACATATGAAAGTGACTCAGGTCAGATTTGAAAAGATCAGATTTGTGTCCACACAGCTCTGAAAACATCAGATCTGAGTCACATCAGGGCAGAAAATCGGATTTGTGCCACTTCAGCCTGGTAATGTGAACGTAGCCTATAATCTGTGCGTAAGTTAAAGAGCACATCTGACCCGAGGAGCTGCTGCGTTTGTGCTGGCATGCCTGTGTACGGGTTAATGTGCCTCAGCTCCTTCTTCCAACTGGTGTCTTTGGGGCATCCCATCTCCCTGAAGATCAGCCTCTTCCAGAAGCCCGGAGGCATGTCCTGCACCCCGGCCGGGCTCTCCGGCTGAACAGCCAGCCGGGGTCTCCATCTCTTTCTCTCAATCTCATGAGCGTATAACTCGTACCATATGGCGCTGGAAGAGCAAGTCAGTGTGAACAGTGAGATGCAGAGATGCACAGTTCTGATTCAGTTCAGTTACCAATGATTCAGTGCATCATCATGAAAATCAAAAATTCTACCACAATTCATCTCACCCGTCGCTAAGCCCCGCCCCTTAGCCACTGCTGCTACATCCGACAAGCTTTCAGACTCAGCTTGACGACTATAGACTACTCAGCGGCAGTGGTACACACTTAAAAAGGATGTTTATTCATGGGTTCTTCAATAAAGAAAATGGTTCTATATAGAACCATGAACACTCAAAGAACTCTTTGCATCATTAAAGGGTTCTTTGCATGGTAAAATGGTTCTTCGGATTAATGGAGAATGTGTTATGTAAGGTTCCATGTAAAACCTTCTTGAAAATGGTTCTATGTAGAACCAAAAAGTGTTCATTTATTATAAGCTTGACATCATAACAATAGAAGAACCCTTTTTGGTGCTATATAGAACCATATACAGCACATTCTCCATTAATCTGAAGAACTATTTCATGCACTCAAGAACACTTTGCATGATTGTGTGTTCATGGTTCTATGTAGATCTCTTTTCTTTACTAAACAACCCTTGAAGGACTACTCTTTTTAAGAGTGTTTGATTAGAAGGGTCAATAAAATGTGGAACTATCTAGACCGTAGTGGAATACAGACGCTGAAAACAACACAATATTTATTATAATTATATATCACTGTTGTTGGAACAAAACCTCGTATCTCCAAAATGGTAACTTTACAGGAGAAGGAAAAAACATACTGTACTTTTAATGTAAGTCAATGGAACCAGACATTTTTCCAAGTCATTTTGGGTCGTTTCTTTTGGTTCATTCGCCATGAAATTTACACACAATATAAAGGACTACAGGTATTTTCAAATTATGTCAAAAACTGAAAAACGACAAAAATGGAGATACAAGGTTTCGTTCCGACAGCAGTGATATGATAATTGCTTCTGACATTCCAAAATAAGTGCAGATGAATCGATAAGAAGGTTCATCTTTAGATCTTAAATGTGTTTAAACTCCAAAATCACCTACTTGTCATTTGCCAGTTTGTGAAACTGCCTGTTGACAAACGTGACACAGAGAAGAGAATCAGCATCCAGATACGAGAAAATCTTCAGGATGATCTCAGGAGGCAACCTGGTGAGGGATGATAGATGCAGTCAGTCTTCCTATCACACTGAGGGTTAGAGGTGGGTGACACAGCAAAAAACAACACTGAGTGTGTTTACATGCACTCAATACTCCAATCATAATCTGATTTCTGCAGTCATCTGATTATTCAAATGGTCATGTAAACAGCTCACTGATTTCTTAGATCAGAGTAAGGCCTAGAAATCTGATAAAGAGTCTGGATTTTAGCTCAGTAATCAGATTTCTCAGTGCATGTAACTCTTACTCTGATTTCTTTCGGATTTCTCAGTCTGAGCATGTGCGAAAACAGACGGCGGTACCGGAAATAAGTGAGCAGCGTCGCTCCAAAAGTGTTTTGCTGCGTCTCGCGGCGACGCTACTCGCTTATTTCCGGTACCACCGTCTGTTTTACACGCTTAACGAAATGAAGGATTTAAAATGTTCTTCATCTTCTAGATCCCATGTGTCAAACACAAGGCCACCAGGTGTTTTTTTAAGCATTACACAACTTTACCAGCCTTTTGTTGCCCCCGTCCCAACTTTTTTGGAATGTGTTGTTAGCTTCAAATTCATAATGGGCAAATATTTGTCAAAAAACAATAAAATGTCTCAGTTTCAAAATCTGATATGTTGTCTTTGGAGCATTTTCAATGAAGTATAGGGTTTAAATGACTTACACATCACTGCTTTTGTTTTATTTACATTTTTCACAGCGTCCCAACTTTTTGGGAAACGGAGCTGTACTGACAGCACCTGCAGTGTGTTTAAGAAATCGCTGAAATTTATCAAGATAATGATAACACACTGTATCGTCAACCCGCCACCAGGGGGTCAGGAAAACTGCAGCACAACTGACACAACAGATTAACTTGCCTTTCAATGTAATTTTCGCAATTGTAGAAGACACGTGGCATGGAGACGGTGGAAGGTGGGGAGGGAGGAGGGCCTGGAGGTGGAGGAGGAGGTCGCGGGAGGAGGATGGGGAACAGGGAGCTCCGCTGGTCTGGTGTTCTCGCTCCTTTGTCTGCACAGAGAGAGAAAAAGATATTGTAAAGATATTCAGCATGAATGAAGAGGCGGCTGCTGATGAATATATATATGTTTATACACAGTTCAGGCATAACATTCTGACCACCTCCTTGTTTCTATGCTCGTTGTCCATTTTATCAGCTCCACTTACTATATAGGTGCACTTTGTAGTTCTACAGTTACAGACTGTAGTCCATCTGTTTCTCTGATACTTTGTTAGCCCCCTTTTACCCTGTTCTTCAGTGGTCAGGACCCCCATGGACCCTCACAGAGCAGGTACTATTTGGGTGGTGGATCATTCTCAGCACTGCAGTAACACTGACGTGGTGGTGGTGTGTTAGTGTGTGTTGTGCTGGTCTGAGTGGATCAGACACAGCAGTGCTGCTGGAGTTTTTAAACACCTCAGTGTCGCTGCTGGACTGAGAATAGTCCACCAACCAAAAATATCCCGCCAACAGCGTCCTGTGGGCAGCGTCCTGTGACCACTGATGAAGGACTAGAGGATGACCAACACAAACTGTGCAGCAGCAGATGAGCTATCGTCTCTGACTTTACATCTCCAAGGTGGACTGACAAGGTAGGAGTGTCTAATAGAGTGGACATTGAGTGGACACAGTGTTTAAAAACTCCAGCAGCACTGCTGTGTCTGATCCACTCAGACCAGCACAACACACACTAACACACCCCCACCACGTCAGTGTCACTGCAGTGCTGAGAATGATCCGCCACCCAAATAGTAAATAAACTAAATAGAACTATTCCTTTTACTAAAGAACTCTTAAAGAACCACATTTTTAAAGAGTGTACCTGGCCTGGTTCTGTATAGAACTCAGGGTTCCAAAGAGTACTATTCCCTTTACTCAACAACTCTAGAGGAGCTATCCTTTTTAAGACAGTACATGGCCTGGTTCTATATAGAACTCAGGGTTCTAAACAGGACCATTAACTTTACTAAACAACCCTTGAAGATCTGTTTTTAACAGTTTACCTGACCTGGTTCTGTATAGAACTATTCCCTTTACTAAACAACTCTAGAGAAACTATCCTTTTCACAGAGTGCCTGGTCTGGTTCTATATAGAACTCAGGCTTCTAAACAGAACCATTACCTTTACTAAACAACCCTTGAAGAACCATCTATTTTTAAGAGTGTACCCGACCTGGTTCTGTATAGAACTCAGGGTTCTTAATAGAATTATTCCTTTTACTAAAGAACTCTTAAAGAACCATCTATTTTTAAGAGTGTGCCTGGCCTGGTTCTGTACAGAACTCAGGGGTTCTAAACAGAACCATTCCCTTTACTAAAGAACCCTTTTGGAACCACCTTCATTCACCATCCATTAAAGTTGTACCTGGCCTGACAAAAGAACACGACCTGATGTGCAGTGACGTCACCGCCTTACCTGCCGGCGCGTGCAGAACCTGCATGTTTCTTCTTCCGGTCTCTGAGCCCACCCGGCCGGGCCTGCTGGAGCCCCTGCATCAAACTCAGGAAAAACTGACCACGGCCAGCAGCCATGAGGGGGGCGTCAGTGTGCTGGGGGTCTTTTGCCTTCGGTTCACCAGCTACAGGTAAAGCAGACGCCCCTCTGAGTCAGAGCTCATCACTGAACTGCAGCACGTGCGCAGCATCACCTTCATCACACCTCGCCGCGCAGTTTGGGGACATTTCCACACATCCGGCGTTGTGGCATTGTGGGATTTAGTGTTTATGTGAATTAATCAATCAATCAGCCTTTATTTGAACTCGGTGTACATTGAGGGCGACCCTCATTTACCGTTTAGCCAATACACAAAAAATGAAGAAGGGATTGAAAAGAGTAAACGTAAATTTGTGATGATAAAAGTATAGCAGAGAAATAAAATAAAATATTATTAAAACAGTAATTAAAAAAAATAGAAAACGTTAAGACAAATTAGGACAACCAGTTAAATCATTATTATTTATTATTAAGCAGATTAGTTAAAAAATAAAAGTAATCAGTAATAAAAGTAAATAAAAGTACTGAGTAGGGTAAGAACAGAAAGATAAAGTAGAAAACAATAATAAACAGTAATAGTAATGATACAATAATACAAATAAGTAAGATAAATGACAATAAAAAATAACGAAAACAACTAAAAATCTCTCTCTATTTTTTTTTCTTTCAGTGCTTTTAAAAGGGTGACCCTCATTTACCGTATAGTCGAGCATTACACAGAAAATGAAGAACGGACTGAAAAGAGTAAACATAAATTTGTGATGATAAAAGTATAGCAGAAAAAATAAAAAAATATATTTTAAAATAATATTAATTTAATTAATTAATATTATTTTTAAAAAAAGTAATTAAAATCGGGACAACCAGTTAAATTATTATTAATTATTATTAAGCAGATTAGTTAAAAAATAAAAGTAATCAGTAATAAAAGTAAATAAATAAAAAATACTATGTAGAGTAAAAGATACTAAATACTAAACAGTAATAGTAATGAAACAGTGATACAAATAAGTAAAATAAATGACAATAAAAAATAAAGAAAACAAATAAAAGTCTCGTTTTTTTTTCTTTCAGTGCTTTTAACGTTACATATTTCCTTCAGGCCGTGGATGTCAGAGGAGGCTAAAAGTACTGATGCTAAAAGTAAAAATAACCAAGTGGAAATAATACCAAAAACAACTTTAGTGTAAAAAAAAATAGCTAAAAGGGTCAGTAAGACGAAGCTGAAGTCAGCTTCTTTGTTTGAATTTCCCCGTTCCACCTTAAATCCTCAGGCGCCAGAATGTAACTGCGGCACCATTTAAGGTGGAACGGGAAAATTCGAAAAAAGAAGCTGGATAATTGAAAGTTACCTCAGCATCGTGGAAGAAGGTACATGTGAAAGCTCATATGCTGGATTCTGGATGTACAGAGTGGCTCTAATACTGTACAAAAACCGCAGAATATGGATTCGTACTCGAGTGCAGACCCCACGGACTACATCTCCCAGAGTTCATTGCTTCAAAACACAACAGAAGGCGGGCTTAACTTTGACAGGCTGTTGGCTAGCTAAGCTAATCTCTGCGGCTTTCAGTTGTTTTGGCCTTTAGTCTCTTTCTTCCAGATCTCTCCGGGCAGAAGAATAAAACCCTCTTTTCTGGGGCAGAATGGCTTGTCCAGTCAATCAGTCCGGTAAGCAGTGAGATTAAATTTGGCGTTAGCTTATTAGCTAACTGGCTAACGCACTTTAACCTAGAGCACTACAGCTACAGGCTAACGCTGCCCTTAAATATTAAATTGCATAAAACATTTTATTTAATATTATTTATTTTTCAGACTCAGTTGAGTCAGGCCAGCGTGCTTTGTGTCTAAATTAAAGTAACTTTACCCACTAAATTGGTTCATGTAGATAGCAGAGTATTTTCTAATGGTGATTCATTTAGTTCTACTTAAAGGAGGATTACACCACTTTTTCAAAATTCCTACATAATTCAGTAGTTGAGATGCAAACAGAGTCATTCAGAGTGGTTTGGTGTGAAATGTTTCAGATTTGTTTACAGTGAACCTACAGGTGTCTTCTAAATGTGTATATGCAATGTTGATCATGGTAAAATAGTGGAAAATCTTTAAAAATACGTTTTCTTTGGGGTCTTTTTTGCCTAACAGTGCCTTGCATGTATCCTTCCACTGTGAGTGGATGAAAATAAATTCATTAAAATACCTTTGAGACCAAAACTGTATCACAAAACAATGTCTCAGACATCAGGAAGTGTACCCATTTTATGTAATACCTGGTTCCTATCACCACCACTGTGAATAATTATGTCTCAGTGCGTTTCTCTACAATGGAGCATTTCACAACAAACCACTCTGAATGATGTTGTTGACATGTTAACAGTTTATTTATACAGAAATCTTGAAAAATCGGTAGAGTTCCTCTTCTACTTGTGATGAAAAAGTTAGCTACTTTTTCTCCTGTTTACATTCAGCTCCTAAATCAGTTTTCTGGTTTAATTATGTTGTTTTTTAGCTCCTGTACTGTTTTACTGTTGCTCTTCTCACTTTGGAGCTTCAGCCTTTTATTGTAGACCAAAAGGACCCAAAAAGAGGAGAAGAGAGCATAATATACTTCACATTGTATGCTGACAGATATTGGCTGTACTATCATGTTTCACTGGAACTCAGGCGTGTAGATTTAGGCCCTCTTTGATATTCAGATGCATGTTTGTAAATGTGTATAAGTGTCAAGTCAAATCCAGCTGAACCTTTCTTGGCAGCTGTGGAGCTGAACCCGGCCGTGCTCCCTCTCGACTGGCTCTTGGGCACCTGGGAGTCAGACGAGCCGGGCGAAGGGTCATTTCCCTCCATCTCACCTTTCCGCTACATCGAGACGCTGCACTTCTCCCACGTGGGACAGCCTGTGATCAACTTCATGTAAGCAATTCAGAGTTTTTTTTGTGATCATTTTTTTTTATTTGTTTCCTGTTAATCAAGCAGCATTTTATCACAACATTACAGAACTGCAGGAAATCAAAACCCCTTACCCATATATTTCGCCATACTATGTTCCAATCAGTTGAATTAAATGTAAGCAATTCAGAGTTCACAGACACATACTAAAGTGGCGCACTCAGTGTAAAATAATCATTTAGACTCTACCTTTTGTTGCCTCTTTTGTCCTGTCAACAAAATTAGATTCATGAAAAAGCTAGATTCCCCTGAGCTGTACAGAAAACATCATATTCTGTGTTACAGTTGTTGTTAACTTACTGTTTGAGGTTCAGTTGACTCAGAAGGCAGCTAGTGTTTACTTTTTTTTTAAGAGGATCCATTATGCTCTTTTTCAATGTTCACAGTTTTATGTTAGGGGTCGACTAGAATAGATTTACATGCTTAAATGTTCCAAAAACCCATTATTTCTCTTATACTGTACATCTCTATGCAAACTCTGTCTGAAACGCTCTGTTAGAGCTCCTGTGTCTTTAAGCTCAGCGTCCTGACGAGCCCAGTGTGCTCTGATTGGTCAGCATGCCCACTCTGTTCAGAGCCCCTCCATGTTCCGCCCCTGTCCTGCAGTCTACAGACAGACCCTTCTCTTCTGAGCAGCTGTAAACTCCTCTGTAGCTGTTTCTCCAGCGGCGTCGGTTCTGCTGTTTGGATCCATCCTGAAAGTCCGGTCAGCGTTGTCTCCACACGCTACAGCACTGAACACACCCTTCCTCCTCCAGTAGCTGCTGTGTGCTGTGTGAGGGCGTGCCGAGCTCGCCAGGAGGCGGGCAGTAAGGACTGTGTTACGAGATGATGTCATCTTGTAACAAAGGAAAAGGGCTGGAATTCCATTGAGGCGTTTCAGGCAGCGGAGAAAAGTGGTTTCTGTTGGAGAGAGTTTCTCCCTCTGGAGCAGGCGTACCTTCCGGGCCAAAGTGCTGCGGAGATTAGCATTTACCCTCATCTAACGCTCTGAATTCAGTTAATGAAGGCTTTGCTAATTAGCTGATGAGCTGAATCAGGTGTGTTTAGTGAGGCAGTGAGCTGAAGTCTGCAGACTTTTGGCCTGTGAGGACTGGAGCCTGCCACATGTGATCTGGAGCAAACTTTGAGATTTGTTACTTTGCTTTTGTGGCTGTTTACAAGCGCAAAAAGCTACAACACACTAAAGGAAAGTGGAAAAAAACATAATAGGTCCCCTATAAGTTAAAACCAAAGACATATAGCAGTGCAATAGAAAACAACAGTACAGTACAGTACAGTACAAAAGCTACAGTATAGGGCTGCACTTACCCACAGTTCACTGTGTGTTGTGATTCATCAGGAACATCTTATGTTGGTCAGCACACAAATTTTGGTGATGTGTTACATATTATTTGTGCATTGCAACCTTGGACTATATCAGCACTGCAACGGCAGATATTATGATGACAGATAAAAAATGATATAGCGACCTGCTAGCTTCTGATAATGAATCATCAACATATTAATTATTGAACACTAACCAAATAGGATTCATACAGACCAGTGTTAAGATTAATGATGCACTGAACACAGTATATAGGAATATTCAGATATTTTTCTGCTGTCTTTACAGGTTTAATGCTTTTCATGCCGAGAGCAGAAAGCCACTTCACAGAGAATGTGGTTTCATCAGGATTCAGCCTGGCACCAACAACGTGGCCTTCATCGTCGCACAGAACTCAGGTTAGAAGGAGTTTATTTAGGATCGTGTGTTAGTTTCAGTGTCAAAGTATCTGGTTTCAGGACTAGCCATCTACTGGCCAGCAATAAAAATGGCTCTTTGTGTGAATCAGAATTAAAAAATTAAAATACAAATATACATACACAGTATGAAATATAAAAATGCAGTACTGTACAGTATCACATTTTTCTCACTTTTTTTAAATAAAAGAAATTGATGTAGTGTGTAAGTATTATTCAAGATTTAAAACATACCCTTCAACCTCCAGTCCATACAGTCCACATATGAAAATCTGCAACTGCATAAACAGCTCATTTTGAATTCACTCATTTAGATATACATCTGCCTATTCAGCTTACAGCAGTTTAGCCCCGCCCATTCACACTGAAGTTATAAGGAGTGTTTCAGCCCAAACTGCTTTTTGAATGAGACATACAGGGCAGCCAATCAGAACATGGCTAATTTAGTCTAATTTACACATACCAATCTTTACATGTACCAGTCATATACCAAAAACATTGCAGCCAATCAGAACATGGCTAATTTACTCTAATTTACATATACCATCTTTACGTGTACAAATCATGTACCAAATTCATTGCAGCCAATCAGACCATGGCTAATTTACTCTAATTTGACATATACCAATCTTTACCAATCATATACAAGTCATATAGCAAATACAGGGCAGCCAATCAGAACATGGCTAATTTACTCTAATTTACATATACCAATCTTTACATGTACGAACCATATACCAAATACAGGGCAGCCTATCAGAGCTGAGCTCTTGTACATATATTAGTCTTAAAGACACAGTAACAGCCTGTTTAATTCTGAGGGGTTAAGGTTGGAAAATAGACATGTAAAAATTATTATGACTGTTTCTGGTAGAAAAGCCACACAGACCTTATAAGTGGAGACCAGAGGAAGAATAAAAATACGAGATAAAGTATGTGCAGGTAGTTATGTGCTCTTGCACACAGTATGTTTCATTACATTGTGTGCTTTCTAACAGGGCTGGTGGAGATCGAGGAGGGAGAGCTGATCGGTCAGCAGCTGACCCTGCATAGCCGTGCAATGGCCAGAACATCTTTTGCCAAGGAGCCGTATGTTCAGCAGGTCAGTCTGTTTTCTCCTGTTCAGTCTTTTCACAGTCTGTTTTTTTGTGTTGTGTTTCGGGTTTTCTGAATTCCTCATACACTGACCGGCCACTTCAGGAAGTCCACGTCCCTGTTTCTACATTCACTGTCCATTTCATCAGCTCCACTGACCATATAGGAGCACTTTGTGGTTCTACAGCTACAGAATGTAGTCCATCTGTTTCTCTGCATGCTCTGTTACCCTGTTCTTCAGTGGTCAGGACCCCCATGGACCCCCACAGAGCAGGTACTATTTGGGTGGTGGATCATTCTCAGCGCTGCAGTGACACTGACGTGGTGGTGGTGTGTTAGTGTGTGTTGTGCTGGTCTGAGTGGATCAGACACAGCAGTGCTGCTGGAGTTTTTAAACACTGCTGGACTGAGAATAGTCCACCAACCAAAAACATCCAGCCAAACAGCCTGTTTGGCTCTTTTTCTCACTTTTTATGCACATTCCTTTTATTCTTTTCTTTTTTGGGCTGCTCTTTGTATTTTTCGTCCTTGTTTTGCAAAAAAAATAAAAAACAGTCAGTTTTTTTCAGTTTTGCAGTTCTTTTAAAATGGTTTAAAATGATTTTGAATAAATATTCCCTTAATCAGTAATCAAATAGATTAGATATTGTAATCAATAACCAAATAGTATTGGCTAACAGAGAATATTAATTCTCTCACAAACGGTCGGCCTTAGTCTGTCTGCATAGGAGATTCTAGACACTGGAAAGCCCCTGGGTTCACAGAGAGGCCTGTGTGTACCTACTGACCCAGTGAAGAGAGGGGCAAGTTGACCTTGAAAGGTAAAGCAGACTGGTACAAACCGGTTGAAACCAGTTTTTAGGAGTGAGCTCATCATGCGATGGCCAAATTGATGGACGAAGAGATGCACCTATTAGAGAATGAGCTAATATCGAAGATTTGAGAAGTAAGGCGGGGGGATATCAAACTACCCCAGATAAATGGTATAAACTGTTGTGTGGAACACTGTATTTGTGCAGTTGGGTCTCTCGAGACCCTGAGCCACCTGATGCTGAAATAAAGAAGAAGCCTTTTTCCCTCTTTCCACAAACTCAGCGTCTGAAGACTCTTTCCTTTTTGACACTTTTGAGAACTTAGACTTAAAACAGTTATTAGTGAAAGTGTTTAGCCGGTATTAAAAGATTATTTTTTTATTCATAATATTATGTTGGAGGCCTGGGGTTAATGGGGATGGCCCTTGGTCCCGACAGTGATATGAGCTCTCTGTGGATCCGTGCTGCTGCATTTTGTATGAGTTGTAGAGGATGAATTGTTTTCTTAGGAAGTCCAGTAAAAAAGATCATTACAGTGATCAACTCTGCTTGCATGAGAAAGTTTCTCTGCGTCGCTCTGAGATAGAAAAGGCCGAACTTTATCAATAGTTCTGTAATGATAAGGAGCTACTTTAGTGACTGCGTTTACATGCAGGATAAAACAGAGCTCAGAGTCTAAGATCACACCCAGATTTCCTACTTCAGGTTTGGTATATGAAGTTAAAGGAACAGGTCTCTCATAAAGCAGCTTTCTCCGAGTTTTAGTACGAAGGATCAGCATTTCATTTTTTCCGTAATTTAATTGTAGAAAATTTTGCAACATCCACTGAGAAATATCTGATGCACAGCTTGGTCAGTCTGTCTACAGAGTCTCGATTATCAGAAGAAATGAAAATGTATAATTGTGTGTCATCAGCAAAGCTGTGAGAATCTACATTATGTTTTCTAATGACCTAATAATAATCACCTAGAGGTAACATGTGCAAAGAGAAAAGCAAAGGCCCTAAAACTGAACCTTGTGGGACTCCACAAAAAAAATAAATAATGATTTCCCAGTGAAACTAAGAACTGTCTAAGAACTAAATCTGATTTAAACCATTCTAAAACTGTGCCTGAGAGGCCTGCCAAGCATTCAAGTAGGGAAGAGCTGATCTTCCTCTGGCTTTGTACACAAGCTTCAGGGTTTCAAACTGGGCAGCTACAGAAAGACAGATAGGGAAACACAGCAGTGAAGATTGAAGGCAAGCTGTGCTGCTGCGTTCATCAAGAGCCTGGAAGAACATCAGCCAGGAGAGAACTGCAGTAGCCTCATCTATATTCCACTGTTGTGTAATCCACTATTTGAGTATTCAGTGTATTTTTTAAAACACTTCTGAATCGTGCCAACATAATCAAATCAGCTTTTGGTGAATTTGAGATTTTGTGATGCATCGAATTGTTTCTTAAAGAGCTGAATTTGATCTGAACTGTTACGAGATTTACGCCCTTGTTATTTGTGATCTTTGATCAGATTTCCAGGCTCATCCAGCTAAGGCCAGATGGCAGACTGGAGCAGACTGTTTCCATGGCGCTGGAGAACCAGCCTCTGACCCAGCATTTGCACATTACCTACCGCAGAGCCTCCTGACCGCAGAAGAGCCAGGAACCAGCCGGAGCAGATGGCCTAAAACGTCCTACATGCACTCAGTGATTTATTCATGTTCTATGCACCCTCAATGCAGAACACAGTAAAGAACACCCCGGGTCAAATTACACACTGCAAAAAAGATAACATGAAAAAATGAATGTAAGTGAAAACGTCTTAAATGTAGTCAGTAAATCTAATATTTCTGATTATGAGACTGTTGTAAGAATATTATAAGATTATTCCACCTGTTTCTACATTTTTACTTGTTTTAAGTGATTTTATCTGGTGAAAGTGTCTTATTCCATTGGCAGATTAGTTTACTTGTTTTGAGAAATAATGAAAATAATTTTGCTCATTTCAAGAAATAATGATTAAAACAAGTAACATGATCTGACAATGAAATAAGACACTTTTATAAGATAAAACTGCTTAAAAACAAGTAAAAATGTCTGGAAATAAGTTAAATAATCTCACAATATTCTTATAACAGACTCATAATGAGAAATAGTAGATATATTGACTACATTTAAGATGTTTACACTCACTAAGATATGAATTTTTTTTAGCGCATGTTTTGTCCTCTACTTAAATATGAAATTTCCTGCAAATTTTAGTCCACGATTTTTATGCATTTGCTTAGTTTATTATGTTGGACATAAATAAAAGTTACAGCGTGCCAGAACTTTCAAACAATCCTCAGAAATTCAGCAAATGAACATTGATTGTATATTAAAGTGTTCTCTGTAGAGGGTGTGTTAACTTATTTACACTCAGAAAATCAACAAAAACATGGAATTTAACCTGGGGTGCCCAAACTTTGGCATAGGACTGTAAGTTACTGAAGATTGTGACAACTGTGATTTTACACTATTTTCTCACAATGTTGTGCATCATTTATTCCAGGTGATTTATTATAGATGTGGGATTAGGGACTACAGAATTATACTCAATTTAAAAAAAGGAAAAAAGGTAACAAATGAGAGAAATTCCATTGTGTGCACAAAACTTCGTAAATATACAGTGGGGTCCGAAGGTCTGAGACCACTAGGGAAATTACTATTTTGAATTATTTTCTATTTTAATACAAAATGTTTCATGACAAATTCTATGATCAGCACAACAATCTGAGCGAAAAGTAGAATCTTTGAAATTTCAACATGAATTTCAGAATTTCTCTGTGTCTGTCCCCGTTTTGCTTTAATGACAGTGGGCACTCGAGCAGGTCTGACTCTGATCACTAACGGTGACCAAAGCCTCTGCTGAGTAGATCAGATCCACCTGAGAGTCGCCCGAAAACGAGCTTCAGTAGAAGGAAAAGACAAAAAAACAATCAGGGCTTTTTGTACAAAGACCCAACATGGTCAGTGCCAGAGATTCAAAGACACTAAGAAATAGTGTAGAATTTTTAATATTTCATCTTCGTTTTGTTCATCATTAACTTTTCTTTGTTTCGTTTTGTTTTTTTAATATTCTAAAACGATCTGTTGTTCATTTTGAGGATTAAATGAAAACTTTCTCAGATTTTCATTGTGGTCTCAGACTTTTGGACCCACACAGTACGTATTTATATCACATCCCCTAATAAGGACATGAAACACTCTTAAAAAGATGGTTCTTCAAGGGTTCTTTAGTAAAGAAAAAGGTTCTATATTCAACTATGAACACTCAAAGAACCCATTGCATGATTAAAGCATTGTTTGCCACGTGGAAGGGCTCTTCAGATTGATGGAGAATGTGCTGTAAATGGTTCTATGTAGAACCTTTATGAAAAGGGTCCTACACTCTTAAAAAAGATGGTTTGTCAAGGGTTCTTTAGTAAAGAAAAAGGTTCTATATTCAACTATGAACACTCAAAGAACCCATTGCATGATTAAAACGTTCTTTGCAGCGTGGAAGGGCTCTTCAGATTGATGGAGAATGTGCTGTAAATGGTTCTATGTAGAACCTTTATGAAAAGGGTCCTACACTCTTAAAAAAGATGGTTCTTTAGTGAAGAAAGTGTTTATATGTAGAACCATAAAGACTCAAAGAACCCTTTGCATAATTAAAGGGTTCTTTGTATTGTGAAAGCGTTCTTTAGATTGCAGATTGCAGATTGCTGTAGATGGTACTATAGAGAACCTTTTTGAAGAGGGTTCTGTATAGCACCAAAACAAGTTCTTCTATTGTAACAATATCAAGCTTGCTACAGTGGAAGAACCCTTTTGGTGCTATATAGAATCCTTTTCAAAAACTGAAGAACCCTTTCACGCTGCACAGAACCCTTTAATCATGCAAAGTCTTCATGGTTCTGTATAGATTTTTAAGAGTGTATGTTGCACCAAAATGGTTCTTCTATTGTTACAAAATCAAGCTTGCTATAATACTAGAACCCTTTTTGGTGCTATATAGAACCCTTTTCAAAAAGGTTTTACATAGAACCATCTACAGCACATTCTCTGTCAACCTGAAGAACGCTTTCACGATGGAAAGAAAACTTCACTCACGCAAAGGGTTCTTTGAGTGTCCAAGGTTCTATATAGAACCATTTTTTACTAAAGAACCATCTTTTTAAGAGTGTGGTCCTCATGCATATACCGACCATCGTTTTCTAAGTTTCAGTACGTTTACCTCAAAAATACCACTGGATTTGTGTGTCTGAGCTCTGGTGTCTGAGCTCTGGTGTCCACTCTGCATGGTTTCCTGCAGGACTGTAGATTTTACAGCCATAACAAACAGATTTGTCCCGTCCAGCTGCTCCTAATACCTAAGAGCTAATTCTTGCACATAGACTGTGCTTTGTTTACGGTCTTTGTGCTAATCTTTGGAGAGGATAATCTGCCAGGTTATCCTCTGACAGGATAATTCCTGACCTGAATGCTGCAGATTTCCCAAAATTTAATTTGCCCAGACCAGGGGGCGCAACCTAAATGTTAAGAAGAGCCATTTTGTCCTATCTGCAAAAATCAAACTACCTTAGATTTTTGCAGATAGGACAAAAAATGTAATATAAACAAAAACGCAGACTTGCTTTGCTCTGCTTTGAGCTTTAGCTCAGCTATAGCCACTTTTCCCGCATCTCCAGCAGGAAACTTTTCCTCAAAAGTAGAACAGTTTCTTGTAAAATATCTCTCAACATTCGATTTTTTATGAGGCTGAAGTCGCTTCTCATTCACCAGCTCCCTGTTCAAATTTTCCCGTTCCACCTTAAATGGTGGCTGAGGTGCCAGAATGTAACTGCTGCACCATTTAAGGTGGAATGGGACAATTTGAACAAGAAGCTGGCGAATGAGAAGCAACTTCAGCTTCAGTGTTTGAGAGTTTCTCACTGCAGATTAAACGTATCAGGAAACCAGCTGGAGGGATTATAAATGCAAATCAGTCCATTCGTCTCCAAATTATCGATGTTCATCTTAAATCTCTCTCTTTGCCGTTTCGTTAGCTACTAGCTAGGCAAGGCTTTTGTCTGTGTTGCTATGGTGACCATCAGTCTGCGCTGATCTTCAGGGTTAAAGGGTGAATTAGCAGTTCTACATTAACTCCAGAGTTTAAGACCATTTATTGTTAAACTGTGTTGAACGATCAGCAGAGCTTTATTTTACTGTAAAGGAGGATTATTTTATTTTTACCTACTAATCTGATTCTGCTGTGGAGCCACAAGAGGGCAGTAAAAGAGCCGCATGTTGCCGACCCCTGGGCTAGAAGTTAATTTGGATAAAATGGGGACCAATCAGTTTTACAAACTGTTCAAATTTGAGAAATACATGCCTTGGGGGGCCACATTTGCACCCCTCCCTGATTTAATAGTGAAATAGTCTAGTTTTTCTTCCTGACCTTTTTCAGTTCTGACCTGTAGCAGCTGCCCATTGGCTTCTGTTATAGGTGAGCTTTGAGCCAGAGGGGATTCTGTTCTCACTAAGCGTGTCAGAACCGTCTGTGGTAGTTTATCACGCTGATGCAGCAGGTAGAGATTTGGACCCAGTCTTAATGACTGTGTGTACTGATGATATTTGTATTTTCCCTGTTCTGCACAGCTCATAAAGGCCTTGACCATCTTTAAAAACACTCTTCTTTGTGGTGACCCCAGACACAGCACTGAATCAGTGAATCACTCACAAAAACATGAGGGATCAAATTAAGCTTTTAAAGTGTTAGTTAGTCACTTTGATTCCTTTGAAGGGGCATTTCACAGATTTTTCAAATTTTCTGCATAATTAAGTGGTTAAGATGTAAACAGAGTCGTTCAGAGTGGTTTGGTGTGAAACGCTCTGTTCTAGATAAACTGACGAGTCAGAATTGTTCACAGTGGTGGTGATAGGAACCAGACGTCCACCTCTAAAAGCTCCCTCACAGAAAGTTACTACATAAAATGGTTATGAATATCTGAGACACTGTTTATAATAGTTTTGCGATGATTTTGTAAAATGAATTCAGGGAGGTACATGCAGGGTGTTGTGAGGCAAAATAGTCCCCCAATGAAAACTATTTTTTTGTAGATTTATCAATATTTTATCATCAATATTCCATATAAACTAAAACTCAGAAGACTCCTGTAGGTTCACTGGTGGTTTTGGGTAGTAAATAAAATGTCTATATCTGTGTTCCGACCAAAGACAGCTGGGATAGGCTCCAGCACCCCACCGTGACCCAGAAGGATAAGCGGTTTAGATGGTATGTATGTATGTATGTATCTGTGTTGTAGTCATGGCGACCCCTGGTTCCTATTACCACCACTGTCAAGACATCTGAGTCTCTACAATCAACCATTTCACACCCAACCACTCTGAATGAGTCTGTTTACATCAAACACTGAATTATGCAGATTTTTTGAAAACTAGGTGGAATTCCCCTTTAAGGTAACTGCTAGGCCATGAAATCAGTGTTACTTTAAGGTTAGTGTATGATTAAAAATATGACATCATGATACTTGAATGCATTACTTATGTATTTAGTTTTTTGGGGTTTGTGGATTTTTTATGAATAAAAATCAAATCAATTCAAGTGGAAGTCTGCAAAAAATAGGTAAGAAGGCACAGAATGGACAATTCAATACTTAGTAAAAATAAATGAATAAATACTCAGAAAAGCATATTGTAATGTAATTTTTAATAGTGATGATACAGCCGTATGCAAAGGTTTGGGTACCCCTGGAATTACATGTTTGTGTTTTTGTTGTGTTTTTTTTTTTAATTTTCAATGGGTAAATAAGTTAAACATCCTCTTCTCCACATTTTCATACACAATTACTGTTTATTCACTGAATTTAACGTATTGGGGGAAAATAATCAAATTAAAGGTGGTATGTGCAAAAGTTACGACACATTTTATATTTATATTTTAACTTTAATATGATAAACCCAGCACATAAATATAAATTATGCATTAACATTTGGAGAAAAATGCCCTATAGTCTGTTCCCTGTGGACGTGTTAACTTATTTTCACTTCGAAAATCAACGAAACACAATTTGACCAAACTTTTGCACACGACTGCGTATTGTCCTGTTGCTCACCTCTACTCCTCCGATGGACATTGCATGAAGTGAAACAGGCTCTTTGATGAAATCCAATGAGATGAGAAACCAGGGTTTAAACCAGGTTCATAAGAACATAAATTACACTGGAGTCATTTATAATGTGGGGTTTTGTTTACTTTCAGCTTCACCCCGTCCAATTAATATAAGCTCAGAGGAGAGGCCGCGCTGCAGAAAGACTAAAGTAAAACTGAATTTGTCTGTATATTTTGTGGTGTGTTTAGTTTTGGGTCATTTGTTAGGTGCTACTTTATATGTGGTGGTTGATTTAAACATAATCTGTAATGTAAAACCTTTTATTTTCACTTTACTTTGAAATATCAATGTGTGCTATTCTGTGCTCTGTAGAGAACGTCAATAATGCCATGCAGGATGAAGAGTTCACTGATGTAAACAAGATAATATGAATGAAAATCATCTTGGCTACAATAAAATAACCATTTTTAAATCAATATAGAGAAAATCTTTATTTTAACATGCACATAGTAGCGAGTGGAAACAGTTCAAACACACACAAAACACAAAAGTCAAAGTGCATCGTGACTCCAAAACAACAGTGAATCAATGAGTAAAGAAGTCAGATTAAAAGGTAAAACACCTCACACAGAAGCATGCAGTATAAAATCTGTTATGTTAGGAGACCAACATGTAAGCAGCATTAAAAATAGCTAAAATATATATTTAAATATATAAAAATAAATAATATTTAAAGACTCAGAGAATCTAGGAGGGTAGATCATGTTTCCACCTGGCACCAATGATATACTCAGAGACTAAGAGCTAAAACAAATCAGAACCGATCCAGAACCAGCGATTCTGCTGGGACATGTTTCTTGGATACGGCTACCAGGCGTCATTTTCACACCACACATCTGATATTGCACACTTATTTCTACCCAGCACCTCAGACAACACCTTACTGCATCCCAGATAATTCTGAGTCTAACATTAAATGACATTCAGCCATATATACTGACTTTAGACGTGTGTATTACAATGTGGAACCACTAGAGGGAGCTATTTGTTCATTATGAGAAGCAGAAAGTGAATGGGCAGTACAAAGCGTCCTGCAGGTGGTTGGAACCAGAAGAGATTCAGTTATCTGGCGGTTCATTTCGGCCAGGTCCACAGTTACTTCATCAGGTAGATATACATGGTCTTCACAACGTGTCTCCAGGTGGACACGACTGAGGACAGCCAGTGAGACTGAGCTGTACTGTCCATGTTCTTCACGCACTTTGAAATGTCCCCCTAAAAGAGCGATATAACGAGAACGGTCAGTCAAATGAGCCCAACAGTGTACAGTGAATGCAGCAGCGAGGTTCCATCCCCACATTCTCAGCACCGCAGTAACACTGACGTGGTGGTGGTGTGTTAGTGTGTGTTGTGCTGGTACGAGTGGATCAGACACAGCAGTGCTGCTGAAGTTTTTAAACACTGTGTCCACTCACTGTCCACTCTATTAGACACTCCTACCTTGTCAGTCCACCTTGTTGATGTAAAGTCAGAGACGATAGCTCATCTGCTGCTGCACAGTTTGTGTTGGTCATCCTCTAGTCCTTCATCAGTGGTCACAGGACGCTGCCCACAGGACGCTGCGGGCTGGATATTTTTGGTTGGTGGACTATTCTCAGTCCAGCAGTGACACGGAGGTGTTTAAAAACTCCAGCAGCACTGCTGTGTCTGATCCACTCAGACCAGCGCAACACACACTAACACACCACCACCACGTCAGTGTTACTGCAGTGCTGAGAATGATCCACCACCCAAATAGTACCTGCTCTGTGAGGGTCCATGGGGGTCCTGACCACTGAAGAACAGGGTAAAAGGGGGCTAACAAAGTATCAGAGAAACAGATGGACTACAGTCTGTAACTGTAGAACTACAGAGTGAAACTATACAGTCAGTGGAGCTGATAAAATGGACAATGAGTGTAGATCTGAGGAGGTGTTCCTATTAAAGTGCATATATTTGCATATTCAGCCCACATCAGTGTAGCTCCGCCCACTCACACTGAAGTTATAAGGAGTGTTTCAGCCCTGCTTTTTGAATGGGCCACAACACGGGCCAATCACAACAGAGCCCACTTACATATATTATATAGATATAGAACCATGAACACCCAAAGAACCCTTTGCATGATTAGCGTTCTTCGGATTGGTGGAGAATGTGGTGTAGACGGTTCCATATAGAACCTTTTTGAAAAGTTTCTATATAACACCCAAAAGGGTCCTTTTCAGTTCATCTTTAGAACCATTTTCACAAAGGTTCTATATAGAACTATCGACAGCACATTCTTAAGGACCCTTTCATGACTCCCTTGCGCAATTAAATGGTTCTTTGCATGACAAAAGGGTTCTTCAGATTGATGGAGAATGTACTGTAGATGGTTCTATATAGAACCTTTTTGAAGGGGTTCTATAAAGCACCCAAAAGGGCCCTTCTATTGTTACAACCTTGACATCATAACCATAGAAGAACCCTTTTTAGTTCATCTTTAGAACCCTTTTCAAAAAGGTTCTATATAGAACTATCGACAGCACATTCTTAAGAACCCTTTCATGATTCCGTTGCGCAATTAAATGGTTCTTTGCATGACGAAAGGGTTCTTCAGATTGATGAAGAATGTGGTGTAGATTGTTTTATTTAGAACCTTTTTGAAGGGGTTCTATATAACACCCCAAAGGGTTCTTCTATTGTTACTTGACATCAGAAGAACAGAAGAACCCTTTTTAGTTCATCTTCTATACAGAACCCTTTTCAAAAAGCACATTCTGAAGAACTCTTTCATGATGCAAAGAACCCTTTAATCATGCTAAGGGTTCTTTAAGTGTTTATGGTTCTATATAGAACCATTTTGTTTACTAAAGAACCGTTGAAGAACCGTCTTTTTTTACGTGTGTAGTTTGTACGTCATGGACTGAACTCTGATGAATTAAGGCCGAAGCTGGTTCTCTTACCCATCCTCCTCTCCTCTTGAGCCAGGGAACCAGGCTCTTTCTGACGAACTCCCCCAGACTGTCCACTATGGTGTATATCATGGAGGGATAACCCTGTCGCACACAGTCCACCGCCAGACCGCCGGCGACTGCGAAGATGGCCACCACCTTCCCCCATGTGATCCCTGAGAAAGAGAGGAGAATTAAAACACACAGCTCCCTCAGAACCGACCACAGGCCTGAAATACATCTGACATCATGAGACATGCAGCACTGCGCTGCCCACAGGACGCTGCCCACAGGACGCTGCCCACAGGACGCTGCCCACAGGACGCTGTTGGTTGGATATTTTTGGTTGCTGGACTATTCTCAGTCCAGCAGTGACACTGAGGTGTTTAAAAACTCCAGCAGCACTGCTGTGTCTGATCCACTCAGACCAGCGCAACACACACTAACACACCAACACCACGTCAGTGCTGAGAATGATCCACCACCTATTTGTACCTGCTCTGTGAGGGTCCATGGGGGTCCTGACCACTAAAGAACAGGGTAACAAAGTATCAGAGAAACAGATGGACTACAGTCTGTAACTGTAGAACTACAAAGTGCACCTATATAGTAAGTGGAGCTGATAAAATGGACAATGAGTGTAGAAACAAGGAGGTGGTCATAATGTTATGTCTGACCGGTGTGTGTAGTTGGCAGGTAGAGCTGAATGATTTTGAGAAAATATCTATGGCTATGTTCACATTACAAGCCTCACTCCTCAAATCCGATCTCTCTGACAGGATGGTTCCCACTCGTTTAGGTAAGTGATTCAAATCTGTCATTAATGTGACGAACCGGCGTCCTGAAATGACCCTCATGAGCTCATCCTACTCAGTAACGTCACGTGAATGAATCACGATCATCATCAGCACAAACTAACGAGCAGAACGAGCTTCGCTGAGAAGATCATTAACTCTGATCAGCTCTCAGCTTCATTATTAGAGCGAGACGAAGGAGAAAAAGGTGAGATGAGCTGCTTTTCCACTGTTTACAGGCTTTAACTTCTGTTCAGTGCTGTTGCCATGGTAACGCTGAATGATGGCGCAGTGGAAAAAAGCACATGAATTCCGATCTGAGCGTCACATTAAGGTCGCATGGCCACGAATTGGATACGTATCCGATCTAGGACCACATATGAAAGTGACTCAGGTCGGATTTGAAAAGATCTGATTTGCGTCCACACAGCTCTGAAAACATCAGATCTGAGTCACATTAGGGCAGAAAATCCAATTTATGCCACTTCAGCCTGGTAATGTGAACGCAGCCTAATAGCGATTTTTCTGACTGATATTGCCATTATTTTCTATACATTGAGGTTCAGACCTGTTTTTTCACTGAAAAGACCAGAATATTTACTTTTCTGGCTTTTAAAAACTGCGAATACAGTAAATCCTATTCAACATTTCGCACGAAATCCACTAATTTTGCTCTCTTTATAGGGCTGAACGATCTGGAGAAAATTTAATTGCGATTTTTCTGACTAATATTATGTCTGAGGTTTAAATTGTGATTATTTTCTATAAATTAAGGTTCAAGCCTTTTTTTTGCCAAGAAGACCAGAATATTCACTATTTCTGGCTTGAGGTTTGACTCCTGAATGCTGTGTGCCACAAAGCCAATAAGTTGTGGTTGTGATGTCACAACACAATAAGGTTTGTTTGCCTCTGATTGGTCTGACTAATTAACAGGCAGTTCACAACAAGCTCTGTGTTATTGGGTTAAATTTCCCCACTTAAAACTTAAGACAGCATTTTTGATCATGTAGGCTATAATAAAAAAAACTGCAGCTCTTGCGTTTGGAAAATTGCACTCTCTTAAATTGCGATTTCGATATAAAATTATCTTTATTGAACTTAAATGCTATTATTTTCCATAAATTGATCTCTAGGCCTTAAGGGTCCATCTCAGTACCTTTAGTCAGGGAACATAACTGAACCATAATCCACTGAAATGATATTCTCTAAGCTGTACTGACTCCACACACCCCGTCTCGTCTCCAGGCTTTTATTTTACTGTTCTGTTTTAAAATATTCGGTTATGAAAAGATACAAATACAAACTTTTCACCTGGAAAAAACTTATTTAAGGTTCTCAATCAGACCCTAAAACCACTGTTGTACCTTTGAGGGCACATTTACACTGTTTGTACCTTGATGAACGAAAAATGTACCTGAACAGAACCTTTATTAATAACAGTGTATGAAAGGAAAGAAAGAACACAGCTCGTTCAAAGCTGGTAAAACTGGATTTCTTCAGTGTTAAAACATTGTATCAATGCAAAATCTCTCACTGACTGACATGTTATAAAGCGTCAGTTTCAGTCTGCATCCAAAAGTGCCCAAAATGGGTCTTTTGAAGAACAGGCATAACATTCTGACCACCTCCTTGTTTCTACGCTCATTGTCCATTTTATCAGCTCCACTTACTATATAGGTGCACTTTGTAGTTCTACAGTTACAGACTGTAGTCCATCTGTTTCTCTGATACTTTGTTAGCCCCCTTTTACCCTGTTCTTCAGTGGTCAGGACCCCCATGGTCCCCCTCAGAGCAGGTACTATTTGGGTGGTGGATCATTCTCAGCACTGCAGTAACACTGACGTGGTGGTGGTGTGTTAGTGTGTGTTGTGCTGGTCTGAGTGGATCAGACACAGCAGTGCTGCTGGAATTTTAAACACCTCAGTGTCGCTGCTGGACTGAGAATAGTCCACCAACCAAAAATATCCAGCCAACAGCGTCCTGTGGGCAGCATCCTGTGACCACAGGACGCTGCGGTCACAGAGGATGACCAACACAAACTGTGCAGCAGCAGATGAGCTACCGTCTCTGACTTTACATCTACAAGGTGGACCAACAAGGTAATAGAGTGGACAGAGAGTGGACACAGTGTTTAAAAACTCCAGCAGCACTGCTGTGTCTGATCCACTCAGACCAGCACAACACACACTAACACACCACCACCACGTCAGTGTTACTGCAGTGCTGAGAATGACCCACCACCCAAATAGTACCTGCTCTGTGAGGGTCCATGGGGGTCCTGACCACTGAAGAACAGGGTAAAAGGGGGCTAACAAAGTATCAGAGAAACAGATGGACTACAGTCTGTAACTGTAGAACTACAAAGTGCACCTATATAGTAAGTGGAGCTGATAAAATGGACAATGAGTGTAGAAACAAGGAGGTGGTCATAATGTTATGCCTGATCGGTGTGTGTGAGTGTGTGTGTGTGTGTGTGTGTGTGTGTGTGTGTGTGTGTATATATATATATATATATATATATATATATATATATTTTAGATATATATTAGATATATAGATACGTTGCATAAAAATGTGACAGTTTCAATTATTTTTCTGTTTGAAATTTATTCTGGATTAAAAAATAATTGTGCATCATTTATCTAATGTAATTAATATTGACTCTAATTAATTATAACACCCCAAAACTGCTGCAATTAAACACACCTGACTGCTTACTGGTAGCTAACTCAGAGGTAGCCATGGGCTGGTCAGTTAAGGTCCAGACAGTTTTTCAGCCATTTCTGACTGGGGATTTTGAAAAAAGATGCTCCCAGAGGACAAAATAAATACAAGAGTAACCAGCAACGGGCAGAGAACCCATCAGGAACCCTGTTGAGGAGCTTCATCTCCAGACTACATGCAGGAGCCTAGCCTCGTTTTCTGAGAGTCCCACTTAACGGAACGACCAGCAGCTTCGCTGAGACTCTGATGTAACAGGAAGGCTAAAGATATCAGCGTCTTCTCAGCCGCCTCTCCAAGCCAATTTCCTCTGATGAGGCTGGCAGTGGAGCCCGTGAGCCGCCCGATGGGCTTTTAATATGTAATACGTAGAAATAAAGGTGGACGATATGAGGCCAAATATCATGATACTGTCATCAAATATCATGTTACTGACGTCAAGATATACAAAACAACAACAACAGTAATATTTATATAATATAAATATATAATATAATATAATAATATATAATCCGCCCAATGACAGCTGGGATAGGCTCCAGCACCCCACCGCGACCCAGAAGGATAAGCGGTTTAGATGATGGATGGATATTTATATAATGATGATATCATATTGCTATTGTCCATATTTACTGAATTATTGAATAATAATAATAATAATAATAATAGTTGTTTTTTATTGTTTCAGTTTTGCTATGTTTACCACTCTGTTCTAGAACATAATATAATGTATGTAGTCGTAAGTGCAAAAGTTTGTGCGCCCCAGTCAAATTGCATGTTGTTGATTTTCTGAGTGTGAATAAGTAAACACGCCCTCTACAGAGACACATTTCTAAGCATTTTAATACACAGTTACTGTTTATTTGCTAAATTTAACATACTGTAGGGAAAAATACAACATATAACGTCGACCGTGCAAAGGTTATGGCACATGTTATATTTTACGTTGTATTTTTTTTTCTAACATGTTGACCTCAGCAATTATTCTTATTCTTAAATTTGCTTATTTACACTTAGAACATCAACAAAACATGTGATTTGACCAGGGGGGTTATCCACAAAGCAGGATTTCTCAGTTAGCCAGATAACTTAAGCCCAAAGATGAGGACTGTCCAATGAGAATGTTCCTCAGCTCTATTGGACAGGCTTGACTTTGGGCTTAAGTTATCTAGCTAAACTGAGAAATCCTGCTTTGTGGAATATCCACCAGGTGTTGAACCTCTTCAACTCCTTGGTTTGTGGTTCCAAAACGCACTTCGTCATATTCTTCATAACTTTCATATTTCATAAGCTACATTCTAAAGGTGGGGGTCGTATGAGAGCTGTAACTGTCTTCTTTCCAGTCAAATAGATGGGTGATGTAGTTTTAAACCCTTATAATAAAAGAAGCTGAACTCACAATTTTTTTTTTCTACTGAAAGTCGACCCATTTTTCCACAAATCTGGGCTATAAACTATAAACAAATGGCGTCTCTTCAGTGATCTGCTCTGTAAACATTATTTTTATAAAATAATACAAAGAGCGTCTAAGATTTTTGGCTTTCAGCAGTAAATTGTAAGCATATAGTGATATGTGTGATCATAAAACACATGTTCTGTTAATCTGAGGGGAACTTTTACAAAAAATAAATAAATACATAAAATAAAAATTTACATTTATCTCATGCAGTTACTGAATAATTTGCCTTATGATTTGGTCATGTAAATTCAGATGGACAAACCAAAATATACTCTGGTCAGTAAGAGGTTAAACATTTTATCCAACAGAGCGCAATAGAAGAGTGAAAGGAAGCCTGTTCTCTACCGTGAAGTAAAAACCTGCACCAGCACTGTAAACGGTTTTGTTAATGTTAAATGGAGTTTATAAAAATTTAAAGTTTAATTTGTCCTGGAAACGGGGCTGTACTGCCTCCCTCACATATCGTGGAACAGCATCAGCCCAGTGTTCATGTTTATACCCCCCACTTCTCCAATACAGACCCCGTTACGGTAAGTCTGACATGTCAGTGTCGCGCTAAACCACCCGACTCTGTCCTAGAATAGAAGACGATGGAACGAAACAGGAGGAGAGGTTAAAAGGTTGTGAGAAGAGTGCAGGGCAGTGGAGAAAAGCTGCCAAGGTTATGGAGTGCATCACTCAGGGAAAGAACCTTTCAGTGCAGCAAGGCCTGCTAGTTCAGCCAGGAAAAAAAAAAAATGCAGCGCAGCGTGTGCCAGCAGGGACCGAGGGCATGGCCTTATACGGCATTTTCAAAAGCATGTTTAAAAATAAGAGCACATACATGTCTGGGAGATAATATGTGCAGAATAATGTGATCCTGCCATCGTGCCCCAGCCAGCAATGACGATTTTAACTGTAGAGCCACAGAAATAATGTAAGTTTTACACAGAGCGCAAATCTCTAAAACTGCAGTGGGCTAAGTGGAAGTGGACTGCCCTGGCGGACTGATCAGGGTCAATTAGCTGATTTACGATTGTGCACAAAGTTATAACTATACATTCTAGCCAAAACCAGAAAGGCCACAGAAGAACCGCTTTTCAAAGCTTCTCAAAGAACCTTTCAGTGTTTTAAAAAGCCTTTTTTTCTGGGTTTAATTTCCCCCCTGAGGTCATTTATGTGGCTTTATGTATCAAAAACAGTCATAATTCATTTTTACATGATGATTTTCCAGCCTCTCTTTATCCCAAGCTGTGTTGTTATTGTGCCTTTAAGATTAATTCATGCAAATGAGCTCTGTTCTGATTGGCCACCCTGTAGGGATCTATATAGCACCAAAAAGAGTTCTTCAGATTGATGGAGAGCATGTTGTTTATGGTTCTATATAGAACCTTTTTGAAAAGGGTTCTATAACGCACCTAAAAGAGTTCCTCAGATTGATAGACAGTGTGTTGTATATGGTTCTATACAGAACATTTTTGAAAAAGGTTCTATATAGCACCTTTAGGGTTCTTGAGATTGATAAAGAGTGTGTTGTATGTGGTTCTATATAGAACCTTTTTGAAAAGTGTTCTTGAGATTGATAAAGAGTGTGTTGTATGTGGTTCTATATAGAACCTTTTTGAAAAGTGTTCTTGAGATTGATAAAGAGTGTGTTGTATGTGGTTCTATATAGAACCTTTTTGAAAAGGGTTCTACTACTGTTACAACTTGACATCGAAACCTTTTCAAAAGGGTTCTATATAGCACCAAAAAGGGTTCTTGAGATTGATGAAGAGTGTGTTGTATATGGTTCTACACAGAACCTTTTTGAAAAGGGTTCTTGAGATTGATGAAGAGTGTGTTGTATATGGTTCTATACAGAACAATTTTAAAAAGGTTCTATATAGCACCAAAAAGGGGTCTTGAGATTGATAAAGAGTGTGTTGTATATGGTTCTATACAGAACCTTTTTGAAAAGGGTTCTTGAGATTGATGAAGAGTGTGTTGCATGTGGTTCTATATAGAACCTTTTTGAAAAGGGTTCTTCTACTGTTACAACTTGACATCGAAACCTTTTCAAAAGGGTTCTACATAGAACTATCTACAGCATGTTCTCCATCTGAAGAACCATTTCACAATGTAAAGAACCCTCTGATCACACAAATAGTTCTTCCAGTGTTTATGGTTCTATATACTAAAGAACCCTTGAAGAACCATCTTTTTTAAGTGTGCAGGCTGAACCACACTCAAGCTTATAAGCTCAGTGAGAGTTAAAGTGCTGTAGACTGAATAAGTGGATAAATGCAAATTTGTGATGTCATAAAAACACAAACAGGCTGTATTTTGCAGCTTAGCCTCCATATATGGCCTGGTACAGACTGGGGAGTGAGCGGTATGCGGTATAACTTCAACAACGTTAGCATACTTTATCAAATTCTTTTATTTAAAAAGCATCAGGCAGGTCAGAATGTGCTGCACAGCCTATTTCATCACTTGTTTCTAGTTTTAGGACAGACTTTAAAGCACCGCTACTAGTCTCTAAAGCATAAAATGGATCAGCAGCATCAAACATATCAACTTGTCCAACTCCAAGCTGTTCTCCAAGATTCGGCACTGCAGGCCGGCTTAAGGTGGAATTTCACAGATTTTTCTAAACATAAATAACTAAATAACTGCGATGCACTGAGGTTCATTAAAGAGAAACATATCGACTCATTTCTTTACAACAGTTTTAAGAGAAGGTGGAGAGGTAGAAGCACAGCAAGGCAAAATAACAGTGTCTAAAACACTTTATTTCAGATTTTCCACTATTTTCCCATCATCAGCATTCTATATAAAACTCAGAAGACACCTGTAGGTTCACTGGTGGTTTTGGACAGTAAATAAAATGTCTATATGTGTGTTGTAGTCATGGCGACCCCTGGTTCCTATCACCACCACTGTAAAGTGATCTGAACCATTTCACACCAAACCGCTCTGAATCTCTCTTTTCGCAATTTTAAACACTGAATTATGTAATATTGGTGGAATTCCCCTTTCAAAAATCGCCTTCTCAGTGTCTTACCCAAAGACAGGATCTCTGTTGCCACAGAAAGAAAAGCGTCGGACACCACGCACTCCACGGACACGGAGATGCTGAGCTGCTTTGCGATGTTCCTGTAGACGTACGGCCGCATGTACTCCAGCTCATCACCTGCAGAGCAGAAGGATGGGTTAAACACAGAAACATCTCAGAGGCAGATACGTTCACGCCCTTACGGAGCATCCAGGCGTGCAGGAGCTTTAGAACAAGCGGATTCAAACATGTGAATGTGCTTCAGTTAAACATGCTCAAACTCTGACCAGCCTTTCTCAAAAACAAGACTACAGCAAACTGGAACAGAGTCCAACACCTACATTTAGAACAATGAGGGAAAATGACAGAGCATGCTGCGACTGGCCTAAAGCAATGAATTTGTGTATAGGTACACCTTGAATGGGCATCATCACCACTTTTATCTATATAGCATGTTTCCCGTACTCAAGGACACTTTATAACCAACAAACATGAACACATTAAACAATTAACAACAAAAGAATGATAATAACGACAACGATAACAACAATAACACAGTGAAAACAAGTACGTCTGTAACAGATTTAAATGAAGATAGAGAAGTGGCATCCAGAACAGACTGGGGCAGAGTGTATATATATATATATATATATATATACACACACATACACATTCATAATTTGGGAGTTACTACACTTAGGCCCAAACCCATTTCACCCCTCACCCCCACTACCTGGCGCCTCAGGCATCAGAACTGCTGCTCCATTTAAGGTGGAACGGGAAAATTCCAACAAGAATCTGGTGAATATCTGACTTCAGCTTCATATCACTGAAGAATTAGTGGAGGGTGATAATAAATAATTGCCCCCCTCTTTGAAGTCATATGATTTCCTAAATGTAACTAAAGCCCAGCAGTGAGGAGCTGAACTTTACCCTCCTCTGCTGTCACTGCAGACTGGCAGGGTCGCCTACAGAGCAGCGCTGGTAGCTGTTAATGAAGTGATGCTCTTTTTATTTGAGGGTCCCATTTCAGAGGGAAGATTTCAACCACTACCCCTTATAACTCAGTTCCAAGGGGCAAGGAGACACTCGAAAACAAGGGGTAGGGCCACAGTATGTAATGGGTGATCAGTGAAGGACAGGGGTGATATGATTACTCCTCTTTGAAAAGGTGGCATTTTGAACATACTGTACCTACTGAGGGCTGACATAGAGGCCAGATAGAAGAACACTGCCGTAGTCTAAACTAGTAGCATCTAACAGAGCCTTTTTGAATTTATTAGGATTTTCTGTTGTTTTTGTTCAAAAAATGTGACAAACTGACTAGATTTTATATGATAAATCATGGTGGTGGGTGATATGGCAAAAAAAATAATATTGCAATTCTTTTTCACAATATTTTCATGAAATTTTCACGATATGCGACGTCACAATATTTATTTCAGCTTATCAGTTGGAACAGAGAAAACATTTTAAAATTACTGTCAAAAACTGTGAGCACAATGATTTTTATTTAATATTTGGCACTAAATCCAGTTTAACAGGACTAATTTTATACTATGCTAAGGCTAAAAATATTGCAACTGCAATTTAAATTGCAATTATTTTCTATAAGTTAAGGTTCAGCCCTTTTTTTGCCAAGAAGACCAGAACATCCACTTTTTGTGGCTTGAAGCTTGAATGTAGTGAGCCAGACTGCCAGTAAGTTGTGGTTTGGTTGCCTCTGATTAGTCTAACTCTACAGGCAGTTCACAACAAGCTCTGTGTTATTAGGTTAAATTTCCTTTACATTAATAAATCTAATTATTTTTAAACCTTTTAGCCACATCCCTGCCGAAAAAGCACCATTAGAAACCATTAATATAAAACCCGATTGGTTTACTTTCTAATGGAAATTGGCTTAATGGGTTCCATCCACTATTAAACCCACTATTTTCCTATAGAGCACCTTTAGATCCCATTGGGAAACCATCAGATGCGTTTAGAACCAGCCATTGGTCACCTGTTCAACCACTAGGACCCTTTACACTGTGATATCCACCCATTTAAAAAGCGAAAACACATTACAAAACAGTCAGGAACCAACAGAAACACAATGGTTTCTATGGGTTTTTAGCAGGGATGGTTTGATTGGTTTGACAAACGTTCTACCAAGTTCTCTGAAAACATTTGGTCCGAAAGGAAATTTAGGAGAGGGTCATTAATGCATGGGGTATGGGAATTAGAACTAACGCAAAGGTTCTAGGTGGGTCAAGCATCATTACCGCATTATTTTGCTAGGGTTCTAGATTGTCTTACCCAACTTGAGGAGCACCATTGAGACATCTCCAAGAGCTCCGTCTGGAACAGGCAGAGAGGCTTCAACTTTGGACCAGCTGAGACCTTCTCTGGTGATCCTGGAATATATGAAGTCTCTGCAAAGTATCCTGGACTGGAAAACCAGTTCCTTCTCACTGGGAGCTCGGTCCAACAAGTCCATCCTGAGGATCTTCAGGATCTTCAGGTTCCACCCAGCTGCCTGGTGCAAAATACCTTTGCTGCTCTCTCCCGTCCACTGGAGCCCACTCTCAGCGACCACCAGGGAGCCAGGAGCCCATTCCTGCTTGTTCTTCTGTCTTTCTTCTGGTTATGGCAGGTTGTTTGTTATGGTGTTGATCAATCAGCAGGCCAACGCTGAGCTCAGTGAAGTTAATTAAGCGTGGTTTTATCTAGATCTTCTCTCAGGTGCTCTATTTTCTCTTGTTTCCTTGCCAAACTGGATGGAAAGGTTGTGGGAAAAAGCCAGTGGAGAAACTTCTGAAGGCAAAAACGAGGATCAGCCCACTTTCTCACTTCTGCACGTCTTCAAACCGCCCGGCGAACCAAACCGGTTCACTCAGGCTCTCATCTGTTACCTACACCGACTCATCTCAGCTCATTCCGCAGGTAAACCCGAGCAAACACTCCGACTGAGGAACCTTCAGCTCGTCCCAAACGCTGAGCTCCACCTTCATCTTCTGCCTCTCAGAGCGACCCATGTTATAATATGCAGCTCTGCTCCGCCTTCGCGCCTAAACTGCTGCTTTTGTCGCCGCCTGGCGGCCGAAGCGAGAACTGCGCTTCCTCTCCACAGTCATAAGCCTCAGATAATTCACTTATCGGCGCTCAATGAAAGGGATTTAGACCAGATATAGCCTAAACCCACTTCAGAACACTCCTCAGAGTGCGGTGACCTCTTAGGCCTGCACGGTGAGCACCTACAGTGACCTACAATCTCGGTTTACCTGCTGACAAAAAAACAGCACAGACCAGCAAGCATTTCATGCAGCTCTATGCTGCCTTGAGCTGGTCTAGTTCTGGTCTGGTTCTGGTATAGCTGGTCACCCCAGTATGGTCATGCTGACCAGCATGTATTGACCAGCATACCAGCATAGAAAAACAACATATCACTGTTGTTGGATCAAAACGTCATATCTCCGAAATGAGAACTTTACAGGAGAAGGAAAAAACATACTCTACTTTTAATGTAAGTCAATGGAACCAGTCATTTTTCCAAGTCATTTTGGGTCATTTCTGGTGGTCCATTCATCATTAAATTTACACACAGTATATAAGACCACTGGTCCTTTCAAATTATTTCAAAAACTGAAAAACTAACAAAAATGACAAAAATGGAGATACAGGTTTTGTTCCGACAGCATTGATATGCTGGTTGTGCTGGTGGCTAAATGTGGTTTATTCTGGTCTAGTGCTGGTGTGGGTCTGGTTCAGCTGGTTACCCCAGCATGGTCATGCTGGTTGACCAGCATACCAGCATCCAAAACACTAACATATCACTGCTGTTGGAAGAAAACCTTGTATCTCCATTTTTGTTGTTTTTCAGTTTTTTACATAATTTGAAAATACCTGTTGCTCTTTACATTGTGTGTAAATTTCATGATAAATAGACCAAAAGAAACGACCCAAAATGACTTAGAAAGACGTCCGGTTCCATTGACTTACATTAAATGTAAAGTATGTTTTTTCCTTCTCCTGTAAAGTCACCATTTTGGAGATACAAGGTTTTCTTCCAACACCAGTGATATGCTGGTCTGTGCGGATTTTTCTAGCAGGGTATGCTTTGCATGTTTATAATGTATGATATATATTTATAATCAGCTAAATCAGCCTCTCCTGCTTATAGCAGCCCAGCAGACTGACAGCAGGGCCGAGGTTCATTCATGCTTTGCTGCAGGATTACACTCACCTCTCTCTCTCCCTCTCCCTCCCTCTCTCCCTCTCTCTCTCTCTCTCTCTCCCCCCCCTCCCTCTCTCTCCCCCCCTCCCTCTTTCTCTCTCTCTCTCGCTCTCTCTCTCCCTCTTTCTCTCTCTCTCTCTCTCTCTCTCTCTCTCTCCCTCTCCCTTTCTCTCTCTCCTGAGTTTAATCCTCACTATAAACACACTCACCGTTTCAGAGCTGACCTTAAACGCAAGCAGCCCAACATGCTGGACATTCATGTTCAGACCAGCAGGATAAAAACTCTGGTGTGTTTGTTTGTTTGAGTTCAGGGCTGTATTTACTCTCGTTCTGCAGGTCAGGGTCGAGAGGTCAGCTCGTTAGTGTATCGGCTAAAGGCCAGAAGTAAGACGACTTAATTTACTCACAGATCTCTGAACAGAGAGGCAGAGAGATGGAAGCAGCTTGTGTGACAATGATGGAATATTCTATATAGAACCATGAGCACTCAAAGAACCCACTGCATGATTAAACGATTCTTTGCATGGTGAAATGGTTCTTTAGACTGATAGAGAATGCATTGTAAATGGTTCTATGTAGAACCTTTTTGAAAAGGATTCTATTTAGCACCAAAAAGTTTTTTTTTTTTTTTACAAGCTCAACATCGAAACAATAGCAGAGCACTTTTTGGTGCTATGTAGAACCCTTTTCAAAACTGTTCCTTATAGAACCATCTACAGCACTTTCTCCATCAATCTGAAGAACCTTTTCACGATGCAAAGAACCATTGAAGAACCATATATTTTTAAGTGTGTATAAAAATAGAAGAACCCTTTTGGGTACTATATAGAAACCTTTCCAAAAATGTTCTACATAGAACCATCTACAGCGCATTGTCTATCAAGTGGCTGATGTTAATGTTCATGAGTCCACCATCAGGAGAACACTGAACAACAATGGTATGCATGGTTGCAAGGAGAAAAGCATTGCTGCCTGTCTGCAGTGTGTTAATCACACAGACAAAGGAGAACGCTTTTGGAACAGTGTTTTGTGGATGGATGAGACCAAAATAGATCTTTTTGGTTTAAATGAGAAGCGTTATGTTTGGAGAAAGGAAAACACTGCATTCCAGCATAAAAACCTTATACCATCTGTGAAACATGGTGGTGGTAGTATCACGGTTTGGGCCTGTTTTCCTGCATCTGGGCCATCACTGACTGAATTATACCAGCAGATTCTAAAGGGAAATGTCAGGACATCTGCCTGTGAGCTGAAATCAAGAGAACGTGGGTCATGCAGTAAGACGATGACCCTCACCACATAAGTCGTTCTACCAAAGAAGGTTAAAGAAGAACAAAGTTAATGTTTGGGAATGGCCAAGTCAAAGTCCTGACCTTAATCCTATAGAAATGTTGTGGAAGGACCTGAAGCAGCAGTTCATGGGAGGAAACCCACCAACATAACTGAGTTGAAGCTGTTTTGTATGGAGGAATGAGCCGATGTGCAGGACTAATCAACAGTTACCAGAAATGTTTAGTCGCAGTTATTGCTGCACAAGGGGCTCCAACCAGATACTGAAAGCAAAGGTTCTTTTGCCACTCACAGATCTGTAATACTGGATCATTTTCCTCAATAAACAAATGACCAGGTCTAATATTTTTGTTTCATTTGTTTAATGTGCTTCTCTTTATCTACTAGTAGGTCTTCTGTGAAATTCTGTTGAAGTTTTAGGTCAAATTTATGCAGAAATATAGAAAATTCTAAAGGGTTCACAAACTTTCAAGCACCACTGTACATCATTATTTTGAGGTACTAAGTTATTATTTTAACTACAATGAGTCATTGTTTCAACATAAGCTAATATTTTAAGTAAATAAGTCATTATTATGAGATACTAAGTCGTTATTTTGACTATAATGCCATGTGCTTTGACACACACACACGCGCACGCACACACACACACACATTCTCTAAGACGCTTATCCTTCTGGGTTGCGGGGGGGGGGCTGGAGCCTATCCCAGCTGTCAATGGGCAGAAGGCAGGATTGGTTTTGACATAGTAAAACAATATTTTAGTATTGTAAGTAAATAAGACATCATTTCGAGATACTAAGTCATTATTTTGATTATATAAGTATTTGATTATATATGCAGCTCCACAGCATGTTTTATACCTCTGCTGGCACGAATGAGCTTCTGTACAAAATGTTTACATCTACTCATTAGTGACTGTATAAGCACACCCATACAGAAATCTGATACGTGGCAAGATATGAATTTCAAATATATGACATATGTTAGCATATATGAGCTCCTTTTATATCCAACTCAGATTCTGTCACATATATGCGCCAACTTATTTGAAATTAGCTGTCATATGATATATCAGCTTATACACACACATATGTGTAACACATATATTTACCAATATATGAATTTAATATACTACTCATATTGCAAGCTTCATTTATATATTTTTTTTGTATTTCATATAAATTTTTGCCTTTCAAAACCTTAAGTGACAAAAAATACGTATGATTTATATTTTATGCATATATGTATTCACCCATCTATCAAACATACACATACATTATGCAAATACATGCCTAACCCTTTATGATATATGTGCCTATAGCAGGTTTCCATCTGAGAACAGAAGTCCATACATTTTGCACCCTGTTTACACCAAACAAGCGTCACTAAAAGGCTAAACGCGGCGACGAGTACGGAAAAACTACAACTCCCACAATCCCGCGGCACACGACCCGACGGCCGCGCATGCGCAGCGGACGCTATTATTTTCGTCCATCCCGCAAGAGCGATAAATGAAGGATCGTTTTGACAGAGAATAAAACAGTTTTTTCGCGGATTATGGTTTGATCGCAGGTCGGCGGTTAACTACATGGATCTGCAGGACACCTGAGCGCGGTTCTGGCCGGGATTCGGGGTCCGGCTGTGGGAGATCCGAGGCCGAAAACACGGCAGGCTGCCCTGTATCTGTATCTGTATGTGTGCGGTAACGTTCATAATAACAACAGCTGGCGGAGCCCCGAGCTGGAAACTAGGAGCCTGAAATCCAGATCATTCCCCCCTTTTGGGCTGTAAAAGGGGCCGGGTCCAGGCTGCAGAGGGGATGGCGCACCTCCGAGACATCCAGAACCAGGTGAGGAGGCTGCTTGTTCGAATTTCCCCGTTTCACCTTAAATGGTGCAGCCGTTACATGTACCTGCTGCACCATTTAAGGTGGAACGGGGAAATTGAGGCTGAGGAGGCTGGCGAATTGGAAGCCAACATGCAGCTGATTTGTTTTTAAGTCTTGGCTTTTATCTGCTTGTGCTGGAGCAGTGTGTTTCCCATCTCCAGCTCAGGTGTAGGCCAGTGTGACTCAACCCTGCTCCTGCACATTTTAGTGCTTTTCCTGCGACTTCAACTCAATAATGGGCTGTTAATGAGCTGGAAAAGTGCAGGGCAGTGGGCCTCCAGGACCAGGGCTGAGAAACACTGCCACATGTAGTGCAGTGGCCTCCAAACCCTGGCCCTGGAGATCTGCCTTCCTGCAGAGTCTAGTTCCAACCACACCTGGTCCAGCTAATTAACTACTACAGCAGACCTTGATTGGCTGGATCAGATGCATCAGTGTTAGGTAGGGAGGAGGCAGCAGGCTTGGACCAAAGCCCAGCAGACCAGGAGATCTCCAGGAGGAGGAGGAGGAGGAGGAGGAGGAGGGTTGGTGACCACTAACGTAGTGCCTTACCTGCTCCACAACAGCTCATCTTCTCATTCCTGAGCTCTTCATGAGGTTAAAGGGGAATTCCACTGATTTTTTTTTTTATTTTAAAAATTTTTTTGATTGAGACGTAAACGGAGTGGTTTGGTGTGAAATGGTTGATTGCAGAGACTCAGATTTCCTTACCTTTTAGCCAGCTGTGTCTGAACACATCGGAATTAGACCTCCGCATTTAACCCATCCGTACGGTGAAACACCACATACACACTAGTGAACACACACACTAGGGGGCAGTGAGCACACTTGCCCGGAGCGGTGGGCAGCCCTATCCACGGCGCCTGGGGAGCAGTTGGGGGTTAGGTGCCTTGCTCAAGGGCACTTCAGTCACGTACTGTCAGCTGAGGGGGCAACCTTCCGGTCACAAGGCTGGTTCCCTAACCTCCAGCCCACAACTGCCCCCTAACCTCCAGCCCACGACTGCCCCCTAACCTCCAGCCTGCCCCTTACAGTGGTGGTGGTAGGAACCAGGAGTCGCCATGACCACAACACAAATATAGACATTTTATTTACTATCCAAAACCACCAGTGAACCTACATGAGTCCTCTGAGTTTATATGGAATGATGATGATGGAAAATAGTGGAACCTGAAGTTACTGTTTTTCTTTGGGGACTATTTTGCCTCACAACGGCCTGCATGTACCCGTTCGTCATGAATGGCTTTTTAAGTATACAATTAAGGCCAAAACTTTATCTCGAAAATGTTGTACAACAGTGTCTCAGTCATCGGGCAGTGAATTCATAACCATTTCATGTAGTAACTTTCTGTGAGGGAGCTTTTAGAGGTGGACGTCTGGTTCCTATCACCACCACTGTGAACAGTTCTGACTCTGTAAGTTTCTCTAGAGCAGAGCGTTTCACACCAAACCACTCTGAACGACTCTGTATACGTCTGAACCATCTAACTATAGAGAAAACATAATTAAGCATTGTGTTTCTGAGCTTCTCTCTGCTCTTATTCTCCAGTAGGCTGGTTAATTTCTCAAGTCTCATTTTAAGTCATATTCCTGCATAGTTCAGTGTTTGAGATGTAAACCGAGTGATTCAGAGTGGTTTGGTGTGAAATGGTTCAGATGTCTTTACAGTGGTGGTGATAGGAACCAGGGGTCGCCATGACTACAACACAAATATAGACATTTTATTTACTATCCAGAACCACCAGTGAACCTACAGGTGTCTTCTCAGATGTATGTGGTTTGTCTCAAGCATCAGGCAATGTATTCACGTCCATTTCATCTAATAGCTCTCCGTGAAGGAGCTTTTAGAGGCATTAAACTCTTCAGACGTCTGGTTCCTGTCACCACCACTGTGAACAATTCTGACGGAGCATTTCACACAGACTCTGTTTACATCTTAACAGTTTGAATTAGGCAGAAATTGTGAAAAAGTGGTGAAGTTCTCCTTTAAGGAGCAGCAGATGGAGGAATAGACCAAGATGGCCCATGTAGGGCTATTTATAATATGACTGGTGTCAGCAGCGACATCTGACATTTGGGTGTTTTTACATAAATTAGATGTTAGGAAGGAGAGAAGAAGCTCACGTCAGGCTGGGCCTTAATCATATTTAGGTTTATTAATTTAGCAGACACTTTTATTCGAGTTACAGTACATGGAAAAATGACTATCATTACTTCAGCAGACGTTCTGATCTGCGCTCCTCGTTCTCTGTGTTCAGAATGCCCGTCTTGACCCAGAGGAGTACTTCACGAAGCAGGAGCGCATTGGGAAAGGCTCGTTCGGGGAGGTCTACAAAGGCATTAATAACCGCACCAAGGAGGTCGTGGCCATCAAGATCATAGACCTGGAGGAGGCTGAGGATGAGATCGAGGACATTCAGCAGGAAATCACCGTGCTGAGCCAGTGTGACAGCCCGTTCGTCACCAAATACTACGGCTCATATCTGAAGGTAACCTACTGACCTGCGGTTCCCCCCTTCACCCCAAATGTAGCTGATTGGCCAAGACATATTTAATGTCTTTAGTTTTACGCCGGAGCTGCTGGAGCTGGAAGCACAGACCCCACCTATTCTCAGGTTTCAGTCACATGATTTTACTGTTGTGGCCGCCGTATTTGGGACCGAATTCCTGGCTTCGCTGCTCCGCACGAACGTAACTAGAGGTGAAAGAGGCTGTGATCCTTATACAGTTTCCTCTGAACTCCTGATCAAACTTAAACTGGTGGAAAGCTCCTAAACATTTATATTGATCTCATACTCAGCCCCTCTCCCTATTCTGGAGAGTCTCTCACAGCATTTAAAAGCACAGAAACCCACCAGCTCTTCACGTCAGGGTGGGTAAAGGATCCCATGTGTGTTAGTGTGTTGTGCTGGTACGAGTGGATCAGACACAGCAGTGCTGCTGGAGTTTTTAAACACTGTGTCCACTCACTGTCCACTCTATCAGACACTCCTACCTTGTCAGTCCACCTTGTAGATGTAAAGTCAGAGACGATAGCTCATCTGCTGCTGCACAGTTTGTGTTGGTCATCCTCTAGTCCTTCATCAGTGGTCACAGGACGCTGACCACAGGACGCTGTTGGCTGGATATTTTTGGTTGGTGGACTTTTCTCAGTCCGGCAGTGACACTGAGGTGTTTAAAAACTCCAGCAGCACTGCTGTGTCTGATCCACTCAGACCAGCGCAACACACACTAACACACCACCAGTGTCAGTGTTACTGCAGTGCTGAGAATGATCCACCACCCAAATAGTATCTGATCTGTGAGGGTCCATGGGGGTCCTGACCACTGAAGAACAGGGTAAAAGGGGGCTAACAAAGTATCAGAGAAACAGATGGACTACAGTCTGTAACTGTAGAACTACAAAGTGCACCTATATAGTAAGTGGAGCTGATAAAATGGACAATGAGTGTAGAAACAAGGAGGTGGTCAGAATGTTATGCCTGGTCAGTGTGTGTGTGTGTGTGTGTGTGTGTGTGTGTGTGTGTGTGTGGATGTAATGCACTAGGAAGAGAAATCAGGCTTGTAATGTTCTGGTATTGTGTGGTTCTTCACAGGGAACCAAGCTGTGGATCATTATGGAGTATTTGGGAGGAGGCTCTGCTTTAGACCTCGTAAGTGACAGTGCTGCTGTAATTGTGTGCCAACATAGAGAATTCACTCTTAAAGCTGTTCTAGTCTGAGAGAAGAGACGCAGCTGAACTCGTCTAATGCGCTGCTGATGTTCTCCTCCTGCAGCTGCGTCCAGGACCGCTGGAGGAGACCTACATCGCTACTATACTGAGGGAAATCCTGAAGGGTCTGGAGTATCTACACTCCGAACGGAAGATTCACCGCGACATTAAAGGTGACCAGCAGGAAAACACACACACATCAGCGGTGTGACGACACGGTGTTCAGAGTTCGATACGATATGATACGGTGGGGTCTCAGTTCAGCAAAAATACAATAAAAAATTTGCTCTTTCTCTCTCTTTCTGTCTTTCTCTTTCAATCTACCCCTCCCCTCTCTCTCCTTTTCTGTTCTCTCTCTCTCTCACTCTCTCTCTCTCTCTCTCTCTCTCCTTTTCTGTTCTCTCTCTCTCTCTCTCGCTCTCTCTCTCTCCTTTTCTGTCCTCTCTCTCTCTCGCTCTCTCTCTCCTTTTCTGTCCTCTCTCTCTCTCTCTCTCTCTCTCTCTCTCTCCTTTTCTGTCCTCTCTCTCTCTCTCTCTCTCTCCTTTTCTGTTCTCTCTCTCTCGCTCGCTCTCTCTCCTTTTCTGTTCTCTCTCTCTCTCTCCCTCTCCCTCTCCCTCTCTCTGTTTCTGTCCTCTTGCTCTCCCTCTCGGTCTCTCGCTCTTGCGCTCTCTCTCTCTCTCTCTCTCTCTCTCTCTCTCTCTCTCTCTCTCTCTCTCTCTCTCCAGCTGCGAACGTGCTGCTGTCTGAGCAGGGTGATGTGAAGCTGGCTGATTTCGGGGTGGCGGGTCAGCTGACGGACACACAGATAAAGAGGAACACGTTTGTGGGCACTCCGTTCTGGATGGCTCCGGAGGTCATTAAACAGTCAGCTTACGACTTCAAGGTGGGTCAGCTCACCTGTCCATGCTCCGCCCACAAATCTACTCTCATCATTTGTATTTACTGTTGCGAGATCGAACAAGCTTTACAAAATATGGCGTCAAATCCAATTCAGAATTCACAAGTGAGGACGACCGAAAAATAGCCCGACAGCCAGCTGTTCTTTCCGCTTGCTGTTGAGCTCGCACAAGAGTTTAATTCGTTTTTGACAGTTGTGGGCGGGTCCGAACATGTGATTGGGCACTGCTGATTTCTGGAACTGTGTTGTGATTGGCTGGCTGTCAGTAGTCATCAGAGCTTTTTCTGAATATTAAAAACCGGGACCAGGGCTTTCACTCTAGAAGACGACCCAGTATAATGGCATAAGCCAAAACGCTGCCTGTCATTACTTCACTCTGTCTTCCTGAATGTTCGGTTATTATGATTAAGTTCCAGAAATTAGTGGTACCCTATTATATGTCTGGACCCGCCCACAACTGTCAAAAACTCAACAGTGAGTGTCGGGTTAATTTTCCTTGTGCGCGAGCGCGTCTCCTTTCGCGGGGGAGCCTTTCCTTGCGCAAATAGTTGTATCTGCGCGAGAGCGATCTTCCTCACGTGCGAATTTTGAATCGGCTAGGTTGGGTTGTAGTGTACACGGCTTTCCCTCCTTCGCGCTGCCATAGACATTTTACGGCTGAACAGAAAGCGTGACAGTACTTCTTCAAGCTACATCAGTGAAGTCTGTCTACTCTGTAACATCAGTGGAGGGACACAGACGTCTGTTAAGTTTCCTTTTGCTCTGTTTGACATGATTTGTTATCTTTTAGGTGATCAGTTCAGTTAAAATGCCCTTGTTTTGCACCTGTTAGCTCTTTTAGCAGCACTTTCTTTAAGTCTAATAGTCGTCCAGAGAAAGTACTCAATAAAATACTCAATAAAACTAAACCGCATGTTTAAAAACCCTTTTTATTTATTTCCTTGTTGTTTGTAGGCAGATATCTGGTCTTTGGGCATAACGGCGATCGAGCTGGCCAAAGGGGAGCCGCCGAACTCTGACCTGCACCCCATGCGTGTGTTATTCCTCATCCCCAAAAACACCCCCCCCACACTGGAGGGCTCCTATAGCAAACCTTTCAAAGAGTTTGTGGAGGCGTGCCTCAATAAGGACCCGCGATTTGTGAGTATTTATATAGTAGAGAACTGGAAAAGAGAAGATACATGTTTAAGTCAGTCTTCCTCATTACTTATTTAATTATTATTATTTTTATTATTATTATTTTTTTTTACTTTTTAAATAAAATCATCCTCTCAAATCATACTAATCATCCTCCAGACATCAGATTTGGATTCTTAAATCCTTCCTCTGGAGTGTTTGTGTTCTCGAGCATCAAGAAACACTATAAAGAGATAATGAGATTCACACATAAGACTGCAGATATCCAGGGATGGATTACTGACCAGGCCAGTGGGGCCAGTGCCCAGGGGCCTCTGACTGCCAGGGAGGCCTGAGGCGGCTCACGGACTGGGGACCGTCCACTGCAGATGCAAAAAATATCAGAATGAAATATAACTGTGCAGAATTGCTCAGTGGTGGAGAATAAATAATTTTGTTAGTTGTTTATTAGTTATTTTTCAGATATACACTTTTTTTTCCATTATTTTAGGGTGTGGGAGGTGGGGGTGGGGGGTTAACCTCTGTTAATCTGGCACGTTATTAAAAAGCATAAAAACCATTGTTGACCATTATGTTTACAAGCCTATTTTATGAACTACATTGCTGAGCAAGAGATCTATTTGTGTCTTATTATTATTATTATTATTATTATTATTAAAAATAAATTCAGTCTTTTATTGAACACTGATGTATTTTATTATAGTGTGTAGGTTCTTGTAGCTTATTGCTTAATATAATTTGGAGTCTAATTGTTGTTCTCTTCCACAGAGGCCGACAGCTAAAGAGCTTCTAAAGCACAAGTTTATCACGCGCTACACCAAGAAAACGTCATATCTGACGGAGCTGATCGACCGCTACCGCCGCTGGAAGTCTGAAGGCCATGGAGAGGAGTCCAGCTCAGACGACTCCGACATGTAGGACATCACTCTGTCCTTTCATACCTATACAGCTCTCACAGTTAAAACAGTACTTCAGGGTGGTGCTAGTTTGATCCACGGCGACGTCACAGCCACCCGGGGATAAATTCGTGTGACCATAACAAATTATAGGTCAGTAAATAATCTAATGTAGGCGATGGAACCCTAACCACCTAAATCACACAATAAGGTGTTCAGTATCTCTAATTTTTCCCCAATTTTCTCCCCAATTTAGTCGTCTCCAATTCCACCCACTAGTTAGGACTCCCCCAATCACCAGCGCTAGGAGGGTGACGGCTAACACAGGCTTCCTCCGAGACCTGTGAAGCCACCGCGTCTTTTCAAACTGCCGCTCACGCAACGTCATTGGACAGCCGAACGCGCTCGGAGGAAAGCGCCAACCGCCAGATCTGTTACGTCAACTAACAGACGCCTGCGCTGACTAGCATCACATTAAGTGATGGGGGGAGAAGGGGGGGCCATCCTACCCACCCAGAGAGAGCGAGGCCAATTGTGCTCTCTTGGACTCCCGGCTGCGGACGGCTGTAGCATCACCAGGGATCGAACTCCAGATCTCCTGATGACAGGGCCAACGCTTAGACTGATGTGCCACTCAGGAGCCCCCAGTATCTCTAAAAGACTTGATTGTGTGGTTTCTGACACTGTATGACTCACTAGGTGTGTCCCAGTTCAGGGGCTACATCCTTTGAAGGACACGGTCTACGAAGGCTGAACTGAAATGAGACGTTCTACTCTACGGCTGATTCCCTGTTTGCACAGGAAACTTACCATCGCATCACGAAGTGCCGCTCCTGTCAAGTTATTTTGAAGTTCTGTTTTATTTTTTCATGCATTAGAGCTGGAGATGCTTCTCTCTGTCGGCGCTTTGCTCCCTAAAACAAAACGAAACGGCAGTTTTGCTTCAGACCACACTGGCTTTTTAAACATTTGTCTCATCGGCTATTCGACTCAGTTTAAACCCAGCACTTGTATTTAAAGTGTCTCATCTGCTGCCGTTCGCTCCTCTGCTGACGCTGCCATGTTCTCAAATCCTCGCTGGCACACAATGAACCTCCGGATGTGTTGGCTGGTGAAGGATCCACCCGTTGGATCCTTCGTTGCTGTGTAAAAGGACGACACATTTCTCGGCCTCATATGAAGGAGCCTTTGAAATGGGACAGTCTAATCGCTGCCTTTAAATGCAGCCTCTGAAGGATGCAGCTCCTGAATTGGGACACAGCTACTGTTACCTACAAACATGGACTAAAGTACATTAGCATAGCACAGTAGCCATCCTGAAGCCTGAGTTTTGTCGATACTGTCTATTCTGAATCGTTCATTTGATGTTCTTTAAAGAGTGACCACCGTAGTGCCGAGACCTTGATCTCTGACTGACGTCACTTATTTGTTTAACACTTCAAGGCTTTGTGTAAACTGAGTGAGAAACTTAGCTTTTGAATTGTGTCCAACACACTTAAAGATGGTTCTTCAAGGGTTCTTTAGTGAATAAATTGGTTCTATATAGAACCATGAACACTAGAGGAACCCTTTGCATGATTGAAGCGTTCTTTGCTTCGTGAGAGTGTTCTTCAGTTTGATGGAGATTGTGTTGTGTATGGTTCTGTGTAGAACCTTTTTGGGAAAAAATGAATAAATATAGCCCCAAAAAGGGTTCTTCTATTGTTACGGTGTCAAGCTTGTAATAATAGAAGAACCCTTTTTGGTGCTAGATAGAACCCTTTTCAAAATGGTTCTGTATAGAACCATATTCAACACAATCTCCATCAATCTGAAGAACCCTTTCAGGATGCAAAGAACCCTTTAAGCATGCAAAGGATTCTTTGAGTGTTTATGGTTCTATATAGAACCTTTGAACCATGTTTTTTTTTAAGTGTGTATATTTTTTTGCGGGTTATAAATTTTAGCAAAGCTACAGAATAATTAATTCCTGGAGAACCACCGTCCTTCAACCCTGACTGGACGTCCCATCAGTGACCCATTAGTCGTGTGTGTTTGTCTCCTGTAACTGATGAACATTTCAGATCAGCATTTTTGATGATGTTTGATGCTACATGCCTTGAGTAGCTCATCAGGTGTGTTAAATTAGGCCTGGAACTAAACTAGGACTTCACAGAACGGTGGTGACAATAACGTACGACTCTGCGTCCGGTCTTCTTTCTCGTCTGAGCAGGGACGGAGACGGAGATGAGAGAGATCCGTGTCCTATGTGGACTTTCCCCACCGTCAGGCCCAGCTCAATGAACAAGCTTCAGAAGGGATACCCAAACACAGACTCAGAGGTGAGACGCAGCCAGACTGCAGTAAACACTGCACTACAATCCCCAGCATGCACTGCAACATAATGTGCGTCTATGGGACAGTGCCATGAAAAGAAAAGATGCCAGGTGTCTAGTTCAAGCAAAAAAAGGCAGGTTTTAAAAACCTACTGTACATCTGTACACCTACTGGGTGTCCAGTAGGTCCGAAGCTAATGAAGCCTATTGTTTTATATAGAACAATGTGTTTTCATTTAAAAGTATTTATATGTAATAATAATAATAATAATTATTATTATTATTATTATTTTGTTATTTTATTATTATTATTATTATTATTATTATTATTATTATTATGGTTTTGGCATATTTTGAATAAACAGTGGTCAGTTTGACACCCCTGGTGTACATGGTCTGTGACAAGGTGAGCATAAACTAATCTACCCTTGATGGAAAACTCAAAATGACATGCCGTTTGTTTTGCTCGCCAGCTTTTGTGAAGCACAAACACATGAAAAAGCTAAAATAGGCTTGTTTTGTGTGACTGATTCTCAGGCCGCAGAGGTGAAGAGGCAGCCCAGGTCTCAGTGTCTGTCTGCGCTCGTCTCGCCCATCTTCAGAGAGGTAAACTTCTCCATCACATTCTCAGAGTAGGGTCTGCGGGCCCCCAGGGGGTCTCTTATCTCTAAGAGGTCCATGATTTCATTCATTTATACATAGCATGACAGCGATGGAGATGACTGGTGCCACACTAACACAGATAAGCATTGATTTTCTCTGTAGTGCTACATTATATGGACAAAAGTATTGAGACACCTATATGTTACACCCACAGTAGCTTTTATGAATCCCATTCTAAATCCATAGGCATTAATATGGAGTTGGTCCCCCTTTGCAGCTGTAACAGCTTCCACTCTTCTGGGAAGCTTCTACAAGATGTTGGAGAGAGTCTGTGGGAATTTCTGCCCATTCATCCAGAAGAGCATTTGTGAGGTCAGACACTGATGTTGGACGAGAGGGCCTGGCTCACAGTCTCCATTCTAGTTCATCCCAAAGGTGTTTGATGGGGTTGAGGTCAGGGCTCTGTGAGGGTCAGTCAAATTCTTCCACACCAAACTCACCCAGTCAGGCCTTTATGGAGCTGCTTTGTGCTCTGGGGCTCAGTCATGCTGGAACAGGAAAGGTTCTTCCCCAAACTGTTCCACAAATTTAGGAAACATATCATGGTACAAAATGTCTTGTTCTGCTGAAGCATTAAGATTTCCCTTCACTGGAACTGAGGGTTCTAGACCAACCCCTGAAAAACAGCCCCATATCATCATCCCTCCTCCACCAAACAGCTGGCTCAGTGCAGTCAGGCAGGTAACGTTCTCCTGGCATTCGCCAAACCCAGACTCGTCCATCAGACTGACAGATAGAGAAGTGTGATTCATCACTGCACAGAATACGTTTCCACTGCTCCAGAGTCCAGTGGCAGCGCTTTACATCCGACGCTTGGTGATGTAAGGCTTGTGTGCAGCTGCTCGGCCATGGAAACCCTGCCATGAAGCTCCCGGTGCAGTTTTTGTGCTGATGTTGATGCCAGAGGAGGTTTGGAGCTCTGTAGTTATTGATCAGCAGAGCGTTGGAGACTTTTATCCTCTATGCTCCTCAGAGCTCGGAGACCCGCTCTGTAATTTTCGTGGTCCGTCACTTCGTGTCTGAGTTGCTGTGGTTCCTAAACGCTTCCACTTTTCAATAATACCACTCACAGTCGATCGTGGAAAATCTAGGAGGGAAGAAACTTCACAAACTGACTTGTTTCAACAGTGGCCTCCTCTTACAGCACCACGCTGGAATTCAGTGAGCTCTTCAGACCCATTCTTTCACTAATGTGTGTAAAGGCAGGCTGCATGGCTGGGTGCTTGATTTTATTGACCTGTGGCAATGAGACTGAATGAAACACCTGAATTCAATGATTAAGAGGGGTGTCCCAATACTTTTGTCCATATAGTGTAATCCAGGTGGATGTAGTCTCAGTTTCGACATTTTATAATTCTGTGTGTATCAGCATAAAAAAATCAGATATAGACAGTAGTGATTTGTAGACACCGATGAGCCAAAACATCATGACCACCTGCTTAAGATGCCGTTGGTCCTCCACGTGCCTCAGCCCCAAACTGCCAAAGCATGGACTCCACAAGACCTCTGAAGGTGCCCTGTAGTGTCTGATACCAAGCGTTAGTAGCAGTCCTGTAAGTTAGGAGGTGAAGCCACTGCTGATCGGACTTCTTGCTCTAGCACATCCCACAGATGTTCAATCAGACTGAGATTTGGGGACTGTGGAGGCCAGAGCAACACCTCAAACACTTCATCTTCTTCAAACCATTCCTGAACAGTGTGTGCAGTGTGGCAGGTGCATCATCCTGCTAAAAGAGGCCACTGCCATCAGGGAAGGCCGTCGCCATGAAGAGATGTATCTGGTCCACGTCAAGGTGGCACATGTAAAATTGATGTCCACGTGAGTGCCCAGACCAGGACATCACCCAGAGCATCATGCTTGCCTGATGCCATCAGTTTCCCAGGTAATACCAGGAGATCTTCTTCCATTGCTCAGAGGTCCAGTTCTGATGCTCAGATCCCCACTATAGGTACTTTTGATGGTGGACAGGGGGCAGCATGAGTGCTCTGACCAGTCTGCAGCTACTCAGCCCCATATGCAGCAGGGTATGATGCGCTGTGTTGACACGTTCCTCCCATAAACATTTCTGTGCCACAGTAGCACTTCTGTCGGTGGACCCTGTCGCTGATTCGTGGTTTGTCCCTCCTTGGTCCACACTGCTGACCAGGAGCGCACCACAAGCCTTGCTGTTGCAGAGATGCTCTGGTCCAGTTGTCTGGCTATAACGATTTGGCCCTCAGGTCGTCACGCCTGACCATTTCTCCCACATCCAGCACGTCAACTACAAGATCTGACTGCGCTTGCCGTCTAATATCTCCCAGACCTTGAAATGCACCGTTCTATAAATAAATCAACATTATTTGTTTCATCTGTGAGCTCTTTTTAATGTTTTGTCTCCTCTGCGTGTTGAGGGCTTTAATCTTATCTGAACTTTTCCTGCAGTTAAAGGAGAAGCGGCGGGCGAGTGGTGGAGGAATGGGGGCCATAGAGGAACTGGAGAACGCCTTTAACCTCGCCGAGGAGTCCTGCCCCGGCATCTCTGACCTGCTGGTCACGCACGTGATGGAGAGAGTGTGCAGGTGAGGCAGCACACCTGTGAGTGTTTAGCAGGATCTTGGATTACACAGCTTTCAGATGGAGCAGTCAGTGTCCTTCGGTTCACCGTTAGAGCAGAGGTCTTCAGACCGGTCCTCAGGGCCTCCCAGACGGTCCATGTTTTTGCTCCAACCTAACTCAAATTTGCATAGAGATGGAGCAAAAATTTGGACAGTCTGGGGGCCCAGAGAGAAAACTTGATCAATACCTCAAATTCTGTTTACATCTTAACCATTTAATAATGTAGAAAATTTGAAAAATCGGTGGAATTCTTTTCACCATACCATTTAAAATATGATTACACAATTACATAATTAATTACATAGTTATATTATTAATTACATTTACATTTGATGCTCATTCTGTATCGACAGCCTCGAGTCCGCACTTCTGACTTTTTCCTGTTTGTTTTGATGTTAAACATTCACAAAAACACAGCAGTAACTTTTTCATCAAATTCAGATCGCAATAAAATGTCTCCTCTTTTACTTACAGATTCAGATGTGGTAGAGATTGAAAGTTTAGAATCTGCACTTTCCACAAACTTTTTGTTTTAATGAGCTACAAGTGAGTTAGTACAGGTAGATTCGCTCGAAAGAGGCCCCGAATATTCTGCTGTAACTCCTGTTAGGATGAAGCAATCTGAACCAAAAACTATGCTGCATATCTTGATGTATTTGTAATCGATTGCATTACATGCGATGCTGGAAGTGATCACTGTTTTCTGCCAGACACATGAAGGGGTGCAGGGGTATGCACCCGGAAGTTACAAACGGAGGTTAACCGTCGTGACGGCTGTCCAGCAGCTACCTCATCGCTCTTGTTTGAAGCTCCATATACTGAGGAACTCATTGCACGTTGTTTCGTTCAGATCGATTCATCCTAGAGAGAGTTATTACGGAATATTCGGGGCCTCTTTCGAGTGAATCTCCCTGTATAAAATCACATCACGTCTAAGCGTTGGCCCTGTCATCAGGCGATCATGTGATCCCTGGTGATGCTACAGCCGTCTGTGGCCGGGAGTCCAAGAGAGCATGATTGGCCTCGCTCTCTCTGAGTGGGTAGGATGGCCCCCCGTCTCCCCCCATCACTCAGCACGATGCTAGTTGCGTTAGCAGCAGTTCCAAAAGATGCGGTGGTTCTTCACAGGTCTCGGAGGAAGGCTGTGCTGGCCTTCGCCCTGCTAGCATTGGTAGTACGGTGTGTTTGGGGGAGTCCTAAGTAGTGGTGGAACTGGATACCACAAATTTGGGGAGAAAATTGGAAAGACAGACAGACAGACAGACAGGCAGACAAAGAGAGACAAAGACAGACAGACAGACAAAGACAGACAAACAAAGAGAGGCAAAGACAGACAAAGGCAGACAGACAGACAAAGAGAAACAAAGACAGACAGACAGACAGAAAAAGAGAGACAGACAAAGAGAGACAAAGACAGACAGACAGACAAAGAGAGACAAAGACAGACAGACAGACAGACAAAGAGAGACAAAGACAGGCAGACAGACAAACAAAGAGAGACAAAGACAGACAAAGACAGGCAGACAGACAAACAAAGAGAGACAAAGACAGACAAAGACAGGCAGACAGACAAACAAAGAGAGACAAAGACAGACAGACAGACAGACAAAGACAGACAGACAGACAGAAAGAAAATATGATGTTTTTTCTTCTCTGCTCTTCAGGTTCGCTCTGAATGGAAACGGTAACACCGCCCCGTCGTCACGGTGAAGCGCACCTGGACCTGACCTCTGATCCCTGACCACATCCCAGCCAGTTACCATAACAACCATACAGACCATGTACACCCCACCCCCGTCTGCCCTCTCCACCCCCACAGATCTTTTAATTAGTTATAATTAAATATTTTTACAGTTACAGTTTCTTTATAGAATGCAGAGTATTTAAGAGAAAAGCCATGACATTGACAACGCTGTGTTTACCTGTTAGATCAAAAGTCCTATTATAAAAGTTTATGGAAATATTGATTGGTCTGATTGATTGATTTATTTATTAATTTAAGGGTCACATTCGTGAAACGCTCATGTCATTCGATCACTGTGGAGAACCTTCAACCTGACGGCTAATCTGGATGCTGTTTCGGGTTTATGAGTCATAATCCTGCGGACAGGTATTACCAGAGTGATGTCATGGAAGCACGCAAGTGTTTTTCACTGACCAGATATTCAGTCTGCTCAGTGTCCAGTGAAGAATCGGAATCATTTACACATACAGGGAGGTTGTCTTGGTGAGTCACACATGAGTGACGTGTAACACACTGTGAACAGACCAGACACGCAAACAGACGGTTAACAAGTATTTAATTAAGAGGCAAATAAAATAAACACAATAAGTAGAATAGAGAGTGAGAGTCAGTGTGAAGGACCTAAAGAGATGACGTGAATATCTGTACATATGCAGGTCTGAGTAGACATATAACAACTGTTATATACAGAATATTACAGAGTGAAATGAACATCTGTAAAGATTACACTGCAAAAATAATCTTAACAAGTGAAAACGTCTTAAATGTAGTCAATAAATCTAATATCTCTCATTATGAGGCTGTTGTAAGAATATTATAAGATTATTCCACCTGTTTCTGTACATTTTTACTTGTTTTAAGTGATTTTATCTGGTGAAAGTGTCTTATTCCATTGGCAGATTAGTTTACTTGTTTGGAGAAATACTGAAGATAATTTTGCTCATTTCAAGAAATAATGATTAAAACAAGGAACATGATCTGACAATGAAATAAGACACTTTTATAAGATAAAACTGCTTAAAAACAAGTAAAAATGTCTAGAAATAAGTTAAATAATCTCACAGTATTCTTACAACAGTCTCATAATGAGGGGAAAAAAAAAAAATATATATATATATATATATAGGAGAAGGAGAAAACATTCTTTACTTTTACTGTAAGTCAATGTAATCAGACTTTTTTCCAAGTAATTCTTGACCATTTCGTTTGGTCAGTTCATCCTGAAATTTACAGACAATGTAAAGGGCAACAAGCATTTTCAAATGATGTCAAAAACTGAAAAATGACAATTTATATGAGGTTTTCTTCTGACAGCATACATATATATATATATATATATATATATATATATATATATATATATATATATATATATATATATATATATCAAAAAATAAATAAAGAGAGAGAGAGATTGCCTACATTTATTGACTACATTTCGGATGTTTACACTAACTAAGACATCATTTTTTGCAGTGTAACACTGGCTTTTACACTTTTGCAGGCCAAAAATATGCAAGCAAGCAGTGATTGATTGATTGATTGATTTATTTATTATAGAGGGCCCATATCCTACATTTTTCTTGCATTTTATTTGTCCGTTCTTGACATTTGTGTGTTTTTTTTTACCAAAAACAGTGTTAATTCATTTCTACATGACCGTTTTCCAACGTCTCTTTATCCTTTGCAGTTAAACAGGCTGCTTTTGTTACTGTGCTTTAAAGACTGGTACATGCAAATTAGCTCTCTTCTGATTGGGCACAAGGTATTGTGCCTCATTCAGAAAGCGGACCGGGCTGAAACACTCCTTATAACTTCAGTGTGGACGAGTCTGAAGTAACAAGTGTTTTCCCCACAATGTCACAGAAACTGACTTCAGAACTGGCTGTTTTTGGGTCACTCTCCATTTGGAGGGGAAACCGGGTCACAAAGGTTGCAGGGCTTAAAAATATGCTTAAGATATTAGACACAGCTCCAAAAGTCAGTATGTACATTTACACAGTTGACCTAAGGTGAAATAACACGTTTCCCTGATGATTCTCTGATTTTACTCTTTCTATCCTGTTTCATATTCGCTCTGCATCTGTAAAACAGCTCATCACCAAACCGATTTTCAACATTTGAGAAACCATTTTTAATATAAAACAATATTTTTAAGAAGTTTAACTGAGGAATTTGTATAAAACAGATCCATGTTTACTTTTTATATCATTAACATTACTACATTTAAAAATATGTATTTTATTTTAAAAATTCATTTGTCAGAGTGATTTTGGTCACTGGTGTTATCAGGACTCTTATTTTACATTTTAACACAGTATTTTCAGCTCTATTAAACTGCCTCTTTGGGTCAAGGCTCATCGTCTCGAGGCATGAGAAGGCGAGTCACACCTGCTCACTATATTTCATTAATTTATTAATCATTTTGTTTATCAGGCAGCTCAGAACTTCTATGTGTCAGTGGTGTTTTGTGCTTTAATGGCTGAGTAATTAAAATTTTGTCAAAATAATGCTAAATATCACTTTTATTACTGATTTTAAATACACAAGGTCACCTGATCAGCCAATGAGTCAGCCAGTTTACAGAATCCTCAGTTTTAACTGGAATGTCTCTGGAGTCACCGTCACTGGAGTTACACCATAGTCATACAACACCAGTGACTGTAAAATATGTTTGAATTAAGCTCCTTTCTGCATGACTGATAATAGGAGATGTTAATGGACTTATTTAGATTATTTAGTTTTGGGATGAAAGAAACTGATTTTTTTTAAAATGTGTCCACCTGAATTCCGACTCCAAATGGAGAACGACCCAGTCGCATCTTAGTTTCCAAACATGGACTGTCGGACTGGAGAGTGAACGGTATGTTTGGAAACTTTAACAATGTTAAGCCTTTACACTGATCAGGCATAACATTATGACCACGTCCTCGTTTCTACACTCATTGTCCATTTCATCAGCTGAGTGGATCAGACACAGCAGTGCCGCTGGAGTTTTTAAACACTGTGTCCACTCACTGTCCACTCTATTAGACACTCCTACCTTGTCAGTCCACCTTGTAGATGTAAAGTCAGAGACGATAGCTCATCTGCTGCTGCACAGTTTGTGTTGGTCATCCTCTAGTCCTTCATCAGTGGTCACAGGACACTGCCCACAGGACGCTGTTGGCTGGATATTTTTGGTTGGTGGACTATTCTCAGTCCAGCAGTGACACTGAGGTGTTTAAACACTCCAGCAGCACTGCTGTGTCTGATCCACTCGTACCAGCGCAACACGCACTATCACACCACCACCACGTCAGTGTTACTGCAGTGCTGAGAATGATCCACCACCCAAATAGTACCTGCTCTGTGGGGGTCCATGGGGGTCCTGACCACTGAAGAACAGGGTAAAAGGGGGCTAACAAAGTATCAGAGAAACAGATGGACTACAGTCTGTAACTGTAGAACTACAAAGTGCACCTATATAGTAAGTGGAGCTGATAAAATGGACAATGAGTGTAGAAACAAGTAGGTGGTCATAATGTTATGACTGACCGGTGTATTAAGAGGAGAAAAATTTGGAGGAGAAACTTCTCGTTAGTTTTATTCCAAAGTTGTTTTTGGAAAGGTACTTTTATTTTAGTCATTATATCACAGAAGTACAATACCTTCACTGGGGTCTAGGTTTAGACTGCTCTCTGGTTACTACCCTCTGCTCAGGTCAGTTCGGGTCATAGCCGATGGCGGACGTCCGTCCGTCTGCTGAGGCAGCAGTTCTCAGACCGATGATCTGAGAGCTTGTAGTAATCCATGCAGTCACACTGCGCCCTGAGTCATAATACACTGCAGCTCTGAAGCTGTGTTTGGAAACACACGTCAAATCCATACGCAGCACGTCTGAGCATTAACACAGCACCGTGCGGCACAGACGTCCAGCCAACACAGCAGGTATCTGCTCAGATTCTCTGTGGTACAGAGGTCCAACTGAATACCCCTGTACATTAACACAGTACTGTGTGGCACAAAGGTCCAATCAACATCTTCACTATCCCAGACGTTTATCATGGCATTATGGTGAATAAAGGCATCTTTAGAAGAATGAATGTTACTCAAGCAGATTTGGGCAGAATGTAGTTAATAAATCTGCATGTATTTTAATAACTAATCATGAATTACACGGCCTTCTTGATTAGATGGGTCACTGTCTGCCCCCTGGTGACCTGTAGTGGAAATTTTTGGGGTGAAGAGCAAAACAGGTAGAAAATGAGACTGGGCAAGAGTGGGTTTGGTGGGTTCTGGTTGGAATACGAACATTTTAGCCCACCTGCTTGCAGTGTCTGGTGGAAGCCCAAATTTTACTTTGTAAACCTAATAATAACAATAATAATAATAATGATGATAATAATAATAATGATTGTTATTATTCAGTAATTTCTGGTGAAAATTGTCTTAAAACATTTAGTTCAGCAGGTAACGTCACCAGAATGGTCAGTTCGGTAACGAGAGTCATTAGTATAAATTACTAATGCAATAAAAATGCACTTTTTTTGTTTAGAGAGAAAAAAAACTCAAGGCTTTGAAAGTGATCCATATATAAGCAATACAGAAAACACAAGAAAACTTAGAATTTTATTATTTATTCGAAAAATACTTAAAGCATTTTATAAAAGTCTGTATTTCTTACTAGAAAGTAATGAATTCAGTTAACACATTCTTTTATTAACTTACATCTCCCTAAAAATGTGTAACAGGGTTGCAAAAAATGCTGTTCATTTCAGAAAAAAGCCTGAAGGGGCTGCTATTTTCTTAAGATTAAGCACTGACTTTGATTAATACTTTGTCAAAAATCATAAAAGAAAAAGCAAATTTATCAAGGCTTTGAAGGCCTAAAATGATCTCTGTTCACAGAAAGTGCCTCCTATATATTCAGTTATCTACTTTATTTACATTATTTCCTGTTTAAATTATTCTACTGCACAGCTTACAATGTGTGATGTTAAGAGTTCAGTTTTCTGCTTTATTGGGACGAATGTGGAAGAAACAAAGTACATGCATAAAAACCTAATATTATATACCATACATAAAGCTACCATATATGAGTAACGTGTTACCATATATTGTTAGCAGTCGTGGACAGTAACTCAGTAAATGTAATTCGTTTCTGTACTTAAGTAGTTTTTTCCTGTATCTGTACTTTACTGAAGTTTTTCCATTTTGGGCGACTTTTTACTTTCACTCCACATTTCAAAGTCAGATATCTCACTTTTTACTCCACTACATTATGAGAAATCTGTCGTTCCTTTTGGTTTATGTGTGAATAAAAACGTAACATGTCAAAACGAAAGAAGCGCAAAGTAAGAACACCAATCAGGGCACAGCGGTCACTTTGTTTTGAGCTTGTTTTGACCTGTTGGTCATACCGACCCAGCGCAGCACACGGTTCAGCATCAGTGCAGCAGCGTAAAATTTTGGGAGAGTCTGTTCAACATAAATGATGAACTAACCTAACTTTGTGTAAACAGACCACAATATAGAAATATGTACTCATATGCAGTCGTGACTGACGGGTCTTTTTTCTGAATTTATACAAACATTTCATTTTATAGTAAATTAGTTTAGGCTAGTTTATGTTTATGAACAGAGACCTACAGATGCAGTTTAGTAAAGGAAACTCATCTGAGTTTAAAGTTGTTATTAAACTTAAACTTGAAACTAAGTTCAAATAAATCTTAAACTGAAACTTTGCTTGTTTGTAAAAAGTGATTTCAGAGCCACTCAGTTCTACCTGATGGAAACTGTTTGCCTTCAGTGTTTTGTGCTTATGATAATTTTAATAAACATCAGCATCACTAATTAATGACTCTATTAAAAGACTGGTTTACCAAGAGAGACACTGGAGTATTTTCACCTACAATGAGTTAATGAAGCGAGTCTTGTTACAAAAATGATAATAGGACATTAAAGTCATAATTAATCTTTTAGTACTTTCACTTTCGATACTTAAGCACATTTGAAGGTGAATACTTTAGTACTTCTACTCAAGTGGAGGTCTAAAGGGAGGAACTTCTACTTTTACTGGAGTAAAATTTTACCTTGGGTGTCTCTACTTTAACTCAGGTACATGGTTTGTGTACTTCGTCCACCACTGATTGTTAAATGTGTTATACATACATGTTTACGTTGATCTATGGCTGAAATACATGTCCAATATTTGAAGATGGCCAGCTTTAAATAAGTTGGCGTATATATCACATCTACGTCCCTGTGCGACAAATATAAGTTGAAAATACGGGAATTTCATTTATGCTAATATATGTCCTATATTTGAAATTCATACATTACCATTTACAGATTTCTGTGTTTCTGCTTTCTTCCATGTTTAGTAAGCCCAGTATTGGTAGCGTCAGTAAAGTATGAGAGTGATATTTAATGGTTTATAGCACCACCTGCTGCTCGTCTCGGGGACATTTGCGCATTTTAATAAACATCGTAAGTTGTGCGTCATTCTGTAGCCGACGTCATGCCCATATAAGGAGCTCCAGGTCTAAGCAGGGTTTCTCTATGGGAAAAACGAATGCCGTTTTCGGAAATCGCCTTTTGTGCTCTAAAACGCTCCAAAGCGATACGTTTTTTGGTGTACAAACATCTTTTGCCAGATCCTCTGAACTATGAGGTCACTAAGGAGCTGAAATATGAATATTGCTACATATAGGATAACACTGCTGCGCACTCAATTGACGTCACGAGACTGGAAACTTCACCAAAATACCCCACGAGCTTTATTAAATGTGGCCTTGGCAGTTCGAGTATCTAGTGTTGGTATATAATAGTGTTTAAGTTTAATAGCACATTTACTTTCATGTGACGTCATTTCAGTGCGCTTGCCTGTAGCATTATCCATATTTTTACTGGTATTCCAGAGGATCCAGTGACATTTAGTGGAAAAAAAGCATACATAGCACAAAACCTACTGGATTTGGAACCTTTGGGTATTAAAATCCCATTAATTTTTGTCAAACGTCAACTACAGAATGAGGACACAGACATCAGTCAGTCCTCAGTGAAAGACATCGTACCTAACACACTCGTGTAGGTTCACTGGTGGTTCTAGATAGTAAATAAAATGTCTATATTTGTGTTGTAGTCATGGCGACCCCTGGTTCCTATCACCACCACTGTAAAGACATCTGAACCATTTCACACCAAACCACTCTGAATGACTCCGTTCACGTTTCAAACACTGAACTATCCTGAAGTGTTGCAAAATCAGTGAAATTCACTTTTAACAAACAGGAAAAGACTTTCCACGCTGACAGGCACTAAAAAACGAATACAGTACAGTGGGAGCCCTTGTGCTTTTACATGAATGGTGCAACTAAAATGTAGCTATAATGAAGGCACAGTATCACACAAACACACACAACATGAAGAAATAACCAGTATACCGTATAAGCTTTCATAAAAACCTTTATTACAATACAAGATAATAGCCAACAAGTTTATTAGAGAAAGTTCTCAAACCGTACAAGTGGAATGTTAACAGCTTCGAGATAAAACTATGGACAGTGACAACCAGTTTAAGAGACCAACTGGAGCTGAACAGATGGGAAATCTCCCATATCAAGGTCTTTTTTTGTTTGAAGAGATGATGAAGACTTACGGAATGGGCAGTAGGTGCACACAAACACACAGGTCACCTCCACAGGGTGAGGGCTCATTAATATTAACGTAGGGCTGAGGGAGGGGTTATTTGGCATGCATCAGGGCCCAACACTGCACATTAACACGTAACCGGTCTGATACTTCACTGCACTCCTGGGTGTATTACCGCACCAGTCAACTTCACATCGTACAGCTGTTTCCGACAGCTGTGGGACAGAATCCACAGAGGCACATACAGTATACGTAATCACCACCACGACCACCTGAAAGAGCGGCCTCTCCTCTTTCGTAACAGTACAAATCAGCTGCCACTTCTCTTCTGCTCTAGCTCACCTGCAGGGCTGCACGATACGCTGCTTGTTCATCATTATCGCGATACTGGCCTTTGCAACACAGTTAACGCACTGTAATATTCAAATGAGCTCTCTAATCTGACCAATCACAGCCCCAGACGCATTTTTGTGGCTGTTTTAATGAATCACGGTGTTCATGCAATCCAACAAAAGGCCATGAGTTCACGTTATAGACCTCTGAAGTTGTGCTGTCATGCCCATATTAGGAACTCCGGGTCTTACCTGGTTATCTCTACAGGAAAAATGAATAATTTTCTTGAAATTTTGTTGCTGTTGTGCTCAAAGTTGGAACATTTTTAGTCTGTATTTCATATTTCTTCTCCAAACTTCACCAGATCCTCAGAATTATGAAGCTGTTAAGAAGCCGACTACATTACTACATGCAAACTAACACTGATGTGAGCTAAACTGACTATACAGGACTGGCAGCCTCACCGAAATACCCCAGCAGTCTTTTCCCAGTGTGGTAAGATGCTTTGGCAGTTTAGTATACATGTATAATAGTAGACTCACTATCAGTGTGCAGTGTTGGCTTCCTTGTAGCATTATTCATATTTTTACATACACTTATTGGGGGGGGGGTATCGGGTTTACAACACAGTGCTCTAGTGCCAATTTTAGAAACACTGCTTATTTTTCCATAGAGAAAATCTTAGTTCTTAATATGGTTAAAACGACTACAGAGGCCTACTGGTTCACCGATGCTTTACAGGCATTGGTGGGCTTGTAGCATGCACATAGCATTAATCATATTTTGACTGCTAAACGACCTCATAATTCACTGGATCCAGCGCCACTTGAGGGGAAAATGCATCAGGTTTGGAACATTTTAGTTTACTGGGGTGCGATAATGGAAATTTCAGAACCACCATTCATTTTTTCCATAGAGAAAATGTGCGTAGTTCCTAATAAGGGCATGATGAGGTCTACAGAGGTCTACTTGTTCACCAGTGTTTATAGGCATATTGCAGGTGCATCATTATTGCAATACTAGAAGTGTGTCTTTATCACGCAGCCCCACCAGGTAATTTAAGCCCTTCATGAAGTGGAACGGGTGTGCTAAAACAGCGAAAGCACTAGCAGGTCACCAGAGGATATTTGCAAAGCTGGATTTCTCAGTAAAGCTGGATAATTTAAGCCAAAAGTGAGGACTATCCAAAAGGAATGTTCTCTAGCTCTCCTCAGACTGGATTAGGCTTGGTTTTAGGCTTAAGTTATCTGGCTAACTGAGAAATGCTAGCCAGACTAGTCACAGTATACTGACTAGAACATTACCAACCAGCTGAGGGCCACTTCACTACTCCCTCCTCCACACCAGCACTTACAAATCCTATTAACCTCCCAAAAAACTGGTGCAGCAACCATCACAGTAACAATCCAAACCCTGTGCTGCTGCAGTCTTTTCACAGTGTTTGTTTTGTAGCCAGCTGGCAGGTTCCTCGTCCCGTGATCAGAGGGACTTTCAGTGGTAGAGGAGCTGCCGCAGAATGTTAAAGGAATGACTTAGCCAAATACGCCAACGTGGCTAATAATGAGGATGCTGGCTGCAGGCTTTCATGTCCTACTTCTGTCAGCCAAGGTTAGCGCCTTGTGCTGAGCGTTTCCTTTAAGAGACTCTACAGCAGTGGGTTCTTACTGAACAGCAGCAGCAGCAGCAAGTGGCCTTCTTATCAGATTAAAACACAAAACGCATTAAGATGCTACCACATAAATGACTCTGCAGTCAACAAGAAAAACTACTCACTGGTCTGTATACTTCAATTTGGTTATAGGCATAGTTCAATAGTTTGGTACAAATGAAATAATATTAGAAACAGCATTTGGGTAAATAAAAAAATAACAATAATAACAATAATAATACTGCTTACAAAAAAGAAATAACAAAAAAAACATTATCCCAAGTAAGAGTAGAAGAAACTAAGAAAGTGGCAAGCAAAACGAGACATGGACCAGCCTCCCTCCTCCCTCCTCCCTCCTCTCTCCACACTTCCGCTCCTGCCTTCCGTCCGCTTTCTGCTGGTCATGCTCAAACAACAGCTCTGCACCTGGGGGAAGAAAAGAAGGTGTATCCTGACTTTTAAAGGCAATAATGACACTAAAGACATATAATACATATTAATAACCATATCGTCGCTCTCCAAAGAAAAACAAGTATCTCCAAAATGGTAACTTTACAGGAGAGGGCAAAAACTTTCTTTACTTTCAACCTCTTCAACTCCTTGAGACCACCAGTGGTTCCAAAGCGCACTTCGTCATATTCTTCATAACTTTCATATTTCATAAGCTACATTCTAAAGGTGGGGGTTGTATGAGAGCTGTAACTGTCTTCTCTCCAGTCAAATAGATGGTGTTGTAATTTTAAACCCTTATAATAAAAGAAGCTGAACTTTTCTACTGAAAGTCGACCCATTTTTCCACAAATCTGGGCTGTAAACTATAAACAGATGGCGTCTCTTCAGTGATCTGCTCTGTAAACATTATTTATATAAAATTATACAAAGAGCGTCTAAGATTTTTGGCTTTCAGCAGTAAATTGTAAGCATATAGCAATGTGTGTGATCATAAAACACATGTTCTGTTAATTTAAGGGGAACTTTTACAAAATTTACAATTTACATTTATTTCATGCAGTTACTGAATAATTTGCCTTAGGATTTGGTCATGTGCTAGCTACCAAATTCACTACAGACTAAGCTCAATATTACTGTTTCTCCCCGATAAGCTGATTTTCAACATATCCTAATTATTCTTTTAAAGCTGGAAACATTTTCTGATAAGGACATTTAGACTATCAAACTACCCTACCTGCAGTTTTAACACGAGGCTGAAGCCGACTTCCTATTCGCAACTTTGAGGCTCAAATTTTCCCATTCCACCTTAAATACTGCAGCAGTTGTTGTAACACCTGAGGCGCCAGAATGAAACTGCTGCACCTATAAAGGTGGAACGGGAAAATCTGAATAAAAAGCTGGTGAATAAGAATAGTTTTAATTCTGGTAGCATTTTTTGATAAGGTGATTTAAGCCAGGGGGTTTACAACCTTTTCCACCCTAAGGCTCATCTGTGTATAACTACAAAGCTTAGCAGCCCACAGGAAGACTATTTTATTATTATTTTTTTTCTTAAATTCTGACGCTGAAAACCTGAGAATTAGGTCCTGAAAAAGAGTGGATCGGCCATTCTAGTTGTCAGTAGGTTTGCAAAAATTGCAGGCATGTTAAAAACATAAATCGTGTTAAAACACACAGTTGTAGTGATGTTAAAAAGGGGAAAAAGAAAAAAAAAACTGATTGATCTGAAACCTCACTCCACTCACCGAGCTTTTGAATTAGCGTCGTCACGATCAACAATAATGATCAATCTTACTTGATCTCTGCTTCTTCGTGATTGGTTTATCGGTTTGAGTTTAACCACTCAGGTCGCTGATGCTCGGCCAAAAGACGCTCCGCTACGATCCATGAGTTGAAATCAAACATCTCTTCTCTATTATTTTATCGTTTTTAACAGCAGCTCAAGCTCAGTGTCTGAAGAGTCGGGCGTTAAAACAGTCGTTAACCTGACTGTGCGGCGCCTCTAGACGAGAAGGAAAGCCAGCTCTGGTGATGAATTCCCTCGTTTGATCACAGAATGCATTTCTATCAGCAGTTTGAAGCGGACCGAGACCTTCGGTTTCTGCCGGATCGGTTCAGCTGTCTGCTGCAGACCCGAATACAGGTGGAAAGTTCACACACATCACAACGGAGCGAACTAAAGAAAAAGGTGTGATATGTCCTCCCCAAAGAAAGCGCCCTGAGAAACTTCTCCATCTCTGGCTCGCTGTCTACACTGTGCACCGCAGCTGTGCTGTCTCAGACTGATGATGTTTAATGTTTATTTCCGTGTCTCTAATATAACCTTTAATATTTATATTGGCTATACTGTGAAAAGTTTAATTTATAGATTTTTAATTAAGTTAATCTTTTTCCCACTTATGTTTTTATGACAGTGACATTACCTGCCCATTATGAATTACTGCCTCCTACGAATTGAAGGCCCACGGACCACCAGAGTGCGCTCCACAGCCCACTGGTGGTCCGTGGCCCATAGGCTGAGAAACCCTGTGATAAGCTATCAATTTAGTTCTGGTTCTCGATACCCATCCCTAATCTCTGATATACTAACTGCAAACCAAAAAAGAAAACATGCTCATTATACACATCATTCAGAACATGTTGGAAATCTGGACTGTCCCCATAGAGTTTAAGTCTAAAATACATTCTTATGAGCAAAAAATAAATAACCAACACAAGTGTGCGCTGTTCTGATAGCTTTTAGAGGCAGAAGTCATTTCTATGGGCTTACCATTTCGTTCACACGTGGGGTCCGTCTCCTTCGCCCTCACCCTGCTTCTGCATCTGTGCCTGCATCTTAGCGATCATCTCCTGCATTCGTCTCAGCTGCAGCATAAACACAAGGGCGGGGTTAGTCAGCAGGTTTTGCTCATAGCTATGAAAGTGACCTGTGAGTGGTGGGCGTCTTTGTGTACCTCAGCCTCCTTCTCCTGCAGGATCATGTCCTTGTCCATCTCCTCCGGGTCCGGACCCTTCCTGTAGGACACAGACACAACAAACACACACGAGGTGTGAGGAGCCTCACGCTCAGCTCCACTTTAGTTCACTTGTTTTAAGCGATGGTTCAGCTAAAACTGACTGTAGCTGACAAGTAATCGAAACGCATGTATCTTCAGTTAGCCTGGTGATAACTTGGTGCTGAACGATTTGGGGAAAATACCTAATTGCGATTTTTCTGACTAATATTGCGACTAATATTGCAATTTAAATTGCAATTATTTTTAATAAATTGAGGTTCAGGACTTTTTTTGCCACAAAGACCAGAATATCCACTTTTTCTGGCTTGAGGCTCAAACCCTGAGTGTAATATGCCAGACAGCCAATAAGTTGTGGTTGTGAGGTCACAACACCTGGAGATTTGGTTGCTTCTGATTGGTCTAACTCTACAGGCAGTTCACAACATCTTCTATCCATATCTTGTATAATGTCCTTGTTTCTACGCTCATTGTCCATTTTATCAGCTCCACTTACTATATAGGTGCACTTTGTAGTTCTACAGTTACAGACTGTAGTCCATCTGTTTCTCTGATACTTTGTTAGCCCCCTTTTACCCTGTTCTTCAGTGGTCAGGACCCCCATGGACCCTCACAGAGCAGGTACTATTTGGGTGGTGGATCATTCTCAGCACTGCAGTAACACTGACGTGGTGGTGGTGTGTTAGTGTGTGTTGTGCTGGTACGAGTGGATCAGACACAGCAGTGCTGCTGGAGTTTTTAAACACTGTGTCCACTCACTGTCCACTCTATTAGACACTCCTACCTTGTCAGTCCACCTTGTAGATGTAAAGTCAGAGACGATAGCTCATCTGCTGCTGCACAGTTTGTGTTGGTCATCCTCTAGTCCTTCATCAGTGGTCACAGGACGCTGCCCACAGGACGCTGTTGGCTGGATGTTTTTGGTTGGTGGACTATTCTCAGTCCAGCAGTGACACTGAGGTGTTTAAAACTCCAGCAGCACTGCTGTGTCTGATCCACTCAGACCAGCACAACACACACTAACACACCACCACCACGTCAGTGTTACTGCAGTGCTATATATATATTCTATCCCCTGCGTACTCTCCATCTTATTTATCTACCTCAGACTCACTAATTGCATATATGTTAATGTGTAAAACTGCACATATCACAGCTTTTATTTCATAACTTATATTACTGGACAAAAACTACATTGGAATGGGGCAATACTGGTGTATATTAATGTGTATATAATTTTTTTCTAATGTATTTTTGTATTTAGAGATTTTCACTCACCTTCGCACCGGTGTAAATGTGATGTGCCAATAAACGTGATTTGATTTGTTACTAGAAGATATTGATGCAAGATAACATGGCTTAAAATTTACATTGTGACTGGTTACGCTGCCTCAGCCTCTCCTTGTATTCAACAGCAGAGTGCGTAAGCATTACCACGCTAATTAACCCATAATTGGCCTTGACTATCAGGGAAAAACCGACTGCTAAATAATAATAAATAATAAATAATAAATATAATGATTCTCTTTGTGGGCTGAGCACTCCTACCGGTAAAACCACAGAATCGCTCCTGGCTAAAACTAAAGAAACTTCATACACTGAATCTGATTTCTGGCTGAACCATCGCTTTAAGACTGAACATCTTGTTTATAATATATAAACCTGCATCATTTTTACTCAGCATGTAGAAGTGAGGCTGAAGTGAGTCACCAAAGAAGTGTGTGTGAAGTGAGGCCTGGTGATCAGGACCCAGCTCGAAAGGGCTGAGAGCAGAAGTGGCAAACACAGCTTGGAAGGTGTGGAAGGTGCGGCAGAGCGTGTTGAGGCGCAGTGCGAGGCAGAGAGAGGCTTGCGTGTTAGTGAGCGAGCCAGTGTGAGTTTGCGTTGACGTGAGAGTGTACTTGTGTGCGTGTAGAGGCAGTATAGCGTCAGGCTGACGGACAGACAGCTTAGACTGAGCTCCCAGCAGTACCTCCCCCTCCTACCCTCTAAAAAGCACTGATTTAATGCGTTTCTGAATTACAGTACATACAGTGCTGTTCAAACGTCTTATGCAAATGGTTTAAATCTATTTATCTGCATGTTTCTGCCAGTAAAAACACTATATAACATTAAAACAAAAGGGGAATTTTTACATATTTCAATTATTAAGATGTAAACAGAGTCATTTAGAGCGGTTTGGTGTGAAATGCTTTGTTCTAGAAGTCAGAATTGTTCACAGTGGTGGTGACGGGAACCAGACGAGTGAAGAGTTTAATGCCTCTACACTGCCTGATGTCTGAGACTATGTTTTATGTTTTTTCTGATTTACCACTTTTTTTTATCATCAACATTCCATATAAACTCAGAAGACTCGTGTAGGTTCACTGGTGGTTCTAGATAGTAAATAAAATGGCTATATTTGTGTTGTAGTTATGGTGACCCCTGGTTCCTATCACCACCACTGTAATGAAATCTGAACCAGTTCACACAAAACCACACTGAATGACTCTGTTTACATCTCAAACACTGAATTATGCAGAAATTTTGAAGAATCAGTGGAATTCCCCTTTAAATTTCATCAGCAGCACACCTGATTTAATTAAATTTGGACTGTCAGAGGTTTGAAAATGGTCAAACGACCACACTGACATTCATAAAAACAATACTTTTTTATTCTCAAAACAACTGATCTTCCCCCACAAATGCATTGTTACACAGTTATGTTGCAAGGTTGAACAAGCTTTACAAAGCACTGTCAAAAATCCCATTCAACCTAATGAGAGGATTTTTAAAATCAAAATACATACATTTAATGCTATTAATTTCAAATTGCATTTATCTTCTATGCATCTGAATCATTTTGAAAGTGATGATCCACTTAATTTATGTATTTTGACAGCTTCTCATTCGGTTGATTGAGTTTTTTTTTCATCAAAATGCTGTAAAGCTTGTCCAACCTAGCAACAACTGCTACAAGCATTTGTGGGCGGAGCTTGGGTAGGTCAATTTACGGCGCAGTTTGTTAATACTTCTTTCCTTTTTCTCCAGATGATAAAATGAATAGATATTACTGGTTGGTATTACATAAAGGTCAGCTTGGAGGGGTCACAGCTCTTTAGGATGCTTCACGGACCCCAAGCCTTGACTAATCCTTCCAATGTGGAGACGTGTAATAGTTCTGGGATATCCATAATCCATATATCATTAAATACGGTACCAACCACTAGTCATTATGATACTTTTCTGGGTTTTGAGTACCGGTAGGGCGGGGGAGGTGAAGAAAGACAAGCAGGCAGTACGTACGCAGGCGACAGAGGCAGAATGTAACCATGGGAGGACAACCTGCCGCCCCGTTTGAGGCGCTCGGAGCGGAAGTTCTCATAGTGCAGGTCCTGGGTCACCTCCTGTAGATCCTGCATGTGGGTGCTGAACAAACACCAGGCAGAGACACAGTCATCAGGGTGAATTAGAGTTGTAACCTTTGACAATCACTCATATAATGCAGTGGTGAGCAATATGATGATATTTTATCATTACACTCTCAGAAATAAAGGTACTAAACTGTCACTGGGTCAGTTCCCCTCTTGTCACTGGGGTGGCACCCTCAAGGGTCCATCTCAGTACCTTTAGTCAGGGAACATAACTGAACCATAATCCACTGAAATGATATGTTCTAAGCTGTACTGACTCCACACACCCCGTCTCGTCTCCAGGCTTTTATTTTACTGTTCTGTTTTAAAACATTCGGTTATGAAAAGGTACAAATACGAACTTTTCACCTGGAAAAACTTATTTTAGGTGCATAATTGGACCTTTAAGCCACTGTTGTACCTTTGAGGGCACATTTACACTGTTTGTACCTTGATAAATGAGAAATGTACCTGCATAGTACCTTTATTTCTAACAGTGTATCATGATAATTTATGCTTGCGTCATTAAAACACCTTTGCGAGCACATTGTGGAATATTGTCAGAACATTGACCAACTTCAGGTTTCATTAAGATAAGATAAGATAAGATAAGATAATCCTTTATTAATCCCACAACGGGGAAATTTGCGGTGTTACAGCAGCACAGAAGACAGAGCAGCAGGAAATATACAAACAATATATAAAATAGAATAAACAATAAAAATATAAAGATATATGTATATGTACAAAAATTACAAGAAAAATATACAAAGTATTAAATTTAAATTTAGAAATGTAGAAATGTATGTATTGTAGTGAGTATTGCACAGTGAATAAAATAGCAAATAAATAAACAGTAATAAATGGAGAAATACTGCACTTGACATAATTGCACATAATGGTGGTAAACATGTTGACAGTGATCCGCAGTGAATATTACATTATTAAAAAAAAAAGTGGGGAAAATATACTTGTCCACGATACCGGCCCTTTAAAAATGTTGTTGGCATTATCTGGCAATCCGATCGATTGTGCTGCCTGCTCTCCACTCAAAACACCCACCAGTATCAAACCAAAGGCTGCTCGTGTGATGCTGAGTGATTTCTGTCACCGGGTTAGGAGTGGAGTGTAACTTACATGAGCATTGTGCGAAGCTTGAGGAAGTCGTTGTGTTCTGGGTTTTCTACCTCCACTACGCCCCACGGGTACAAACGCCCACGCACCTTCTTGCCCTTTGCCTCAATCTGCTGGTTGGAGCCCACCACGGCAAATGGGATACTGGTCTGGAAAAACCATTAAAAGAATAAATCACACAAAACTGATAAGAGTGAAAGATAGTAAGGGTCAGTTAGCTGAACACAATAAAGATGTATAAAGACGTTTCACAGTTATTATAGATAGGTAGGTGGTGGGATGGATGGATGGATGGATGGATGGATGGACAGATGCACAAACAGACAGATAGATGGATGGATGGATACAAATGGACAGACAGATAGACGGACAGACGGATAGATAGATAAATAGATAGAGAGATAAATGCACAGACAGATAGATGGATAGATAGATAGATAGATATACGGACGGACGGACGGACAGATGGACAGATAGACAGACAGATAGATAGATAGATAGATAGATACATGCACAGACAGATAGATGGATGGATATAGATGGATAGATAGATAAACAGATAGACAGATGGATAGATGGATGGACGGATAGATACATGGATAAATAGATGGATAGATAGATGGATAGATAGATAGATTGATAGATAGATAGATAGATTGATAGATAGATAGATAGATAGATAGATAGATAGATAGACAGACAGATAGATAAACAGATAGATAGATGGCTAGACAGATAGATGGACGGATGGATAGATACATGGATAGATAGATGGATAGATGGATGGACGGATGGATAGACAGACAGACAGCCTAGACAGATAGACAGATTTCTGTGCCAGAATAAATACACTCCATTACTGGATTTCAGATAAGGTCCCTTTTTTTTGACATGTCCCACTGGATTAATCCGACTTTTGACTTGACCTACATGGTAACTAAGAATACGTTAAGGGTTTCAGATGCTATGAATGCTTCTGAGAGGTGCTGTTAGAATTTCTCCTGATTTTTTGGGGGTTTTCTGTTGGTCCCAGCGCACCTATATTCAGCGTAGCCTTTATGCTTTCCAAAACTCCTAAAGCCACTTGCATGTTTCCAATGTTTAAACCATAAACATAAAACACAACAAATATACTTTAAAATTATACATAAAATAACTGACGGTTTCCTGTTAAACCAAATGTACAGCAGTCTTTTATTACTTTAAGGAGCTGCTTTGCTCCTTTTATGTAAATCTCCTTGGCAGCAGGTTGTATTTCTGGCCCCAGATGATGAAAGGCCTCAAACTGGGATATTTAACACTGAATCTCACAAAGCAATAATAAGCAAAAAATAAAAATAAGCAAATACAAATGTAAGAAATGTGAATTTGTGATTCTGATGGATTAGAGGGAAATCACAGGCAATAACTGAATAAAACATAAAGCGAAATCGATGATGGTAAACAGCAGAGGGCGTGATGTACCTTCAAAATCCTCGTTTGCTCTTTGAAGTCCTCATCCTCGTCTGACTCAGCGTCCGGGAGGTGATAGATCTTAATGCCGTGTTCGTCGATCTCATCTAAAATCTAAAGCCCATTTATGGTGGTCAAAAACAAACAGTGAGTCACGTTTTATGCAGATGAGAAGAGCAGGTAAAAAATAAAAAGATCAGTGACTTTAACACACCCCCTACAGAGAACACACTAATAGTGCCCTATTAAAACAAAACACAAATCTGCCATAACTTTAGCTCAGGCCATATTTACTTACATATACACATACATATATCATTTAATGTCAATTAAATTACAAAAAAAATAGATTAAAAAATTAAAATATAAGGGACTTACTATATAGGTGCACTTTGTAGTTCTACAGTTACAGACTGTAGTCCATCTGTTTCTCTGATACTTTGTTAGCCCCCTTTTACCCTGTTCTTCAGTGGTCAGGACCCCCATGGACCCTCACAGAGCAGGTACTATTTGGGTGATGGATAATTCTCAGCACTGTGGATCAGAGTGGATCAGACACAGCAGTGCTGCTGGAGTTTTTAAACACTGTGTCCACTCACTGTCCACTCTATTAGACACTCCTACCTTGTCAGTCCACCTTGTAAATGTAGAGTCAGAGACGAGCTCATCTGCTGCTGCACAGTTTGTTACATCTACAAGGTGGACCACTACAATAGAGTGGACAGTGAGTGGACACAGTGTTTAAAAACTCCAGCAGCACTGCTGTGTCTGATCCACTCGTACCAGCACAACACACACTAACACACCACCACCACATCAGTGTTACTGCAGTGCTGAGAATGATCCACCACCCAAATAGTACCTGCTCTGTGAGGGTCCATGGGGGTCCTGACCACTGAAGAACAGGGTAAAAGGGGGCTAACAAAGTATCAGAGAAACAGATGGACTACAGTCTGTAACTGTAGAACTACAAAGTGCACCTATATAGTAAGTGGAGCTGATAAAATAAAACAATACATATATATAATTTTCCCAACAAATAAATAGTAACTGTGCATTACACAGCCTGTACAGAACACATTAGCAGTGCTGGCAATCATTTCATATTTTAAATAAATTGTAGTTGATTTTTTGGCATAATAAAGAAATATGAAGTGTCTATCACGGTAATACCTGTGCTGAAATAATACAAATGTGTATGAAAGCTTTTTCAGTATGTTTGATCCCTGTTGGTACATGTAAAGGGGATTTTCTGGAAGTTAAAGGGAGATTTGAGGGCATTACCCTGCGCTTGAGCCTCTCTCTCTCCTTCAGAGTGAGCGTATCAGCTTTGGCAATAACAGGCACCACGTTCACTTTGTTATGAATAGCTTTCATGAACTGGACATCCAGGGGCTTCAAACTGCAGAACAAAGCAAAAAGACATGGTACAAAACAGTGGCGTAGGCAGAAGTGCTGTTTTGGGTAGGTCTGTGAAAAAGTGGGCTAAATTATTAGTTATTACACAATGTAATTACATCTATTCCTGATAGTCATACAGTCATGACTCTACCTGTTCCAACACTTCTGTCCTATAATGATACTATACAGACAAAAGCAATCAACTGGAATACTGGATTCATATGAACACAATCGCTGCAACTCCCTTCACTGTAAAGCATGGATCTGCTCACCACAAACACAACTTTCACCCAATGTAGTCGACATAAGACGAGCCAAACCAATTCAGCCAAGTTAAAAACCTAAACCTAATCATTGCAAGCAAAGCATGAAAGGACATAATGGATGATTTATCTGTGATGATTCGAGGATTTGAGGTAACGTTAGACGTTTGCTTTTATATTTTCACAAAGCTTATTTCAGCCTTTGTAGTAAAAGAGCACTGTAAGAACCAAATTAGCAGAAAACTGATGACGAGGATGTTTTTTAACGCTTGTGTGGTGTTGCTGTGTGTGTTACTCAGTGGTCTGGTGGACCCACCACATTATTGTTTATATAAATCAATACAGCCAGAACAATTTATGTAAAAATACCAGATGTTTAAAATATCACAAGTGTCCAGTGTAGGGTTCTCCCTTAGCAGCTGTAGCCAGTCAGCAGCCGGTCCATGTTGTCCACACACACACACACACTAACAGCAGGCCATGTAGGAGGAGAACAGAGTGAAGGACACAGCACCTCCACACTTTTACTCCCCACGGGTTCAGCCCAACACCACATGTGTAATATAAACGTGTGGGGGGTGAACAGAGTGAAGACACTGAAAATGGGTTATTTTATATGTTCTTTACAGAAAATGAACAAAGGCCAAAAATCTGAAGGTGAAATAATAATAATAAATTATCATTTTTTCTTTTGGTAAACACTGAAAATGAGTCTCACAGACCTGAACACCACACAAGGGTTAAATTTGTTTCTTGTTTTGGCTGGGTAGAAAACAACATACTCCATGGGACAGAATCGCACCTTTAAATGTCCACAGGTAGATCTTTTAACCATAAGGACAGCTTCAAATTTAAACATTGGTGCAGTGACAAAAACTAAAGGCAATGGTGGATAGCAACTGCTAAGCAGCGAGTGGAGGGCTAAGAAAAGAAGGCAGACCTTGGTGGAGAGCTTTATGACTTGATTGGCTGTAATACAGTGACAGCAAATAAATCAGATTTAATGATCTCAAAACATTTGGCTTAATAAGTATTCTTTCCTCATTTGATTCAGTGGGTCTGTGATCACTCTCATTAGGTCCAGGCCTACCCAGGCCTATGTCCCTGGTGCAAAATATAGAATGTAAAATTAGTTATTCATAAAAACGTTGTCTACATGCTGACCACAGTAGGGGCCATACAATCCAAAATGACCATGGATTTCTTCTTTAATGTGAACTGAGAGTTCAGAACTCACAAAATAGGAAAGAAGCTGCTCAAAACCATGAGGGTATCCAACACAGTTAGTTGAGCCAAAGTCTCACTTAGTGTGCTAAACTCAATTAAGTACCCACCCAAAGTTCACAGAGAGCACAGGGTGGTAGCGGCAGCATGTGCTACAAATTTCTCACAGACTCTTTGCAACTTGTGGTTTAAATATTGTGTAATACAGGCACCGTTACTGCTACTGCGATTACAGTGGCCTGTTAACTGTGCTGAACTCACTCACTAAAACTTTTCATACAAATAAACAGAGTTTACAAAATTTACAAAAAACCTGAGAGAGACTTCAACCACACTACAGGTTTACAAATACAGAATGTAAACGAATGTTTACATATAAAGTAGCTTGAGGTAGTCACTAATTAGTGCTTAACAAGATTTTAAAAGGACTGTTAAGACTTGTACGCGTTAAATAGTGTACCTGTCCAATTATTAAAATAGAGAGGTATACATTGAATAAAAACATGACAAATAGGCAAAATCACTCTACTAGTAAGTCCCCATTGCTGCACTGTGATAATGTCATAAGGGTGCACTGGACTCTGGAGTTGTATGGAAAATAAGACAATTACGAAGTTTTTATCTTAGGTAACATCACGCTCTAGCTAAAACTGGAAAGGCTAAATTATATTTTTGAGTTAAATTACACGTTTAGCTTGTTCCCATTCGAAGTCTCAACACAAAATTTTCTGTAGTTTTAATAATAAATAAAACATTGAGCTTCGTTCAAACAACATATTTTAATAGATCTGGATATGTACACCATATTGAGGTCAGTGTTCTCTTCAAAAATGTGCAAGCGAATAACAATACATCACTATTCACAATTTTCCTCTTTTCAGAATTTAGCGACTCACCCGTGTCCGAGTGGGGAAATGAAGTAGAAACAGCAGTGAACGCGGTTATCAACGATGTGTCTGCGGTTCAGGCCACTCTCATCATGCAGGTAACGCTCGAACTGGTCATCAATGTATGCGATGATTGTGCTGAAGCTGGTGAAAGAAAACATTACTGTGAAGTCACGATGGGGTTCCTCAGGGGTTAATACTAAGTCCTATAGAATTTAACATCTACCACCTGAAATATCACAACTTTCACCGATACTCTGTTCCTTTCCGTCATTGAGGCTATCTGTAAAGGTTCAGTGAGGAATATCAAGTAGCCATGTTGTGTGTATTTCTAATTATATAGTATGGATCATTATGGATTCTAGGCCAAATTACTCAAAACAGAAAGACTTGTAAAAGCCATCCTGAGGACAATGTGTCATTTCTGGATAAAATTATTTCTAAGATGACCAAAAATTGCCGTGCAAAAATTGAACACACTAGCAAACAGCAAAACATTAACAAACATTGTTGAACACTACTGAAAGTCTAGCACTAATACATTCACACTTAGGTTTGTTGTAATTTCATGACAACTAGAACTGAGGCTGGTGGGGGGGGGCGGGCACAAACCGTCTAACACTAGTGTGTTAGACTGTTAAAAAACAGAAAAATGTGTCTACTAAGTCAGACAGGTACTCCATATCATAGAAATAAATACAGAAACAAAATATAGATTAACACCTCACAACAAAATTACAGATGCACCAATACCACTTTTTTCCTTATGATACCGATACCTGATCCTTTAGTATCGACCGATACAGAGTACTGATATCGATACTAACTCTACATGACCTAACTCACGTATTAGTCCTGATATTAATACAACTATATTTTTAAAATATTTTATTTTGGTAAAATCTATGTTCTGCGTCAAATAAAACACTCAGCTTGGCTAGATGGCATTTTCTTATTGGATTATATTTACTAGATGATTAAGGTAAACTTATTTTTGTCAACTCACTGTATATATTTAATATTTATTATAATTAGTCATAAGAACCATGTTTAACAACTTAAGTAAATGTAAAATATCATTACTGTGCAGAACAGTTAAAAACGGATCTGAACAGTGTACAGATAAACCTGTGGTGTTTACACATCAGCACACAGCAGCTTCTCCGGCTCAGAGCTGAATGTTGTTTCACATCCTAAATTTCTAAAGTCGTTTGTCTCATTTGTGTGTCTCGTTCACTCGCTCTGCATCCCTGAGCGTCACTTCAGTAAATATCACCGTCGTTCAGACTGTCAGTATCAGCGACTCTCAGTGTTTTTTCTGGCTTGGTTGAAGCGACGGGCCCGGCTAGTGGGCTGCTGTGCTAAAGGCTAAACCGAGGCTAAAGGATCATTACGCTGAGAGTCCAGCGGGTTCCTTCTGCTCTCTTAATAACATTAACTCAGACTGTAAGTGACCACACAGCAGCAGATGAGTGATTACTGAAAGAAGCAGCTCAGTGTTCAGGTAAGTGGCTCTGTTAGCGTGTTCTTCACACCAAAAACAGCAGTTACAGATTTTGCCAGGAGCATATTTACTGTTGCTTATCGTTAAGTTCTGTCTACCGGCGTGCATGCACCCGCCAGAAATTGCTCAGTAGTGTCGGCCATAAGTATCAGTGTCCCCATCACCAATACCGATACTGCGTTTAGGTGCCAGTATCGTCGATCGTTATCAGTGCAACACTAACCGAAATACATCACATTTCCCATTTTGCAAATCAAGGCGTCTAGAATTGAGGCTGGAAAGCTTATATGTTATTATTAAGGGGACCGTGATTATTAACACGGTAATAAGAAAGTTAATTTTACTATTAATTTTAAACTATGAGAATCAACACTAAGTTACAGTCATAACAGGAGAAATGCAACAGGATATGTTTCCTTTGAGAGAATTCCAGATTCCCTCCAGCTCTGCCTGACAGAGGCGGAGGCCCATAAAGAGGGCAGGAAGAGGGCACTCATTTCCTCTATCTGCTCTCCCACAAAGAGCAGCTGCTTCAGCTTCCCATACAACTCCTCATTTATCCTCACCAACTCACCACTTCTCCTTTTTTCTTCCTAAAATTGGCGCCAATTTGAATATTCTGAGGCAACTTGTAAGCCGCAGCTTTTTAAGTGACAGAAAATAGCACCCAGTACAAAAAAAGCAAAGGCAAGTACTTTTGTCTGGACTGTTTTGCAAGAGAAAGTCTGAAAGTGACAGGTCCTCATTTTTTTCTACACAATTAAATATTACATAAAAAGTGCACTCAACCGTTCCAGAGAAACTTACCGAGTCAGAATTGTTCACAGTGGTGGTGATAGGAACCAGACGTCCACCTCTAAAAGCTCCCTCACAGAAAGTTACTACATGAATGTTATGAATTCACTGCCTGATGACTGAGACACTGTTTTACCATTCGAGGTTTTGGCCTAAAACACATTTTTAAACATCCAGGGTGTCGTGAGGGAAAAGTTCACCATGTAGGTTCACTGATGTTTCTGGATAGTAAATAAAAGGTCTATATCTGTGTTGTTGTCATGGCGACCCCTGGTTCCTATCACCACCACTGTAAAGAGATCTGAGTCTCTACAATGAACCATTTCACACCAAACCACTCTGAATGACTCTGTTTACAACTCAACCATTTAAAAGATCGAAATTTAAAAAATTTAAATGGAATTTAGAAATTTTAAAATCTTTTTAAAATAGATCACTATGTAGTTTTTGAGGAAAAAGGCAAGGAAGTTTAAAAAGTACACCAACACTACTGCTAATTGTTGATAAGGAATGTAATAGGCTCATTATATTGTATATATTATAACGATTTTTAAAGCCAACATTGGATCAGACACAGCAGTGCTGCTGGAGTTTTTAAACACCTCAGTGTCGCTGCTGGACTGAGAATAGTCCACCAACCAAAAATATCCAGCCAACAGCGTCCTGTGGGCAGCGTCCTGTGACCACTGATGAAGGACTAGAGGATGACCAACACAAACTGTGCAGCAGCAGATGAGCTATCGTCTCTGACTTTACATCAAAAAGGTGGACCGACAAGGTAGGAGTGTCTAATAGAGTGGACAGTGAGTGGACACAGTGTTTAAAAACTCCAGCAGCACTGCTGTGTCTGATGCTGTGTATTGGAATCGGATCGGAACTGAAAAAATGTGGATCGGTCCATCACTAGTTAGCGGTGAAAGTGTAATGAAAACATGGAACTGTTCACACCCCTGAAGGAAACTAAAATGATGAAAGTACCAGTCTTGGCTGTTAATAGCGTCTCCATATCCAGGCGTGTCCACCACGGTCAGACGAAGTTTAACACCACGTTCCTCAATCTCCACAGTGGACGCCTCAATCTGCACAGTGCGCTCGATCTTCTCTGGAAAACACAGCAGAACAAAACAGGTCATCTCAAAACAGCTCTGAGGGGTCTAAGAGTGCATCATCGCGTAACACCCCATGTTGAAGTTGGTGACGTTGAAAAACTTTGTATCTCCAAAACATGTATTTTTGTATTTATTTAAACCTGAGCATACGTTCATGGAATACAAGTTTATTCTGAGTAGTTCTGCACCATCTCTGTTGGTCCATTCATCATGCAAAGGTTGTAAAGGTTGTAATTTCCAGCCACACACAGCGTATGATTTAGCGACTTCTGCAGCAGTGATCTTACTGACCTGCGGCTCCGGGAATGACCCGCTCTGGGTAGAGGTCAGTGAGGAACAGGCTGTTGATCAGAGTGGACTTCCCCAAACCAGATTCACCTGAGAACAAACGCACGGTTACCATTACAGGCCAAGCAAAAGAATGACTTACTTCACAATACTTCATTTTTATGGAGTTTGGTAAGTTGGCAAAGACACAATGTACCAGCAAATCATTCAAAATGCTACAGAAAACTATGAGTACAATGATTTTTTATTCAATACTTAGGAATCTGCACATAACTATATTCAGTGAAACAGGATTAATTATGGATCTAATTGGCTGTGATCAGGATTCAAACTAGTGTTCCACAATTCATCAAAAGTTCAATGGTTGTTCAACAAATGCAGTAATTAATTCATAATAACTTTTTATGCTAATTTGGCTCAGACAGGCATTAGCATACCTTAGGCTGGGCGTTCACTACACGACTTTCATAATCTTAACAGATTTCTAAAACAAAGAGAATCACAAACTCGACGTTTTATCATAGAATTTCTTGTCGTTTTGTCGTGAGGGCGCTCAGACTAGACGACCAGGCAAAGAGAGAGTTTAAGAAACACGTCTACTGGCTTTCAGCTACGAATAAGAGCTCAAACTCCCAGATCTCCTCAGATCACATAACACAAACAAAGCTAAACCTACTGGACCTGTTCGTGCTTCTGTGCGTAGAGAAAGAGCAAACTGGGGATGAATATATCCTCTGTCTCCCCTCCGCTGTTCATGCACGACTCTTCGCCTGTTTCTCCGCTCATCTAGCTCTCTGACTGGCTGTTGTTTGAATCACTCGTCGAGTAAATCTCTGACCGTCTCACACTGCAGGACTCATGAACGTTTTGAGTCATACAAATCAAACGTTTGATAATATCTGAGGGTCTCGGTTCACTTCAGAGTTCGATCGGAGGGCTAAAGATTCACTTTCTCCGCTCAGGCTACAGGTCGTCCGCACCATCAGTCGCTTCTGATCGAGCTCTCACAGCAGAAGGGTTTTACAGGGTGATACAGAGTTCAGGCGCTGTGAGGCGGTCACAGCCGCGGCACATTGTGGATTTTACAATGGCCAATCAGATTTTAGGACTGGAAGTATCCGTTTTATAACATCAAATCACCCAAATCACCTATACATGACAATCAAGGCACGCGGATTACAGTAAATACTTCACGTGTAACTTTTGTCATTGTTTCTCTGCTGTCCGTTCTCAGTTTTCACTTCTGTCTGTTTGTTCTTCCTCTGTTTGAAACAGCAGGCCGTCCTGCTCTGTTTGCGGAGCTGAAAGTGACCAATCCGTCGCTACATTCCAGTCTGATTTATTTTAAGGCAGAGGACTGACTCTGCAGTGAACCGCTCCCTCCCCCACTCCTGCACACCCGGCCGGTCAGCAGCTGGACTCGCACGCCAGAGAGACAGAACTGCGGCCTTTAATGGCCGAAAACAGGGTTTCAGCTGCTCTTCTGCGCAGACACACAATCTTGGCAGCAGGACGGATTCCCACACTGACTTCCATAATAAGGAAACAACTCGGAGAGGGAAAAAAGCGCTTCCTCCCACCAGAATTCCACAGCCAACCCCCCCGAAATGTGGGGTGACGGTCCTTTACTTCCATCTAGAAGGACAATTACATTCTACAAGTCATGTTTCTATTTTGACAAGAAACAGTTTCTATTTTTACATGAAACTGTTCACTGACTAGAAAAGCCGAGAGTCTAATATGAGGCTTAACCTCATACGATGCGTCAACTTAGACCTAAAATAATTAGTAGAAAGGTGTAAATAAAAAATAGGAAGTGTTAACAAATAACAAATAAGCTGTAAAGGAATATAGAACAAATGAGAGAGCTGTAAAACATCAGCTAATTTCTAATGAAATTAACATCCAGAATGAAGTTCTAATAAAATTAACATTCAGAATGAAGTTCTAATGAAATTAACATCCAGAATGAAGTTCTAATAAAATTAACATTCAGAATGAAGTTCTAATGAAATGAACGTCCAGAATGAAGTTCTAATGAAATTAACGTCCAGAATGAAGTTCTAATAAAATGAACGTCCAGAATGAAGTTCTACAAAAGTGAACGTCCAGAACGAAGTTCTAATAAAATTAACATCCAGAATGAAGTTCTAATAAAATTAACGTCCAGAATGAAGTTCTAACAAAATAACGTCCAGAATGAAGTTCTACAAAAGTGAACGTCCAGAACGAAGTTCTAATAAAATGAACGTCCAGAATGAAGTTCTAATGAAATTAACGTCCAGAATGAAGTTCTGATAAAATGAACGTCCAGAATGACGTTATATATGAACTAAAATCAAGAACGCCTTTTGTAAAATAAGGGTTGAATCTTTAGGCAGATGGCAAAAAATCTGATATACTGGACTGGCATCTTAATTTTCACATAAATAAATAATTACTACCGTCTTACTGTTTCCAAAAAAACATTAAATCTTGATTTAAAACATCTAAACGTACATGTTGGTGTCTATTTTACATCATTTCGATCTGCCCAGTGCAATATTTTATTGAATAAAACAACAATTATTAACGACAGGTGATTCTTAACGTTAAAACAGTAATATAAAAGAGTAAAATATGCGCAGATTAGATATTCATTTAACTGATATTGCACACAGCATTGGTTTCACACCATGAGAGCGGTCACTATAAGACCAGGTCACTTAGTAAAATCAATTGTTACTCACCGACAACCATGAGGGTGAACTCAAAGCCCTTCTTCACCGATTTGCGGTGAACCTGGTTGGGCAGGTTGGCGAAGCCCACATAGCCAGGAGTCTCTGGGTTGGTGAACTGGCCTTGCTAAAGAAAACATACGCAATCCATTCATAAACAGCAACAAAAGACCTGCCAAGTACCAAAAGGCTGCAACTAATTAATCGATCAATCTATTTCCCATAAATGTGACTGACTCATTCATTAAATGAGATAACAGTGTTTTTGCACTGTTTGTGTATTGTGTGCACTGTGTACCTGCACTTTTTTGCGCCATACCATTATAAGTGTTATGATAAAAGCTATACCTGAGTAAGAATTCCACCCAGTATACCACCCACCACCAGTTTATGACACAATCAACCCGAAAAAAAAACAAAAAAACAAAGCTTTAACAGATCAGCTTCTTTTTATATCGTGTAATGGAAGAAGAGAACTGAGGAATCACTGAGGAAGATTGGAGCAAAAGGCAGAAACAGTCTTGACCTTAAAGAGCTAATCAACACTGAGGAATTCTGCATTAGGCCACATCACAGTCAAGTATTTACTGCACTTACAAATCACTGGAATATTTACTGAAAGCCGAGCAAACAAATCTCAAATATTTGCCCTGAGTGTCCGAGCAAGTCATGTGATTTCTCAGACTGTGTGAAACAAATTTACACAGCCTGAGAAAACATATTTCCACAGTGTGCACTGAAGAAATTATTATAAAAATTGTGTGTGTGTGTGTGTGTGTGTGTGTGTGTGTGTGTGTGTGTGTGTATATATATATATATATATATATATATATATATATATATATATATATATATGTAGCACTGTTGTCGGAAGAAAACCTCATATCTCCAAAATGGTAAAAATGGAAAAAACATACTTTACTTTTAATGTAAGTCAATGGAACCAGACTTTTTCCCCAAGTAATTTTGGTCCATTCATCATGAAATTTACACACAATGTAAAGAGTAACAGGCATTTTCAAAATATGTAAAAAACTGAAAATTGACCAAAATGGAAATACTTTTTGTTTTCTTCCGACAGCAGTGATATATCTATCTATCTATCTATCTATATATCTATATATATATATATATATATATATACATACACACACACACACACACACAGACATAAAAGATATAAAGCATGACCTGTTAAAAGGTTAATAATAGTTTTGTGATGAAGTTTATTTTAATCCATTCATGGCGGAAGGATACACACAGGGTATTTGTGAGGCAAAATAGCCCCCAAAGAAAACTTATTTTTTCAGATTTATCCCTATATATATATATATATATATATATATATATCAGTGAAGTCCATTTTTATTATTTTGGCCTGGTTACAAAACTTGATTAGCCTCCAAAATAATCAGTAGGTCACCCGATTTTTAATACAATCAATAGTGACAGCTATCAGTCAAATATCAGCTTTTTACTGAGTCTCATACAGTGAAACTGTACACAATGTGTTTAATGTGTACAATGAAAGTAGCTGTGGAGTTGGTGGTATAAAACAGAAGCACAGTATAACGTGTCTTTAAATGAAACACTGTATATTCGTTCATATCAGTGTGCATGTAAAATAAATACATCCACTGTTGTACTGGGTTGCCATGTGCTTAAATGATTATTATCATTGTTATTTTCTATTTTTATTCTAACTAGGATCATTATATATGATACTGATAATAGTTTTGGTTGGCAAATCAGGCATTCTTCTCAAGTTTTTAAACATTTTCGCTCAAACATAAAGCACTCCTATCAGACGTGAGTCTGATCATACAGATACGCCGAAGATGAAACTGATGAATCACAAAACTGTCGGTGAAATTTGCGTGGGTTCATTTTATGATCAGATTTGACCGGATGCAACTTGTTGAGTAAGTGCCAATCTGCTAAGATCCTGAGTCTGTTTTCTCGGCATGACGCCGACTTCAGAATGACGACATAACTTGAGAGGTCTGTAGGGCCAACAGGCAGACGGCTGCACCACTCGGGAGCCCCAGATATACATTTTTAACCACATCGCCCTGACATAGACAGATACGCTTAAAACAAATGTGCCTAGCAAAAATATACCAACCCCAGTTAAAGGGGAACTCCACCAATTTTTTACAAAATTCTGCATAATTCAGTGTGTGAGGTGTAAACAGAGAGATTCAGAGTGGTTTGGTGTGAAATGGTTCAGATGTCTTTACAGTGGTGGGAACCAGGGGTCGCCATGACTACAACACAAATATAGACATTTTATTTACGATCCAAAACCACCAGTGAACCTACACGAGTTTATATATGTAACACTGATGATGGCAAAATAGTGATAAATCAGAAAAAATAAGTTTTCTTTGGGGACTATTTTGCCTCACAAACACCCTGCGTGTATCCTTCCGCCATGAATGGATTAAAATAAACTTCATCACAAAACTATTATTAACCTCTTAACAGGTCATGCTTTATTAAACACTTCTATAACCTCAGAATAGCTCCATTAGTTTGCACTGAAGTCCCTGTAGTAACTGAATAATAAGCCTTTGTATGAAATAAAATGTTAAGGGGTTAATCAGTGAGTGTGTTTACATGCACTTAATAATCTGGTAACTGCAGAAAATCAGATTTTGTCAGCCAATCAACATGTTTATATGCTCCTGAGTAATCAGATAATGGGAAAACTCCAGGTCTACATGAGTCAGACAGTAATCGGATTTCTGCTTTACAGCCAGCCAATAAACTCACAGAAGACGACGTGATGTAAACGTAACATAAAACTCAAACCTCATGATGCAGCTTTTTTTTTAAGCATTGAGTCACTTTACCTTAAAATATGAACATACATCATCTAAAAGATGAAGAATATTTAAATCTTTCATTTCATTAAGCATGTATTTGGTTTCAGCGTCACTCCAAAAATGTTTTGCTGCGTCTCGCGGCGACGCTGCTCACTTATTTCCGGTACAGCAGTCTATTTTCACACATGAGAAATCCGAAAGAAATCAGAGTAAGAGTTTACATGCACTGAGAAATCTGATTACTGAGCTAAAATCCAGACTCTTTATCAGATTTCTTAATCAGATTTCTAGATCGGAGTATGGTGTTTACATGACCATTTGAATAATCAGATAACTGCAGAAATCTGATTATAATCGGATTATTGAGCGCATGTAAACAACTCAACGTGTCACACATCAAGCAGCACATTCATAAACCACTTCATGCAATAACGTCAGTAAAAGAGCTTTTAGATGCTTTAAACTGTTCAGACGTCGTTTACATCTCAACCCTTTAATAATGCAGAATTTTGAAAAATAGGTGGAGTTCCCCTTTCACTGGAACTGCAGTAGAGACCAAAACAGTCACTTCGCACAATCATGGAATGAAACTAAACCGTGTAACTTACCTTCAGTTTGTCAGCCTGAGACATCCTGATCTGTGATCCAACCCTGCAAAAAACAACACAGATATTTCACACATTCACTTCAAAACGGCTCTAAACACCAGAGAAATCATCCAAAGCTGGAGTCAAATCAGCACTGCGAGTTTCTTCAGCTCACAAAAACCACAAAAGGTAGCTTTCAGACACTAACAGAACAGGAAATGAGCAGTCGTTTGCACATCCTCGATTCAAAAATGAGTCTAAACCACAGAAAGTTCATTCTGCAACTTTTCTTAACTGAACTGAACCCGGCAGGGAAGACGCGTTAGCAAATTTCATGTTTCTCGTCTCTAAATATGCTTCGTAAACAGGTTTAACTTCATAATATAAGACAAATAAATGTAATCTAAACACCACAGCATTAAAAACCACTTCGTCAGGAACCATTTCAGCCCATAACAGGGGGATGAAATGTTCTCTGAGCCTGAACTCAGAATCTTCTTTAATTATTACATGAAATGGTTATGAATTCAACGCCTGATGTCTGAGACACTGTTTTATGAAAAGGTTTTGGCCTAAAATGTATTTTTAAAACACAGTCATGGTGGAGGGATACATGCAGGACGTTGTGAGCCAAAATAGTCCCCAAAGAAAACTTATTATTTCAGATTTTCCACTATTTTCCATCATCAACATTCCATATAAGCTCAGAAGACTCGTGTAGGTTCACTGGTGGTTCTGGATAGTAAATAAAATGTCTATATTTGTCTGTCTGTCCGTCCATCAGTCTGCCTATCTGACTGTCTACTTATCTGTCTATCTACCTGCATGTCTGTCTACCTGTCTATATATATGTCTGTCTGTCTGTCCATCTGCCTGCCTATCTGTCTGTCCATCAGTCCATCTATCTGTCTATCTGACTGTGTACTTATCTGTCTATCTACCTGCATGTCCGTCTACCTACCTGTCTAACTACCTATCTATCTATATGTCTGTCTGTCCATCTGCCTGCCTATCTACCTACCTGTCTGTCTGTCCATCAGTCTGCCTATCTATCTGTCTTTCTATCTATTTATCTGTCTATCTGCCCATCTATCTATCTGTCTTTCTATCTATTCATCTGTCTATCTGCCCATCCGTCAATCTATCTATCTGACTGTCTACTTATCTGTCTGTCTACCTAACTGTCTATCTACCTATCCATCTATCTATATGTCTGTCTGTCTGTCCATCTGCCTATCCGTCTACCTTCCTGTCTGTCTTTCTGTCCGTCCGTCAGTCTGCCTGTCTATCTGTCCGTCTATCTGCCCATCTATCTGTCCGTCCGTCAGTCTATCTATCTGTCTACTTATCTATCTACCTGCATGTCTGTCTATCTACCTGTCTATCTGTCCATCTACCTGTCTATCTGTCTGTACACACAGGATCAGACTAATTCGGTTTAAATGGAAAATATGTGATACCTGTAATTCTATATATACACCTCCACATCTGTTTACCTGATACAGAACGACAGTAACGCATATGATCTGCACTTTTCTCGCCGCCTTCATTTCCACAATAAAGTCTACAAGTTCAGTTAAATCACAAGTCTGAAAACAGCCTGTAAGACGGTCTCTGTTCAAACGCAACGTAACGTGTTAACTGCCCATATGTGCTGTCAATCATATGGGACGTAGTGAACAGACTGGTTTAAAGGGGAACTCCGTCGATTTTTAAAATTTTCTGCATGATTAAACGGTTAACATGTCAACAAAGTTCGTTCAGAGTGGTTTGGTGTGAAACGCTCTGTTCTAGAGAAACTTACTGAGTCAGAACTGTTCACAGTGGTGGTGATAGGAACCAGACGTCCACCTCTAAAAGCTCCCTCACAGAAAGTTATATGGTTCTGAATTCACTGCCGGATGTCTGAGACACGGTCTTATGGTAGTTTTGTGATTAAGTTTTGACCAAAAAACATATTTTAAATCCATTCAGGGTGGAGGGATACACGCAGGGCGTTGTGAGGCAAAATAGTCCCTCCCTCAAAAAAAAAAATACATTTATCACTATTTTACCATCATCAACACCCCATATAAAACTCAGAAGACTCGTGCAGGTTCACTGGTGGTTTGGGATAGTAAATAAAATGCCTATATTTGTGTATATTGGTGACCCCTGGTTCCTATCACCACCACTGTAAAGAAAACCTGTTGGTATGTGTCTCTACATACGAATCTGTTCGCATCAAATCACACTGCATGACTAGGTGTATATCGTAACCACTGAGTTACGGAGAAATTTCGAAAAGTCGGTGGAATTGCCCTTTAAGATTAGCATTTTAGCTGCTGACGGAAGTTTTTCTGATAAGACTGAGAATGTGGGAGGGCTAGACAGCCTGGCAGCAGCAGTTAGCTTAGCTAAGCCAGCTGCATTCAATGAAAAGTGTGAGCAGCGCCAGCCTCTGGCTCGAATTTTCCCGGTCCACCTTAAATAGTACAGCAGCAATACAAAGCCAGAGGCGCCACAGTGTAGGCGCCGCACCATTTAAGGTGGACCGGGAAAATTCGAACAAGAAGATGGCGAAACGTCAACTTTTTTGCTTTTAAACCGATTCCGCAGATACATTTCAGGTAGAAACGCCTAATTCGAGGTGAAATAGACTCTAAAGGTCGACGTTTCGGTCCGCAGGTTTCAGTTTTAAGTCAACTCAGGAGGAGAGAGCGAAGCTACATCTGCAGGAAACTGGGTTTAGCGGTGTAGCTACGCTAGCCAGTCTAGTAAAATACAACAAAACTAACATTCAGACCTAAATTCAGAGACTAACTGCTCTGAAAGCGCTTAGAAACAAACAGAAGGGTTACAGAGCCGCATAAACTCGATTAAACGCGAGGAATGTGGAGTTACGAACCTTTTTTCGGTCGAGCGGAGCAGAAATGAGTCGAATAGCTGAAATTCCTGCGGAACTGACGGGCGGCGCCTCCACACCGAACCGCCAGGGGACGATACTGTACCACGGCGCTCTACGCGGTCTAGCTTTCACAATAAAAGTCTCACTGTTTAAAGAAAAAAAAGACCCCGCTCAAAAATGAGAAGAAATAATCAGAATCAGAATCAGAATCGAGCTTTATTGGCCAGGTTTGCTTACACATACAAGGAATTTGGTTTTGGTTACAGGAGCTCACAGTGCTCAGTATCAGACATTTATATGTAGTGAATAAAATATAATAAAATAAAATAAAATAAATACAAAAAAATAAATAAATAAAAATAAAGTAAAACATGCAATCCTACCATTACTCAATCATACATACACACACAGTCATACCTGTAAACCTTACATTGTGCAAAGTATGAGTCTAAAGTTAAAGTGCTGAGTGCGGCAGCAGTTAAAGGGTGTATAGTGGCAATGAAAGGGATCAGTGAGGTAACAGTCAGATAAGTGGGGTAATAAGGCGGGTAAGTAAGATGCTAGAATAAACGCTGGTCTGAGATGGTAGTTTCAGAGGATGGAGTTGAGTTTGACACTATATACAAGTATATTTAGAAGTGCAGTTTAGAAGCTGGAATATTGTTTATGTGTAATAATCAACTGTTTAAGAGAGTAAAGTAACAGTGCGTCTAACTAGGGCTGTGCGAAATGGCAAAAAAATATATCATAACACTTCAAAACATTTTCACAGTACACGATAGGCCTCACAGTATTTAGCTTTTCTGAGATTTAATAAGTTAGAAGAGACAAAACAGAGACAGTAGCTCCAAATATAAAAATACAACAACAACAAAAACAATTTTTATTTTATACTACATTGTTTTGCAAACTGCCCTGCACAAAATAATCGGTGTCCCTTAAGTGCTGATGATATTCATGATATACTCAGTGTAGAAATGTTCTGCTCTGTAATGTGTTTAGTGTTGTGTTATGTGTCATTATATTCAGTATTGTGTGTCTGTACTTTGTATTTCGAACATTCTCTTCTGCCTATTCTTGTTTCCCTACATGGTCATATCTGTCACACCTGTCACTTGTCATGTATATGCTGGGCCTAATCTTGGCATCCAGCTATAAAACTGCATCAGCCCTTTGTCTTACGGGTTGGCTAGGTGTCTGGTACCCCAATAACAATAAAATACCATCATACTGCCCACCGCTCTTGTAATATACATTATTTTTATTTAAAAACACTTAAAAATAACAGGTAATGTTGTCATTGTAGTAATCTTCTATCTGGTCTAAAATGAGTTAATATAGTTCATATGTTGGCTTATGAAACCACCTTCAAAAAACAGAGCTGTGATTAGAAATAAAGCCTTTTATTTTATTTCCAGAATAATGAACCATCTCAATCATGGAGATAAAACCAGAATTAGACTTTTTGTTTGTTTGTTTCATCATTTTCGGCAAAGTTAAATATATATTTATATAAATTTTACTTTATACATTTAAAGTTAAAAAAAATTTAAATTTAGAAAATTATATGTTTAATTTATATCCGGGCATTTTTTCTTCTTTGAGGTATTTATTTTTCTGTGAAATTATCTTATCAAGTGAAATCATTTACTTTTTGGCAGGTATCCAGTGTTCTGGTGTTCTGGTGTCTTCAAAGAAGCTAAATTTATTCAGAAGAATTTACATCTTTATTCAGAAAACATCTATAAAGAAGTGAAATAATGTTGTAGAATCCTTATAACAATCTCAAAATCTCAATCTCAGCTTCACCGGCAAAACAGCAGCTTTTTGTAGTTCATGTAGGTTTTTGTGGGTCTGCAGCTTAACTTATTTGTTACTCCTCTTAGTGCTGGAGAGAAGAGGCTGGCAGAAAACGGATCGAAAAGATACTTATTTACTGCATCGTCGACCGAATGTGTGTTATAACAACTGAACACAGAGAGAGAGAGCCTGAGGACAGAGAGAAAGCAAGAGAGAGAGAGAGAGAGAGAGAGAGAGAGAGAGAGAGAGAGAGAGTCAAACAGAGACAGAGAAAGAGATAGTCAGACAGAGAGAGAGAGACAGAGAGAAAGCAAGAGAGAGACAGACAGAGAGAGAGAGAGAGAGAGAAGAGAGAGAGTCACACAGAGACTGAGACAGAGAAAGAGATAGTCAGGCGGAGAGAGAGAGACAGAGAGAAAGCAAGAGAGAGACAGAGGGAGAAAGAGAAAGATAGAAAGAGAGAGTCAGATAAAGAGACAGATAGATGGAGAGAGAGTAAAGAGAAAGGGAGAGAGAGAGAGAGAGAGAGAGAGAGAGAGAGAGAGAGAGACAGATAGAGAGAGACAGAGAGAGAGAGTACAGAGAGAGAGAGAGAGAGACAGAGACAGAGAGAGAGACAGAAAGAGAGACAGAGAGACAGGAGAGAGAGAGATAGACAGAGAGATAGAGAGACAGAAAGACAGGAGAGAGAGAGAGAGAGACAGAGAGAGAGAGAGAGAGATAGAGAGAGAGACAAGGAGAGAGAGAGAGATAGAGAGACAGAAAGACAGGAGAGAGAGAGAGAGAGACAGAGAGAGAGAGAGAGAGAAGAGAGAGAGAAAGACAGGAGAGAGAGAGAGAGACAGAGAGAGAGAGAGATAGAGAGAGAGACAGGGAGAGAGAGAGAGACGGGGTATTGCAGTCAGAGATGTATTGAGCTCCTAATCTTCTTAAACTGCCCTCATAATCTGCTGGATGTTTTACTGTGAATAGGATTTCATTCTTACAGAAAGATCCTCAAACCCAAACCCACAACTTCACACGCACGTCTAGCAAACCGGCACAAACAGAGTTTATCACATGATGAATAACATCAGGGGTGAACCGTGACTGTCAGAGCTGAACCATCAGGACCGACATCAAGACTCAGTCAAAGCCAACAAAAGATCACCTCTATGATAACACAAGGGCCAAAGTGTGAAATACAGGGGGTCCTGGGGGGTCCGGGACCCTTAAATAACTGCTTGGACCCCCAGAATGTCTCAAAATCAAAATTCTGGAGGGTCCCTGAAAATAAACGTTAGTAATAAACCCAGTAACAACTTCATGAAATGATGCAGATGTGGCTTAAACCTTTTAACTTGATCTTCTTTTTCTACTGTGATTTACTTGAATTCATTGAACACATATTACTCAATGAAACTGATCCTAAAAGCTAATTAACACAGCTGTGCCAAACCATCTGCCATGACATATTAAAGTAATTCCAACATTTCCTTTGTGAGGAATACATAAAATAATCAGTCCGGATAATCAGAATGTGCTAAAATTAGTGTGATTTTCATTAAGCACAAATTACCCAGTCAAGTATCTTTGAAGCTGCCTAACACAGATTGGGAACCACTTGACATAACATTTTTATTTAAATCCAACATTTAACATTTAATTTTTGAGTGGACAACTCTACGAAATACACCAATCAGGTATAACATTCTGACCAGCTCCTTGTTTCTACGCTCATTGTCCATTTTATCAGCTCCACTTACTATATAGGAGCACTTTGTAGTTCTACAGTTACAGACTGTAGTCCATCTGTTTCTCTGCATACTTTGTTAGCCCCCTTTTACCCTGTTCTTCAGTGGTCAGGACCCCCATGGACCCTCACAGAGCAGGTACTATTTGGGTGGTGGATCATTCTCAGCACTGCAGTAACACTGACGTGGTGGTGGTGTGTTAGTGTGTGTTGCACTGGTCTGAGTGGATCAGACACAGCAGTACTGCTGGAGTTTTTAAACACTGTGTCCACTCACTGTCCACTCTATTAGACACTCCTACCTTGTCAGTCTACCTTGTAGATGTAAAGTCAGAGACGATAGCTCATCTGCTGCTGCACAGTTTGTGTTGGACATCCTCTAGTCCTTCATCAGTGGTCACAGGACGCTGCCCACAGGACACTGTTGGCTGGATATTTTTGGTTGGTGGACTATTCTCAGTCCAGCAGTGACACTGAGGTGTTTAAAAACTCCAGCAGCACTGCTGTGTCTGATCCACTCAGACCAGCACAACACACACTAACACACCACCACCACGTCAGTGTTACTGCAGTCAAACATGGTGGTGGTAGTGTGATGGTCTGGAGCTACTTTGCTTCTGCAGCACCTGGACGACCTGTCATAATTAATGGAACCATAAATTCTGCTCTCTATCAGAAAATCCTGAGACACCCGTGACTTAAAGCTCAAGTGCAGTTGGGTTATGCAGCAAGACAAAGATCTGAAGCACACAAGCAAATCCACCTCTCAGTGCCTCAAAAGAAAGAATATAAAGGCTTTGCAGTGGCCGAGACAAAGTCCTGACTTGAATCCAATCTCAAGACCTTCAACGGTCAGTTCACACTCAAAAACCCTCCAATGTAGCCAAATTAAAACAATTCTGCAAAGAAGAGTGCGGCAACATTCCTCCACAGTGATGTAAAAGACCCATCACAAGTTATCACAATGGTATGATTGCAGTTGTTGCTGCCGAGGGTGGCACAACAAGTTATTAGGTTTAGGGGGCAGTTACTTTTTCACATGGGTGATATAGGTTTTGAATAAATCTTTATCTTCAATAACTGGAATGATCACTTAAAAGCTGCATTCTGTGTTTACTCGCATTGTGTTTATCTTATACTAAAATTAGTTGAATGATCTGAAACGTTTAAGTGTGACACATTAGCAACTCAGGTGAGGGGCAAATACTTTTTCACAGCACTGTAAAGAGTCAGTTTTCTGACCACAGGGCCGCTGTTGTCCAGATATAATTGGACTGGTGGACCGTTCTCAGCACCAACACACCTTGTGCATCAAAAGACAAGCTGCAGTCTCTAACTGTACACCAGCAAGTGGAGCTACAAGAGGGGTTTCCAGTAAAGTGGCCACTGAGCCTAAAGTTGAATAAAAAGAGGAAAATGGAAAGTTGAATGCCAAAAAGCTATCTTCAAGTTGTAAACAACTAATGCACAGTCCTGGGTCACTGATACTTTATAACATGTCTGACATTTCAGACCAAAATAATCATCCTATCCTGCAAGATCCCAGCT